TTTCTACTTATTAGGTAGGCCTTCGAGGCCACCGATTCCTTGACGCAACGATTGGATTTCCCCAGGCCTCAAGAAAGATCTGACTCCATCTGCTCCATTGTTTCTTCTCCCATGATCGGCATGTCCAGCTGAGATCTCCTGACAACCCGCCCCTCAGCTTCGCTTCGAGGATCCCAATCCAGCCGCCATAATGAAGCCCACAAAGAGCTCCGAGAAATGGAAGTGGAGGTCTTCTGTTGCAAGCACGACGGCATCGTTATCTCCATTCCATAATGCCCCTTCCCAGGGGGAAACGCCGGAAGTTGTTGAGAGCAAAAAGTCCCGTACATTGTCCAAAGCCTTCCGCTCAATTAGTAGCTCTTCGTTAGATTCAATGTCCAGTGGACCATCCAGGTCTGGGTCTTCACAACGAAAACTCTCCAAGACGCCATCGGGCTCCGGATCCATGATCGAAAGGCTGCAGAGGAGAGTTTCCAGAGACTCTTCCGTTAGCACTATCCCCCCGGAATCCCCTAGCAGCCCTGTGGAGCCTACCTTTGCCTCAATGGAGATGATTCGATATGGATGGTTAAAGCCCGATTCTTCTCTGCTCAAAGCTCGATCCGAATATCTCGTTCTGGCAGATCATGCATTGGTCAAGTTCGGAAGCGCGGAAGCTGCTAGAGCTATCTTCCCGCAGCTGACACAGACGGAGGACCGCCACGGAAAAGGCTTCCACTCTATCCATTCCATGAGCACCAAATCTGCCTCGGGAGAGATTCGACTGGATATACCCCTCCGGTCCATTATTGCGGTATTCATTGAGGAATCTTCAAGCTCCCGTCATGGTATTGAGGTTTGGTGGCACTCAAGAGCGCCCAAGATCGCCTCCTGCAAAGCACACTTCTACTTCGCTCTCCCAAAAGAAAGAGATGATTGGCTAGCGGATATTCATCAGGCTTGTAAGGCAAGGTCTAGGAGAAATCCTCTCCCTACGAATGTGCCTGAGAATGTTAAGATCCGCATCACCCACACAATGCACCCTACTGAGACATCGGACGACAGTGCTTCCCAGGGCGTGATTTTCCCAGTGGTAAAACGTGTTGTGGCGACAGCTCAGAAAGGTGCTGCTACAGACGAATCCCAGGATGTCATAGATACCTCGACGTATTACCTTGCCATTGGGCCCTACATGTGTTATTTTATTGAGATACTCAAAGCCGATTATTCAACTCTGCCAGGCGACCTGCGACTAAAAACCTACGAGTTTGGGACAGTATCTTTGACCCGTTTCCAGGCTTCAGTAGCGTCTCACGAGCAAAGATTTACGATGTGTTTTCGGTGAGTGAGATCCGGGCCAACGCCTGTTTGTCTAATTGATTGATGCAACATTTCACAACTAACATCAATAGCTTGCCATTTGACCGAGAAACTCGCCTGGTTCTGGCAAGTACGTTTTATCGCCGGATTATCGAGGCCCTTGTTAAGATCGACCGCGTCTTGAAACCCATGTGGCCACAAAACCTTCAGCATGCTATTTTCGAGATCAAAGGCCTTCCGGCACCCCTTCAGTTGACATCCGGAAACGATTTGGGTGGCCTTGAGATAAGTCTAGAAGCCTACTGCAATGCTTTCCGCGTACAGGTCCCCGCTTGGACAATCGAATGGTATACCCCATCAGAGCCGGCTTTCCGACTACTTGCCTCCGATGATTCGGAGTATTCTCCACTTCAGATCCTTGCAGTCTTTCGAGCATTACGATACAATAGCTTCTTTAAAGCATTATCATTTCGTGATGTTGATCTTTCATCACTGGCGAACAAGAACGACTATTCACAATTTGGAGACGCTGTGGTATACACATCTTTGAGCGGTAGTTGCACTCCAATTCTGAACCGGCCCCCGACCCATAGCTGACAAGCGTATTAGGCGTTAGAATACCAGATGACTACTATCAGCTTCTCATACAAGCTCCGATTCTAGAACAAGAGATACATGCGTTGATGTTTTCTTCTGAATCTATACGGTATATTGATCTTACAAATACTGTCGGCTTACAACGAGCAAGGAGACCGCAGACCGGTCGTGGGTCGATCAACCAATCCGCCATGCGCAAAATGAGCGGGGAGATTATTCGGCCCCTGTCGATGTTACTCAAGACCCAATTGTGCCACTGCCATGGCATTTCCATGTCTGGCAATCCTATTGGGTCGAGCGAGGTAGCTGAATTAGGTATGCGCACCGCATGAGGAGACATAGCAAGACTGTATTAAATTTGAACGTTATCACTAATTTTTTGGATTTAGCAAATGTCTTTGCATTGGATGATGTCCACATGAAGAAGATTGAACTATCCAATTGCGGACTCGGCGACGTTGATCTAACCAAGCTCTGGAGTGGACTTGCAGGCCAAGCTGAGACTATTGAGTGTATCGACACGTCGAACAACAATGGGACTGTTGGCTTTGAAACAATCACTTATACTCTTCATCAACTGCGCAATATCAAGAAGCTCAATATATCGGGCAATACTAGACTCGTCTCGGATGAACCACTCCTTACTGCGCGTGCGCTTAATAGCTGGGCTCTGCAAGAATTGGATCTCTCTGGAATAATCGTAAGTGCATGAGACATGATCACTGCAGTTCCGGTAGCTAACTAAACAACTACAGCTCAACACTACTAGTGTTGTTTCTCTCGCAAAATATATGGAGTCTCCAATGTCGCAAGGCCTCCAAGTGATCCGCCTTAATAATTGCGGCCTCACTGGAAGCCAAGTTGCCCAGCTCTTCTTTAGCATGGGCCACGCTAGACATATGACAGTTCATATAAATTCAAACTGGCTAGATGATGGTATCGAGATTTTGTGCGATGCAATTGCCTCTGGCCACGGACCTTGGAGTTTGTTCATGCAGATGACTGAGTTCAGCTATGAGCAGAGCTTTGTCAACCTGATGCGAGCATTGACCACCAACAAGACAATAGAGTGCCTGAGCTTGGCCGGTTGTGCCACGCCGGACGCTGTGAGCAGCACTGCTTGCGAGGCCGCTGCAGAACTCTTCGCCAAGAACGAGACCATCCGTTTCCTGGATATATCCGGATATTCTTCCAAGCTGGATGAAGGCCGGCTAGGAAGGGAATTTTCCAAATCGTTAAGTGGCATGAAGCACAACAAGCGAATTGAACATCTTCGCGTCCGAAGCCAGATGCTCAATATTAATATTGGAGATTTGGCTGAAGCTATCTCGGGCAACCAAACGCTGCATACTCTGGATTGCGAGGGGAATGATTTCAACCTCTCCAACTTCTGGCATCTAGTGAAGCGCATTGAGGCCAACACCACAATCCGGCACTTCTCGGCGTTTTCGGACGCAGAATTGGCCAAGACAATCCAGAAATCCGCAGAAGTTGATGTGCCGGTGGTGTCAACACGCCGCTCCTCCGGGCTATTTAACAAACTCAAACATGAAAAGGCTCCGGTGGTTGTGGAGAAGCCCCTTGTGCAGCGGCTAGGCGATGAATGGGATGCCGCAATTGCGGCGCTGAATCAAGTGCTTGAAAGAAACCAAAAGGCTTACAACGAGATACATGGTATTGGACAGACGTCGGCCGACCCAGCACTGGAAACGTGCGAGATAGAAGAGGGCACATTCTCAGTCGACTTTGGGGGGCTCGCCAGCAGAGAATTCGAGGCTCAAAACGCTACAGGCTCCTCTTTGCGCAGGGGTCCCTCCACTTCCAACCATGGCTCGGAAACATTAAAGGTTATCGTATGGGCGCCTCTCTCGGGTGAAACTTCCGACGAGACAACGATGCGGCCTTACTCCATTGTCTCAAGCGACGCGGCTAGTATCCCGACGACGGACGCCAGTTCCAATAGTGATGCGGGCAATGCGACACCTTCGGAGATGGAGAGCCCCCCTGAGAAAGAGCCCGGGTGGACCGGCGCTTCAGCTGTCGAAGGGACGAGCAACCCGGCATCCGACGAAAGCTTTTTGATTTCCGATAACGAAATAAGCTTGCTTATGGGGAAGTATCAAGGCTTTCTCGGTGAATCGGTGGAACCTATTGAAGAAGAGGAAAGACCATGAAAAGAGAAGGCTGAAAAGGGGCCACCCTGGCAATGGTATAAATTTGCAGGAAAACATGGCACTTTGAGATGTGCAGGGGAAAGGGGAATTGACTAGGGTGAAGGAGATGAGAAGGCAGGGAGCCGCCAGCGTGCCCAAACCCGGGACCTTTATTTTTATATTTATTTTTGGCATGTCATTTGGATTGCTTGCTTGCTTGCATGCATGCTCGATGGATGGATTGATTGATACCCATTGCTTATTGTCATTATTAGTCCCAAGCAGACTACATACCTATTGAACATAGAATCAGGACGCTCAAAGTTTTATAAGTTTATATCCACATAGTAATAGTGCTTGATGCCATCTCGATATACTGGTATTGATAACTAGTATACGGCAGCCTCTCTCTGTCATTGACCAAGTCTTGCGCGTGTGTGTAAAGTCAATATTGTAACAAAGGACCATTTCTTTCATTCAAATGCTCGTACGTTGGAATCCATTTTATGCATGTTCCGAGTTGCAAGAAACCCGGGTGGGGTGCAGCCACAGCGAGCCGTGGGGCGGTTCCTTGCCGCTGAGCCACGCAATTTGCCCAGCCCCAGCAGCTCCTCTTCTGCAGGCACTCCTCGTAACTGGAACCTCTACGGAGTCGAATCGCCCGCCTATAAGCAACGTTAGCATCATTTCACCGGGCGTTGGCGCGAGCTTCGTCATCACTTTCGAGTTCTTTCAGCCAGCTTCCTTTGTCTGCGTCTGACGCCTGATTTCTTGCTTTGGGGCTCAATTCTGCCCTTGATTCACTCACTTGTGCTTCGCTCTCTCTCACTCTCGCTCTCGCTCTTTGTCTTGCCTGCGTCTCGTCGAGCTGCGGAGCTCTCGCGCTCCTCGTTTTGAAAACCTCCTGAGGCGACAGATCCGACGACATCCGAGCGTCCCACGGCGTTGACGATGTATTCCAACTCGAACGCCTTCTTAGGAGGCAACAGTCCTCGCCCGGGGACTGGACAGCAGCAGTATGGCGGTTCCTTTAGCGGTCTTGGGCCTGGCCAGCAGCCGGGTCAACAGCCGGGCCCCTTTGCGCCGCAGCCCACGGGCTTCGGACAGCAGCCATTGCAGCAGCAATACACCGGATATCCGCTGCAGGCCCAGCAGACGGGATACCAGCCGCAGCAGCAGCCATTGCAGCAGCAGTATACCGGGTTTCCGGGACAGGCTCAGCCGCAGCAGTTCCAGACATCGAGCGCCCCGCCAATGCCGTCGATTCCTCCCCAATTCCAGCAGCAGTTTCAACAGCAGCAGCAACAGCAGCCGCCTCAACTTCAACAGCAGGTGCCGCAGCCGACGGGATTTCCATCCGTGCCGCCTCAGCAGCAGTCTAGCTCGACAATCTCCCCCCCTCCTCCTCCGATAAAGCCGCAGCCGACTGGGTTCGCGGAAGTGGCCGCGTCTTTCCAGACCGGCGGTACGGCAAAACCCCAGGGACGAAGAGGCGAAAAGACGCAGAGCAAGATCCCCAACATTAGGCTGTCTTTTATCACCGCCGCGGATCAAGCAAAGTTCGAGACGCTCTTCAAGTCCGCTGTGGGAGATGGCTCGGCGACAATGTCGGGAGAAAAGGCTAGGGACCTTTTGATACGCTCCAAGTTGGATGGTGATGCCTTGTCACATATCTGGTAAGGAAACAAGGCATTTATGTTCGCTACGATTCATACAGAGACTAACAGAGGGCCATATAGGACTTTAGCAGATACTACGCGAGCGGGACAGCTTTACTTCCCCGAATTCGCCCTTGCCATGTACCTTTGCAACTTGAAGCTCACAGGCAAGACGCTGCCACCAACTTTGCCCGACCATGTCAAAAACGAGGTGTCTAGCATGGTCGACATCATCGGCTTTAGCGTGGCAGATGAAGGTCCCTCTACGAGCCAGGCGACCAATGTGCCGACTATTGAACAGCCGAAGCCGCAACCACCACCACCATCAAACTCGCAGCTTCTCCAAGCGCAGATGACGGGCTTTCCTGGACAGCAACAGCCACAACAGCAAGGATTTGGAGGACAGTCGCAAGGTCTCCAACCTCAGCCGACGGGCTACGCCAACCTACAAAATCCCCAGCCAACAGGATTCAATGGCCCTCTTCCTCCATTGCCCCCTATGCCTACCGGATACGGCGGCCCTGGTGGCATGGTCGCCCCATTGAATGCACAACCCACAGGAGTGCCAGGTCAATGGGGCCTTGTCAATGCCCCTGCATCTGGGTTGCCCAACATTGATGCGCTGCAGGCTCGCATGATGCCTCAGGCGGGTCGCGAGGGTGGTACCTTTACCACGGCTGGCCTTCAGGGCAATGCTGTTATTCCGTGGGCCATTACCAAGGAAGAGAAGACCAGATACGATGCCCTCTTCAAAGCCTGGGATGGTCTTAGAAAGGGCTATATTGGCGGTGACACGGCTATTGAGATCTTCGGCCAAAGTGGCCTTGAGAAGCCTGACTTGGAGAGAGTCTGGACGTTGGCCGACCACGGTAACAAGGGCCGCCTAAACTTAGACGAATTTGCTGTCGCTATGCATTTAATCTACAGGAAGCTAAACGGATACCCCATGCCCAACGTGCTGCCTCCCGAGCTTGTCCCACCCTCTACTCGCAACTTCAGCCAGTCTATCGGTACCCTGAAGTCAATGTTGCATGAAGAGTCTGACTTTCGCAAGAACTCTGGTGCCGCCCTGCTGCCCCAAAAGACTGGCGTTAGTTATATGAAGAATCGGTCATTCCGAGGCGGCCCAAGCCCTGCTGCTGGCGGACGCAAGGATGCTACAGTGTTCAGGAATGACGATGAGGAGTTCGGATACAGGTCTAGTGCTCGCCGAAGGCTGGGAGGAGCCTCTCCCCGAGCCGAATCCCCAGCCGTGTCTTCTGTCGGCTCCAACGATGACTTGACCCTGGATGAGCTAAGGAAAAAGGTCAAGGAGAAGCAGATCTTGCTCGACGCTATGGATTTTGCCGATGAGAAGAACAACGAAGAGGACGACATCTTGGACCGACGCGATCGCCGCGAGGCAGAGGAACTCTACCGTCGCATCCGACGTATTCAGGATGATATTGATGCGCACCCAGATGCTGCACTGGCCGTTGGTAACTCGGACGCCGAGACGAGAGCTCTGAAGCGCCAGCTCCAGAACCTCACGGACAAGGTCCCCCAACTTGCATCCCAAGTCCGAAAGGCGGAAAAGGCCATCATGGAAGCAAGACTTGAGCTTTTCCGTCTCAAGGATGCCAAGGCTCACCCTGGCAGCGCGTCGTCCATTGTCGGAACTGGTCCCGGCGGATCAGTCACGGAATCGGACCGGCTCAAGGCTCGAGCCAAGGCCATGATGCAACAGAGAACTGCTGCTCTGACAGGCAAGAAGATCGAGACCACCTCTGAGGACTTTGACGCCCCCAAGAGGCTCGAGGAAGAGACCATCCGGGTTAAGAATGAAAAGCAGGGCAATGAGCGCATGGTCCGTGACGTTGAGGAAAGTGTCCGCGAATTCTCGCGCAGCATCGAGGACAACCTCAACGATACTGGAAAGGACAACAGCAGTGAGCATGAGAGGCGTCGCTGGGAGGACGCCCTCGGTGTTGAGGATGAAGTTCGAGACTTCATCTTCGATCTCCAGCGCGAGAGCCGGGCAGCCCGCGTCCGGGCCCAGGACAAGCGCTCTACACGGCCCTCAGCAGCAGACGAGCCTCGCCGAGAAAGAGCTGCCGCCGCGGCTCCCCAGCAGGACGAGAGCCCCGCTCCAGCTTCGCGTACTGCCACTCCTTCTTCTACAGCGGGCGGCGGTTCGTACTCTTCGTACAAGACGCCTGAGGAGCGCGCTGCCTTTATCAAGCAGCAAGCTGAACAGCGCATGGCTGAGCGTCTTGCAGCACTGGGTATCAAGGCACCGACCAAGTCTGGAGAGACAGCTGCTCAGCGTATAGAGCGCGAGAGGAGCGAAAGAGCTGCCAAGTTGCGTCAGGCTGAGGAGGAGGACGCCCGCCGAGAAGCTGAGCGACAAGCTCGCCTTGCTGAAGAACAGGGAATTCCACCTCCGGCCGTGGAAGAGGCGGCACCGGCCGCTGCGGCTAAGAAGCCTCCGCCACCTCCGTCAAGAAAGGGAGGGAAAGCCGAAAATGATCGCGATGTAGCGAGAAAGGCAGAGGAAGAGGCTGCCAAGGCCGCTGAAGAGGAGCGCCTGGCTCGAGAGCATGAGCAGCAACAGAGGCAAACCGAACAAATGAGGTATGTCATCAAGTATTCTATTACCCCTTTTTTCCCAGTGATGGATCGCTAACGGTTCCGGTTACAGGCAAAAAGTAGAGGAGGAGGAAGACGAATTTGAAAAGGAGCAACGTGAAGCTGCGGAACGGCTCAAGGCTCTGGAAGAACAGGTTCGACAAGGAAAGCTACGAAAGGAAGAGGAAAAGAAAAAGAAGAAGGCAGCTGCGGCAGAAGCCAAGGAAAAGGAAGCCAAGCTAGCTGCTCGTCGTGCGGAGATGGAGGCTGCCAAACAGCGTGAACTTGAGCTGCAGCGCCAACTCGAGGCTATCAACGACGAAGATAGCTCGTCATCCGATGAAGACGAAGGCCAGCAGCAAGCTACACCACAGGCTTCGACCCCTTCGCCTGAGCAGAGAGTGAGCTCACCACCTGCTCCCGCTGCCGCTGTCGCTGCCCCTCCCCCTCCCCCTTCGGCCGTCTCTCCACCACCTGTTCCCACGGTGGTTACCTCTCCTCCCGCTGAGACGGAGAGCAAGAACCCCTACTTCAAGATGATGTCGCAGTCATCGGAGGCATCTTCCCCAGCTGCACCAAAGGAAGCAACAACACCTGCAGCTGACATTTCCACGAACCCATTCCACCGCATGACGCAGGATATCAAGTCTGCCCCCGTGCCAACTCCCGCTCCCGCCCAGCCTTGGTCTCGCAAGCGAGCCGATTCTGACGACTGGGGCTCCAACAAGGAGTCGGACGACGAAGACTCTGACGATGACCGGCCCGGCGGCGGCAACGCTGCTCAGCTGGCGTCTATCTTGTTCGGTACCATGGCGCCACCAAGGCCGCTCTCCGCTGCTGGTAGAGATTCGTCGCCATCCACGCCTGCTCCGGCAAGCGAGGCGATATCTTCTCCTCCACCTCTGCCGAGCGGAACGCCCGTTGGTGCTCCTCCACCACCTCCTCCTATGCCAGACGCTGGAAGCCCACCTCCTCCGCCGCCAATGGCTCCTATCGGAGGCCCTCCCCCTCCTCCGGCCTTGCCTGGCGGTGCACCCCCTCCTCCCCCTCCTCCTCCTCCTGGCGGTGCTCCGGCATTACCAGCAGCAGGCGGCGGCCGTCCCGCTGGCTTCCTGGGAGAGATTCAAGCCGGAAGAGCTCTCAAGAAGACGACGACAAAAGACAAGAGCGCAGCTGCCGTCGCTGGCCGAGTTCTGGAGTAGGCTTGCTAAACTGCGATTGGAAAGGGGGAGTAGGCCTTGGCCTTTCTTTACACTACTGAGAGAGGGATTTGGTTTTATTTGAAGTTGATGTCGATGTTGAGGCGGATGCAAAAGAAGTAGGGGAAGGAGAGAGATATTCCGGCAGCGTGTACGTTTAGCACGAAAATGAACACAATGCTTTTTATGTTTAGGTTCTGAGTTTGAGAGAGATTTTGTCATTTAACATTTTACTTTTTTGAAACTATTGTTTATTATTAGGAGCTAGTAATGCTATCCCTATGATTTCTACTTCTTCAAAATTGCCGGCTTTTTGCTCAGGAGCTCGTACGTGTGCGCTGTATTGGCACCAACTTGTGACAATGTGACAAAAGCCTCCGTATCATGATTAGTAGTATAGAGGCCATGTCTTAACATCCAATGTCAGATGAAGAGCAGCTTGCTCCTTTCAGCATTTCGCCTTTCTCTCACTCTCGGATACTTGCCTGTATCACTGTACATGCTCACTCTGCCAGGGCCAAGACGGGCTTGATGAATGAGTGGTGCAGGTCTCAATGTTTCAAATATATTGCACAGGCCACGGCAGTTGCACGGTTCAGGTAGAGTCGAGCATGATGCCAAGTCGTACTACGTGGCAATCCATAGGGAGAGGAGAAGACGAAAAAGCGGGAAGCGTGATACGGAGTTTTCTAGCAGTACTACTAGGTATTCATAGCCACAGACATGGTCGTACAAGGTTGTACGGAGTAGTGGTGACATTCTCTGTTGAGAGGTGAGGTTGAAGCCGACTGTACAAACAACCGTGCACGGCCATTTTGCTCTCATGTAGTATCATTAATTCTTTTTGTGAATTTGAAGGCCCTCCCCTTCCCCCTGCAGGAGGTGGCAATACGGATGCAAGATGCAGAAGTCAGGAGATGAGTGAAAGGATTTGGCCGACTGGTGCTGAGGAGAGCAGTATTCTAGAATAGGTGCTATCATGATGCCTGATTAACTCATCATGGACTGGGAAGAGCCGCAATGGAAGTGAGACTGGCAAGGGGGTGTTGGATTAGATATGGCGATTACTGTAGCAAGTTGAGTGCATGTACATACAGTCATATAACTAAACGGATAAGGGGAGGAATGGATGAACGGGTGCAAGGATGCAATTAATTAAAGATGCATGCAGCTTGTACCGCGCTCCGGCCATTGCTCTTTTTCCTTTGTTTCCTGTTGCCTGCTGTGCCTACTAAAGTACAGTATGCTTCAAGTTTCTTTGTGTCTACTTTTGTACGAAAATAGAAGCAACTGACTGGACAAGGGAACGGATGACAGCGCATGAGCCCAAGCAAGGATTGCAGCAAGGCCCCAGCGAAAAGAGAGCAAGAGATTAAAGATACTCGGTGAACCGACGAGGGTGCAGATTTCCAACTAACCTTATTCTTCCATAAGTTTCAAGATGCAGCCATTTATGCGTTTGGGGGCTTCTCTCTTCTACGAGCAGGCAATCCTTCTATTCTGTTTCCGTGAGATGGGTTTTGGCTGTCAAATTACGGGAGTGCCTACCTAACTCGGCATAGAATGGCAACACTTTCTTGTAAAACAGTTCTAAGCTTACAAGGCCAAGGATTTACAGTAAACGGCGATGCCTTGCGTGTGGTTCGTGCTCAGTGACAGGCGAACGGGATGCAGGGCCCTGCGCATGGGGGACACGTTGGGGATGAGGAAACCGTTAACACGGGAGAGAAAGAGACTGAGACTTATCTTCAGGGACGAGAAAAGGCAGAGAGAACAGCCACGCTGAAGCATTGCGCTTGTCTTTCTGCTGTTTCAGTCTGAGAATAAACTAGTAGAAACTCCATTCCCCCAGCTTTCCTTGTCGGCATCATCGGAAGGGGGTGGCAGTTCGATGACACAGTGTGTATCCTCCCTCGTTCAAATGTCTGTCTTTTTTTCTTTTTCGTTCACGGAGGAAAAGGATCTGGAATGGAGGAGGGGGAGGAGGCTAAGCAAGGGGGTGGAAGAGAGAGCGGCCAGGATATACGTTGACGCGTAGAGTGCAAGAGAAGCTTTTTACTTTTCTTACTTTTCTTCAGAGGACGAAGCCACGGCACTTGGCCGGGTGGATGGTATCGAGAGTCAATGCGCCGCAAGGATATGGTCATTAAGATCAAATAGTAGCACCAGTAGTTTGAGCCAGTAGCAGGCGATAGTTTGCAATGCATTGCTGAACTATACCGACTAGCGTGTTTGAGGTTGATTGCTTGCCAGCTCAGCAGGCTTGACACTAGGAGCTCAGACGTGGTACGATCTTGATCATCGTAAAAGGAAGAATCCAGTCTTGTAGGCAGAAGACGGACGGGAGATAGATGGAGACGATACGAGTGGTACAAGTAAACAACTGAGACATGGAGACGGTCGTGACGGCTGCTTGCGTCATGAGGATGCGATCGACAGCACAAGGCGGGCTAATTCATGCACCTTTTTCAACTTCGTCTTATCCGTCGTCTCCAGCTACCACTTCGGTCCAAGCGGTGCTAATTAATCGCGGTGCCTTTTATCGCGATTCTGTATGAACAAAGAGCCTCGGGATGGATCCAATGCGAGCTCTCGGGATTCTAAATGGCAGCGCCGGCGCTAGTGGTCAATGCAGCGCCGTGATTGGTGCGCGACGCGTCCAAAGTAAACAAGGGTCTGGACGCGTCTTGATTATGACGCGTTTTTTAAGCGACCTCCAACATGCCACCAAAGGGCACGCACTTAAGACTCGACTGCTCACCCAGCAAAGAACAGAATGAGAGTGAGTGCAGAAGTCGGCCCAAGACCCAGACGTCAGTCACACTGTTGGGCTGCAGTGGGACCGGCTTCAAGTCTTGACTCTCAAACGCCCTGGCCCGCCCAATCAGCGACTCGCGCTCGGCATTCTCGCACGCCCCCCCTTCTGTGCTCCCTCTCGAGGACGAGCGAGTGAGTGCTCAGATGTCGCCTTTTCTACTCCGTACGGAGGATACAGGTCGTACTTGGTACGGAGTACTTCACGGGAGGTATTCACATGCCTTGCTGGCTGGGGTATGTGGGCGAATCGCGACCAGGGTTGCGACCGAATTCGCGGAGAGCCTATCGCTGGGTATCACCGAGACCCATCTCCGGCCTCTGTCTTGGGCCGCCCGGATGCTTGAGAGCGGGTTCGCCGCCGAGTTGAAGGGCCAATTGCCCTTGAGAGCAGACATCAGCTGAGAGGGTTGACGCGTTGTTGTCGCTCCGTATTTAGTCGCGTATTACGACGACTTGGTGCCGAATGGTGAGATGGCATCCCGTAGTTTTCTCCGTCTGTTTTGTTTATCTTTAGTATCTGTTTGGAGTGGGTTTGAGAGTTGTCATATGTCCGTTCCGTCGAAAAGGCCGGCCCAGATGAGATAAAAATGGACATGTTGCAAGCATGTATCATTATGCGTGGGGGAGATGCTCATGGAGGGGGGGAAGGGATACGGATTTGGAGGGGTTCGTGGAGGGGGGAACAAGGTAAGCCAAAGCCAAAGCCAAAGGGAAACAAGAGTCAGAAGGGCAGCAGAGACAAGATCCCTGCGAGGGATCAAGACGCAGAAAAAAGGCTGAAGAGGTCCGGTCAGGGAAGAACAGAGTTTGAAACGCAGGCGTCGAGAACACGCGAGTTTTGGAATCGGGGTGCCTGGATTCTAACCTTGTGATCGTGGCAGGAACAGAATGAGACATGACAGATTCCACTTGCACGCACTAGCCAAGAGGACAAGAAACTCTGCCTCTGAGCGAGTACGTAAATGGACGATCCGGGTTAATACTATCCACGGCTAAGTGGCAGTAGTCGAGTGCTGATGGGAGAAGCCAGCTGATGATGACGGATGGTTTGAAGGCTGAGCGCGAACCTTAGTCGAGCCGGGAAAAAAAGACGAGGCGCGATCAAATAGTATCCATAACTACAACGGCTTCTCCGTTCCTCATTCTTCCGGAGAGCATCAATGGGCTTAAAAACACTAGACATAGGGTTACTAAAGTTAGTACATGCTAGGCATTTAGAAGTGGATTGCCATTGATGCCATGGGTGCGCTCAATCGGGGTACCTGGCCCCGAATTGGGGGCGGCAGTCGAGGCATCGCCAGATCTGTCTGTCAAGCATATCGAGCAGAGGATAAGCAACAACATTTTGAATGCGAGATTGGGCTACGAATTGCGGCGCCCAACCCTCGCGCATGCATGCATCATGCAGGCCACTGCCCAGTCAAAGAGCTCCGTCTCTTGTTTACCGCTGCAGCTGATGCGATGATGGACTTGCGCAGGTCGCATGGCAACCGTCAGGTTGCAGATGGGATGGTCGTGATGGCGACGGCGAATCGCAGAGAAGCCTTCAAAAAGGGTGTTGCCGCTACTGCTTCTCGCACTTACATCTACCTACATCTACATCTACATCTGCTGTATGTACACTGCGCATCAATCGCATCATTGCTACCTCCAAATCCCTTATGCCTCGCTCGGTATCTCGCGGCTCATACTACTACTATACTCGCATATACGAAGCCTCGTTCTTGTACCACTCCCTCGGTCCATTACCTTTCCATACCTTGGCATACCCAGCCAGATAATACACCAGACCTCATACACAGCCCTACTATAGATATATACACATACACCTCTATTACCTACCTTACCTACTAAGGTATCAATCTCATGTACGTGCTCGTACTACTGCTGCTGCTAGCATCACCATCCCCCTGGCAAAATATACTATCCAGATGGTGCTACGTGCTGCACAGATACCGGCAGCTGCTCCGTACGGACCTTTTACTCACATGCTCTGGCGCATGTAATGCAGTCCTCACTTACAGGCTCGCTTGCTCCGCTCTCACACAGCCCAGCCCCAGTCGGTTCAAGACAAAAGAGCATCGATCGATCGTCAGGACGCAGAGTCAAAGAGAGAAAAGGGAAAAGACAGAAAGCCGTGCATCTTTGTTGCATTCCCAAAGACACGCCCCCGCCGCCTGTCTCTGTCTCTTTCTCTCCTACAGTACGAGTACAGCAGGCTCCCTTGGCTTGGGTCTTGCTGAGACGCGCGCGAGCCCTCTAAAAGCCCGTTCCGTGCAAAGAAGAGGGGGGGAGGCCACCCTCACATTACTGTACTGTACAGCGCTGTAATACTGTGCTTGTGCTTGCGCTTGCACCTTACATACTCTCACCCTCACCTTCATTCTCGCTCGCACTTCTCACTCCCAGCAGCTTTTATCTCGTTGACAATTTAACCCACCACACCAAAAGACGGGACCGCATTTGCTCGATCCAATCCTGTCCAGCGCTTCCACCCATCCAACAACCATCGCATCGACAAAGTTCTGACGACTGGCTTTGCGACTGGCCACATCTGGCTTGGCCTTGTGCTAGTTGCGGGCTGGAGAAGCAAGATTTCTGCACGCCGCCAGACAATCCCTGCCCCGGTCGCTCGTGTCAGCCTAGACAGCTTGCCATCCAATCCGCATCGCATCCCTGACGCGCTGGGCTTTCTCTGCGTCTCTCGCACTGCCAGGGGCCCTGGTCAGCGATCCACTCGGGCCTGTTCCAAGGATCGAAAGTTTGCCCTTGTGCTTGGATCAAAGCCAGAGGCCATCCACCTTTGTTCGTCCTCCCTTCCGATCATACTGGCATTCCCTATTACAGCGCCCGTCTCCCCTCGTCTTTACTCGTCTTTTTCCATCTCTTCCATCCCACCTCTCTGTCGCGGCTCTACACATTTCCTGCCGCCTTTGCTAACCATTTCTTCCACGCGCAAAAGACACAAACGTGCAACCCGATCCGACGCGACGCTTGTCCTTCTCCCTCCCGCCACTTCACCTTTTCAGCTTAATTGAAGAAATCTTAAAGAGATTCTTCTTCATACAATTCATCTGCGGGTCCGATCGGCTCTCCTATTATCCCATTAACCCAGCCGAGAAAAAAGGACAGAAAAAGTAGTAAAAACCCGGTCAGGGCCGTGACTCCCCCAAGCCTTGTATCTGCCGCCCCACCGCGCCTGCGAGTGACGGTGACCTCAGCGAGGTGAGCACAAAAAAAACCCCCATGCTTGGCTCTTTTTATTCCATTCTTCTCTCTCTCCATTCTCTTTAATTTCCTTCAGCCCTCCCGGAGCTTTGCAATGCTTCCACTCTCAGAACCACGCCGGTGTCGCGTCTTTCCCCTTGCACCCTCGGCTGACTAGCGCGCCCAGAAGCAGAAGCTTTTCACAGCTCTTCACGCACAGCCCGCTCCACAACGCTCAAAGAGCATCACCACACAAAGGCCGAAATGGCCCAGCCGACGCGCTTTTACGGCTCCTCCAGGCCGCTTGAAGTTTTTAATGACGACATGTTTTTCGAGAACGAAGCACCAGCACCCATGACCAGCCACGCACCCATGCCGAATCCATCCAGGCCTATTCGCCGTCCCCTTGGTAATTCAAGCTCAAACGTCATTCTCGAGCCCGCATCATCATCTCACGGCAGCAAATTCTCTCCCTTCAAGAACAAGACACCCAGAGCGCCGCTCAAACCCTCACACGGCCTCAACAAGTTTAACGGCATCTCAATGGCGCCTCCCACCGACAAGGCCCCGGTGACGGATTCGCTGCAAAAGAAGCCGCAGCTCTCCAACTTCAAGACAGGCCTACAGAAGCCACCGCTCACGGATCCCAACGCCTTCGGCAAGGAAAATGTTCACCCACAGATCTTCCCGGCACCTCCGGCTATTAATATCTCAGTGGAGCAGTACTACCAGGATCCAAGTGGGAGGAAGGGACTGATGGAGGCGGCACCAATCAAGGAGGCTCGAGTCAACAAGAAATCCAAGGCCGAGGAGCAATCACTACCACCGCACGATTCGTTCCCACCCATCACCGACGATGGTACAAAACCACCTCACAGCTACGCACAACTCATTGGAATGGCCATTCTACGGTCCTCAAAGCGTCGTCTCACCCTTGCTCAGATTTACAAGTGGATCAGCGACAACTATTCCTTCTACAACCCCAACGACGCAGGATGGCAAAACAGCATTCGACATAACCTGAGCTTGCACAAGAACTTTATCAAGATCGAACGACCAAAGGACGACCCCGGCAAGGGAAACTACTGGGGTATTGAGCCCGGCACCGAGTTCCAGTTCCTCAAGGAGAAGCCAACACGCAAATCGGTCCCAACTGCAGAGAACCTCCCCGTCATGTCAACTCGTCTAGAGCCCTCTCGACCAACGCCAGCACTGATGCCCGAGCCTTCACTGCCACCCCCGGCTCCTATGCATCATCACCAGCCGCAGCACGCGAACAGCCTCCCCCCTCTTCCGACTTCTCAGGCGACCTTGTCCATGCCCTTGGAGCCTTCCTCAGATGCCACCATCCTCGTGTCTGACAATGCGCCTGCTGAGGACCTGGTGGAAAAGGGTCTTGACAACGAATTGCCATTGGAATCGTCCTTCTTCTCGCCTCTACCTGCAGCTTTACACTCAACTCCACCTGTACCTCGACCAGAGCGACGAAATGGCACACCACCTCCTATGAGCCGCAATCCTGCCTCGTCTGTGACTAGGACTCACAAGCGCAAGTTCGCTTCCATGGATGACAGCGGCTACATCTCCTCTCTCGAGTCATCTGCCATGCGCCCGAACGCAACCAGGTCAGCTTTCTTCACATCTGAGGCTGACCGGCACCGAATCAAGCGCGGCCGCGCCGAGGAGGAGATTGCACGGCTCAGGGGATCTTCTCCTTTTAGCCCGACTAAGAGCCGTTCATTTTCCAACTATGGACTCAATTCATCGTCTCCTTTCCGACAGTCCCACGACAACCAGATGCCACCTCCTCTCACTCCCATCGTTAAGAAGGCCAAGGCCATCGTGCAGCCGCCACCCTCAGTTTCTCCCAACACGAATCTACGCATCCACCGCGCCAAGGTCCGCCACTTGCTGCAATCTCCCCTGCGACGAGTAGCCAACCTTTCCAATGATGACAGCCTGCCGTGGAGTCCTGCCTTCCGCCTTGATGATAACCTCTTCAGCTTTGACACCCCCAACGCCAGCCATATTCCCGACTTTGACATCTTCCAAGATCTACCGGTGGATGATGAGAATGTTTTCGATAGCATCGGCTGTGCAGATGCTGGCTCACCCATCAAGCGCTCTGTCAAGCGCGCTCGCCTAGATCGATCTATTTCCTCATCAGCCATTGGAGACTTGTCAGCTTCCAAGAAGATTGTCTCATCGGCGCCTTTGCTCAAGGCCCCTGATACACCTTCACAGTTTCTGGAAACGCCAAGCAAAGCCTTTGAGGGCCTCGGCTCCCCGTCCAAGCTCTTTCAAGGATCGCCCATCAGGGGTGCATCCCCGAGCAAGTTTGTCTCCTTAATAGAGCTTCCAGGAGACGGGGACTGGCCATCTCTCCACATCGACCCCAACGACTTTGCTTCAGGGGCTGGTGTGGATGGCTCAGACTTTACCGGCCTTGATATCCTTCAGGGGTTCGAGAAGATCGGATCTGGCTCACAGCCCTCTAGAGGCCTGAAACAGAGCGGGAAACCTACTTTGGGTCGAAGCTTTTCAACCACCTTTTAGAAGACGTTGCTTGCGAAAGGCAAATGATGACGATCACTTTTTTATGACATTGATGAAGACAGGAGGAAAGATAGAGCCCAATGAAGAACAGATCAAGGGTTGCTTTCCTTTTCGAATGTCCAGCACTTTATACACCACGACCAAAGCTTCCTTCACACGACTCACACGACGATTACTGGCATTTGACGTTACGCGATTCTAGACTGCGATGGGGTTCGCAGTTCTACGTGCAAGCCCAACTTCTCCCCTTGGGCCTCACGGCTTGTTCCCTAATGGGTAATGATGATTCTGAGTACATAGTATAACTTTTTTTTTACCTTTGTTTTTGCGGCATTGGAATACGACCACGGTCGATTCCGGGAAATGGGATAGCTTGGCTTAGCTGGTATGGCCTGGGCCTAGGCTTGGACTTGGACTTGGCTTTATTGCAAGGGATTGATGGTTTTTTTTTTTTCTTCTTTTTCTTTTTATCCCTCTTGATTGGTTCTCTTATTCTTTTGCTATTGAGTGTGTATTCACTTCTTTACCGGACTATGGGTTGGATGCATGGAGTCTGGATTCACAAACATGCGCATACGCGCGTGTGTACCTAGGGAACTGGTATTAAAGGGGTTTGTGAGAGACTTGGCTTGGCTCATGTTTGAATTTTATTTCCTTGTTGGGCTTTTTCTTCTTCTACTAAGGGATTGGGAACGGATTCGCTTTTGGGATTATTCCCCTGTCGGATAGGCTTGGGTGTTTTGCTCTTTATGTGTGCTGTAGGTTCTCTAGTTGTACCTTTTTTTTCAAAAGGCGATTGACTTTTTTTTTTTTTTTTTGATATCAAGTTCAATTGACTGCTTGCTTTCAAGATTCGATGTATTGTTTGCACCAGTGCCGTGTCTGTATCTATTTGCTTGATAGCTACTAACCAGCGTAAGATGTGTGGCTCAGGCCGTGCCTAACACGCATCATTAAGCCTGGTTCACTCATGTGTTCCCCCCCTTCGCCCCCAGCCTGCTCCATATAACATTGCACATGACTGTGTGCATGTGTGTCGTGTGAACTCGGGGGGTATCTACCTTTGGATCGTTCGTTACATTAAGCTTGTTGAAAAGAAAAAATGTCTTGTCTCTCTCATGCCGATACCCAAAACGCCTCGTGTAGAGCTCATATATACAGTTGCCTACATCGAAAAAAATTCCCAACTGGGCGCAGACGCAGCCCTTGCTTCCCTCCCATGAAATCAAAAAAATAAATCTATCAGTCGACCCTTTTATTTGTCATTGTTGCTCGTTTGTCGTAGAAACCGGGTGTTAAAAGTAAAGAAAGATGTGTGAAGAAGTCAATCTTCAGAGTTTGGCATTTAAAGAAAGTTGTGTGGTCCAGTTTCGTGTTAGGTCTAGTAGATGCGTATGCGAGACGCCCAGCTGGTCTCCTTGGACTCGAGGTTAATCTTATAGGGGAAAGGGTTGCCGCCCTGGGTGGTGATCGGGGGGATGTGGTCTTTGTGGGTGTTGACAAAGGTGACGATTTTCATGGCCGTGGCGAAGAGAGTTTGCTCCATAGCTCTGCGGACTTTGGCTCGTTCTACGTTTTTCGGGTTCTGTCTTAGTATGGGAGAGCTCGGGGAAAGTTGGGCGTTCGAGCTATATGCAGCAGTAAACATACCGTTTTCCGTTCTCGGTTCAGCGACAGTGACTTTGATTGTCCATGTTTCCCAGCAGACTTCCTCGTCTGCGCGGCCAAACGGCCAGGCCTTCTTGCGTTTTCGCTCGAAGAACTGGACGGTAATCTGGCCCCGTCCTCCGCTACCGCCGTCTCCCATCCCAGGGCCGCTCATTCTGTCTCCCTTGACCGGTGCGCCTCCGGCCTGGCCACCTGAATTGGATAGTCGTTCGGCATCGAGCTGGCGCTCGAGCGCATAGGCGCGCTGCTCGATCAGCGTCTCCAGCTCATCGTCGTTGACGAAGGGAAGAGTGACATCCAAGACCTCGTGCGTTCGGGGGGCGAGAGAAGGGAAGAATCGGTTAAAGAAAATTGTGTGCAATATGCCTGTGTTGCTCGCTGTGTTAGCTGAAAGAGACTTGTTGATGCGACGACGACGGGGCGCTTGTCGCATAGGGCTGACGAGGCCAATCAAGTACCTTTAACCACGTCGCGAACAGATCGAGGATCCGTAAAAACGTCGAGTATGAATTCCGGGGGTTTTTGCTGATCCATTTCTTCTTTCCAGGGGAGCAAGGTAGCCGTGGCTGGTAAAAGGAGGGTCGGAAAGGGAAAGCAGCGAGGAAGAAAATTTTGCCTCTTTCGCTTCAGACTTGGACTCTCTCTCTCTCTCTGCGATCAATTATCGATGTCACCGCCAGTGGGAAGCGCTGAAATCGAAGAAGAAGAAATGGATTGGGCCAGTGTTATCTCGACTGCTGGGCGAATCGGCGCATTGCTGGATGTTTTTAAACACGAGCCACGGTCAAGAGGTGAGTCGTCAGCAGGAGAGGGAGTCACCAGACCAAGATGTCGAGGCTTGACTAGCAGTGCTACCGTCTACCCAGTGACAGGAGGTTGGAGTTTGCGACAGCCACAGCGCCTAGACGCGGAAAGCAAAGGAGGTGCCGAATTCGCTGCGGGCGATTGCAGGGAGCAATCCAAGGAGGAGGCGAAAAATAAAGAAAAATGCAGCGAGATGAGAATAAAATAAAATTATGCCCTGTGGTATGCAAGCAGACAATTGAAGCGAGGGGGTGGGGGAGTGAGAGAGCTGGAGAGGGGCAAAAAAAAAATTAAACATCCTTGGAGGAATGATGCTTGTCCGGGTGGTTTTCTTTTTGGCTGGTGCAGGTATTATTTGCCGGCCGGTGACTGGCTGGGTGCAGTGCAGCCTGGCAAGCCTGGCCTGGCATGCCACTAAACTTGCTTGCGCTGCACTGACGGACAGCAGCTGAAGGTGCACTGCCTGGTGCCAATTCAGCTCTAGTGGCACCAGTTGTGGCGTGGGGATCGATCGGGAAATGCGACAGTCACGTCACTGGAACTCGACTGTCGTAGTGACATTCGAGCTCAGCCCAGCCCAGCCCAAATCTCTGCTGGCTACTACGACTACGAGTACAGAGTACATACCTGCGATAAGAGATAATCTTGAATGTTTCAACGTTGACCGAGGAAGGAGGATGAGATGGCTACCAGTATTGTACAGCAGGTAGATGACCCCGAATATTGTTTGCCTTGAAACCATTCAGGGTAGTACATCCTTTCTATCAGTTGATCATTACATAGTACTTGCATCGTGAGCATTATCCTAGGCGACACCCTTTTGTGGAATCCCTACCTCCAAACCTTTTCTCAACATACGACTTCCACTTCCGGGTAAGACGGGAGCTTTAAGAAGATCCGCGAGGAAATAAGCATCTCTGTCTAGATGGGTATTGTTCCGATGGGTGTGTTTCTTCCTGCATGAAGCCCACCAGCTGTGAAGTCATTGCAGTAATCAATCAATATCTGAGAATAACACATGCAACTAGAGCATCATATTAGTGCGTGCATACACCCAGCAGGCCCCCGGAATACTAATCGGCGGGCCTGCCTTACAGCACGGGTCCCGAGCGATACTTGCCCAGTACCCGTATCTACAGCCCTACTAGCGCTGTCTGCCGCGAGTGCACCCGTACCTGCCGCGTACTCCTTGCTCGTGCCATTGACCCCTTGCCGAAGACGCCAATTAGAGACCCCGGTGCCCCGTGGCGCTGAGCAGAACCGAGGCACGCTGCAAACATTGAACCAAACACAGTTGAGCTCCAATCTCAACCACCATCGCGACTTTCCATTGCAACGGCCCTGCAGTCTCTGTGCGACGTGTCCCGTCTGCTGTGCCTGCTATTTAAAGTTTGCGTCTCTCCCCGAACCCACAGGAACCCGAGATATTTCGTTCATGTCGCCGAATTGCTGATCCATGACCCTCTGATTCGATTCGACCCGACCCGATCTGACCTGTGCAGCGCTGCCCAACATGTTTTCTTCAACCCGGCGCTGGCTGCATCGGAACCGGACGCCAATTGCCATCGGCGTTGGAGTCGTCGGTGCTGGCTATGCCGTGACGCAGTATGTGCTGTCCAAGATTAACGATGCGCGCGAGCGCATGAGCAGCGACCGAATCGCCAAGGAGAAGTAAGTTGTGGCTGTCTTACCATGTTTATCTCTCTCTCTCTCTTCGTTGCCAACCAAGTCGGGCTACTCTAGTCTTCGCCGTCGATTCGAGCAGAACCAGGAAGACTGCACGTTTACCGTCCTGGCTCTCCTGCCTACCGCCACCGGCAACGTCATCACGGCCCTCAACACGGAGCGCATCACCTACGAGATCCAGCAGATCAAGAGCTCGGCAAGGAGCCTCAAGGGCATTCAGACGACTAGCCCGCCCAGTATTGCCGATACCACCCTCACCGAAGATGATAGCAAGAGCACCATCAGTGTGCCTGTTGACATCGGCATGCCCTTCACCACAGATGGTTCCCAATCGGAGCTCGCTCCTCCAAGACCACGAAAGACCAAAAGGCAGCTGTGGGATGACCTCACCATCAGCGGTACGCGCCACTTGCTCATTTATCCATACTGACGCATGTGAGAATAAGAAGAAATACTGACAATATCTGGTTAATGCAGCCATTACGAGATCATTCACGCTCATCTACACACTCGCCCTCCTTACCATGCTCACCAGAGTCCAGCTAAACCTGCTGGGTCGACGCAGCTATTTATCCAGCGTTGTTGCTCTCGCCACTGGCAGCCAACAGGCCACCATCAACCTTGAGAACAATGACGATGATAACCCCAACCAGACATACGGCAGCGACTTCGACACGAACCGCAAGTACCTGACCTTTAGCTGGTGGTTGCTAAATAAGGGGTGGATTGAAGTCATGCAACGTGTAGAGAGCTCTGTACGAACCGTCTTTGGCAGCCTCAGCCCCCGCGATCTTGTCACCTTTGATCGCGTCTCTCAGTTGACCGCAGAGGTCAGAAAGCTCATTGAAGGATCCTCCAACGAACGCAAGGGATCTGATTGGCTGGCCTTCCTATTGCCCCCGAAAGATAAGGAAGACGAGGTCATCCGTGAGTCTGGCATCTTGGACGACGCGGGTATGGGCCCTCAGGACGGCGCCCAGGTTTCGCCCGCTGCACTGAGGCGGCTGCTCGATGAGACGGCTGACCTGATCGAATCACCGGCCTTTTCACACGTTCTGACCCTGATTCTCGACTCTGGATTCTCGTTGCTAGTGGATAAGAAGCTGGCTACCGAGGCTTTTGAGTTTTCTCTGGACGATGCCCCCACAGCAGTGGCAACGACGGCCAGCCTCAAGCGCACCAGGGCCATTCTCCTACCCAAGATTCTCTCTGTATTGACACGACAGGCTCATGTCATTGGCAACGGCATGCCAAATGAGTATCTCCAAGAAATGGAGACGGTGCGCGATCTAGAGGCCTTCTCTGCAGTTGTATACTCCAGCAACTGGGAGAATGAAATGAAGGAAGATGGGCTCATGGAGAGTGCCGTTTACCTCAAGTCTGAAGACACCCAGTCTCAGTCAACTCAGGTCGAGAGCAGCGTCGTCATTGTTGAGCCCCAGGCTACTGCTGACCTTGAAGGCGCATGGGCAAGGGCAGCGGACAAGAGAGCTTGAGGGAGAATAGGAAACGGTACCAACAATGCGCATACTTGTATAGTAAAGAGTAAAGATTTGATGCATTCTACAGGTTTGGTAATCATTTTGGTTGCAAGGGGCGGGACGGATGACTACAAAGATTTAATGGTTTTGTTTCTTGCTTTATCTTTCTTCCCTGTTTTGGTATTATATTGGTGTTGGCAAACTTAGCAGACGGCATATAACGATATATCCCACGTTGTCCCCGGCGCTCAGAGATTGGCGCTTGGTCTCTTCTAAAGATGAGTAGTATCTCTTTTGCGCGCCTGTGCCCCAGATTCTACGGCTCCAACCACAGACAGGTTTGTCTGGGTGCCACAACCCGCGGATTCTCCAATGCTACCCAAAGAGAGCTTCCTGAATCGTCCATCCCCACAAACGCCTCGTCGCTTACACCTCTCCTCTCTTTCAGGTACAGGTATTTTGACCAGAGGCGGCCAGATTCCGTAGTGCCCCAGCTACGAGCTAGGGAAGTGTGGCGGATCAGCGCCTGAAAGCTCTCATTTCGTGAGCATTAGAGAGGTCGCCATCGTCGTTACTGCTTGTAGTCTCCGCACTTTAAATGTTTCGTTCCACCTGTGAAGCTTTACAGTATGCCGTGTGCTCACATCATGCCCCTTATGAACTGGTCCAGGCCAAGTTCAAAAAGCTCGTTATTGACACCCGCACCCCCCTTGTGCTCGACTGGTGCAAGAGGGTTCTTGACGACTGTCACAACCAAACATATTAGCCATTAGTTTGCAATAAAAGGGCGCCATCCATAAAGAAACCGCAAATACATACCATATTCCACCCATAGATTGATGTAAATCTGATGCAGCACATTCCGCATGCTGGCCGAGCCCGTGTCCGTAAGCATGACGAAGCGAAGGTTTGCGGGCGTCTCGTAGAAATGCAGCTTGTACTGCCCCGTGCGGTAGCTGATGAAGGCGTCGTCGTCGCCGCCGAGCTTGCGGACCATGTTGCGGAGGGAGAAGACGGTTCCGAAGACGAGCTTGGCGTCGTCCGAGGAGGCGGACAGGACGGGCGCGGCTCCGGGGCCCTCGGCCGCCATCCACGACTTGACGTAGACGCATTCGGCTGGAAGATTGGACGATTAGAATCGGGTGAATGTGAAGAAGGATGTTGCAGCTGGAGAGGTTGAGAGACGTACTGTGGCGGTCGAAGATATAGAAGGAGTAGACAACCATGTTGAGCAGCTTGTCGCGCGGAATATGTTATGATTCTGGTTTGTTTTATTGGGTTTCGTAAGGGGGGCGATGTCGGCGACTCAAGAGCAGAGGTTAGACACTAGACGCGCCAGATCAATGGCCGGGCACGGAAGATAGATGCTGTCGTATCGTCTCGCAGGACGAACGAGCTCCGTCGAGAAGTGGCGGCTTTGGTGTTGGAGTGTCGTCGTTCCAGGGTCCAAGGGGGGGCAGCTGGCCTCGGTTATCTAATCCACTGGCAGCTACAGTTGAGTGGGAGAGCTCAGTAAAGATGGCGGGGTGTCCACTGCTGGAGTCCACTATGGATGCCTGTAGCGATCAAGGCCTAACATGATTGAGGAAAAGCTGGTGCCTATTCGTGAAGCTTTACTACATGATACTTCTCCATCGTCTATACAGTACATCATAAAATAGAATTTAGTCTCGTTGGGTCAAACTCAGAGGCATGTTGGACAAGTCATAGATTGGTGAGGCTGATATAACCATGTTATTATACCTGTCTGTCACTCACTGGCTTATACCAACTTAGCCAACCACCTCGTGTCTTCCCGGTCGCTGTAAACTCAGTACCAGACATGACAGCTCATTCATCAAGTAACTTGAATGTAAATCCTGATATAGATATTGCAACTACATAACTCTCAAGAATGGATAATAACGCGTATTGCCTTATGATAAGCAGTGACAGGCTATTATTAGTGCTGCGGGCTGATTTTCGACATGTGCGCTACCAATCGAGTGCTAGCATTTGACGCCCCCGCTTAACAGAGGATGCAAATGCAGCCATCATTCTTCTACCCCTCCAATGGGTGGGCTGGCTCGACTTCAGCCTCACCACATATTTAACAGCCCTGGCGCGCGAACTGCTTGCCGTGCTTTTGACGTGGCGCAAGGCATGCAGTGGGGAGGCCGAGAGTATTTGCCGGCTCCTCAACCTCACTACGACTTTTGTCGCCAGATCTGCATCTTAGATCTGTGAACTTCCTCTTGTTGACACCCAGTTGCGCATTCTATCGCCATAATGGAGACGCCTCCACAGTCACCCGGTTACGGCGTCAAGAGCGTCAAATCGGCGCCTCCGATCGGGCTTCAGTCGCCCAGACTCACCGTCAACGATCGCGACGATGTACCGGAAGATCGGCCCTCTCTGGCATCTGCCGTGTAAGTAAACTATCAAGCTTCGAGGAGGATGACCTGAGCCTCATCGTCGCTGTGTGGTTTGTCGCGAGTGCTGATATCTTCTTCGCATGCTCTAGCACTGAACCCGTTCGTCTTCATGGCTTCGCAAGTCCAATAAGACAACATAAACGCACTCCGAGTGCACATCGTGAGATCAAAGTAATTATTCTCTGTTCATCAGTTGATTGATCTGTAAAAGTAAACTAATTTCTCAAAACAGGAAACTCTGGACGCCCGTGTCGAGTTCTCCAATGATGAAACCGATGGTCGAACTCACCATAGAATAAACCAATATGTGATACAAGAGGAAATCGGGCGAGGCTCTTACGGCGCTGTTCACCTGGCGACAGATCAGTTTGGGAATGAGTTTGTGAGTCTCACCCTTTTAAACTTCTTAGGCCCCCTCTCTTGCTTATAATGAGTCTGTAGGCTGTCAAAGAGTTCTCCAAAGTCCGCCTACGAAGACGCGCACAGTCCATGGCCATGCGTCAAGGCCCTGGCGGATCAGCACGACGTATGCCTGGTAGGGGAGGCATCATGCCTTCCCAGCTCATGGGGTTGAGAGACAGTGAAAAGAACGATGCACTATTCTACATCCGAGAGGAGATTGCAATTATGAAGAAACTCAATCACCCAAACTTGGCCCAGCTTATCGAGGTACTCGATGATCCGGATGAAGACTCTCTATACATCGTCATGGAGATGTGCAAGAAGGGGGTCATTATGAAGGTCGGCTTAGGCGAACAGGCAGAGCCATATCCTGACGAGGAGTGCAGATTTTGGTTCCGAGATTTGATATTAGGGATTGAGTACCGTAAGTCAAGCACACGGTTTCAGTTCCTTCTTGAATTGTAGCGACTATAGCTAACGTTTTCACAGTGCATGCCCAAGGCGTCATTCACCGTGATATTAAACCTGACAACCTCCTGCTGTCAGAAGATGATGTCCTTAAAGTTGTTGACTTTGGAGTCTCGGAAATGTTTGAGAAGCCAACCAACATGAGAACAGCCAAGTCTGCTGGATCGCCTGCCTTTTTGCCTCCTGAATTGTGTAGCAAGCATGACAAGGTTTCCGGAACGGCTGCAGACATCTGGTCCATGGGCGTCACTCTTTACTGTCTCAAGTACGGCAGAATCCCTTTCAACAAGGAGGCCATGCTTGAGATTTACGAAGCCATCAAGACCGAGGAGCCAGAACTACCAAAAGATGAGTCTCCGTCCTTTGTCGACCTGATGGGCAGGCTACTGGACAAGAACCCGGAAACACGAATCACCATGCCAGAGCTTCGAGTAAGTAGCAATGCTCTCAGAATCAACCAGGCACAATCTAAATGCTTACTTTTTCACAGGAACATCCCTGGGTGACCAAGGAGGGGACCGACCCATTGCTTTCAACTGAAGAAAACTGTGCAAACCCCGTAGAGCCACCGAACGAGCTGGAGCTTAGCCGTGCCTTTACAAGAAAGATGAACCATCTTCTCTGTGTAATGAAGGCCATTCATCGGTTCAGGTGTTCCCTAATAGCTAGCAGACGCAAGAAAGGCATTTCCCCGCCTACAGGCGAACAAGGGTGGCGCAAACCAACGGAAACTACCAACACCAACACATCAGTTGCCGACATTGCGGCACTCATCACACAACAAAAGACTATTCTTGCGTCCGAAGCCGGAGAGGGAAAGGTCCAAGAACAGGAAACCGCCACTAGCGAACAAGAGCCACCATTCTTGGGCATCGGCACGGGTGCAAGGGATGCCTTTTCCATGGATGAGAAGACACCCGATGTTGTGTCTGACTCGCCTACTGCAGTCGACTTCAACGTGTACGACCGAGCCTATGAAGAAGCAATCAAGGAGCGCATGAAACCGAACCAACCAAGCAATCCCATCCTGTATCTGACGAAGCACATCAAGGAGAAGGACTATTTTAAGAAACTGGAAAACTTGGTGGATGAGGCTGCCGTCTCACCATCCCCTATGAAGACTGCCAAAGAGAATTCCAAGCAGCTTCTAGACCCTCTCCCTCTCCATCCAGGAAATAGATTGGCCGATCTCGTGTCCAAAGTCTCTAAAGTCAAAGTCTCAGATGCGCCCGAGAATATCAGCAAGACAAGAGACCAAAATTAGGCCTTTGCCGAGTCTCAAAACTAGCGCGTCCATCTCAACTCGACTTTGTCGTGCCAAGTGGCCGGATTGTGAGCACTTACAAGAAATCATCTCGGCACAATTGAGACACATCAGATACGAAGCATCATTGACAAACCCCCCTCCGGCGGATAGACTCCTTATCGAAGTGTGTACAAGTATACTTTTGCCAACGAAGCAGCGTTTAAAGGGGCGTCCAACAGAAAGTCTTGAAACGGGCTCGTGTGCAGCCATCTCCAATCGGATACTACGCTCCTACAGTACGCTACTCGGGATACATTATCATGATGTAGGCTGAGACTATCATTTCCATTAATTGTGTGGAGAAGCAATCTCCGGCGCGACAGTGAGAATTGCGCTCACCGCTCCAAGAAGGCAACAAGATTGGTGAGCTAAGAGACGTAGGGGGAACACGACGTTAGTGATTTCTAGAACGGTCGGTGAGACCGTTACTGCATTACCACGGCAGTGACGATTACGGATGGTGGTGTGAAGGGGGATAGGAAAAAAAGACAAGGCGAATGAATGAAGCCCGGCCCATGTCAACCGGCACGATGTACATGTACAGTACAGTACGGAGGAGATTAGGGAGGCGCCACGCGCAAAGAGGAGCATGGAATGTTTAAATCAGAGCAAAAGAAAGATACCGCTTTCCGACGCTGGGGGGAAGCCCATATCCTTTCTCAGTGTCAGCTGTATGTCAACCAACCCTTGCGGCTCGGGTAGGCAGCACATGCCAGGGAGCTGCTCAATCTAGAAGAAAATGTCTCACGATGTGATCTGAGATGCATCCTGCCAATAATCCAGTTTGTTGGCTGGCGAGGCTTTCGAGGCGCGTTATCACCCACGCAGACCCCTGACACAAAATGTCCCTACCCGCGTTCCGTGCCTGGTCTGGGCGGGGGGTTCAAAAGCTTGGGCCATGTGGCAGACGAACGAACGAGACAAGAGCATGAGCATGCGGATTTCTGAGAGGCTGTCGAGAGGTATGCCCGGAGATGCCACTGCACGACGCACAGGCTGAAGTCTAGAACCAATGGATAAGAAATGCGCGCGCAATTCATCGCCCAGGAACGATGTAGCTTCTGAGGCCGCATGCCCAGTGACGATAGCCGGCAGCACCAAGACGCGACGTGTCGGCTATCAGGGCCAAGAATCGGTGTCTAAGTCTACATGCCGGGGGGGTTTCCTTCGAAGCTATGTATGTATGGTCAGTGATCCCATGGGCGGCTATACTTGCGTCAAAGGAACCCCTCCCCAGGCTGAAGTTCCCAACAGGAAGGGAACCCGGGGATGCTGGTCTGCGTTATCCGAGCACAAACAACAGGCGAGCGACGAACGGGAGGGAGCCACTGAGATGTGAGGAGGACGGCACGAGCGTTGACAAAGCCGGAAAATTGAAATTGAAAAGAGGCATTTGATAGAGAGGATCGGAGAGGGACGGGGATGCAGGAATCAGGGAAAGGGGGGAAGGGCAACAAGAACTTTGATGACAGGTCCCTTTGTTGTTCGTCGTTGTTTTGTGCTCAGTATGTAGACCCTAGATTGTGACATCAGGAGAGGAGACCCGGAAAAGCACGCAGATCGACAAAACGGAGGAGCTGGGCAAGCTCAGCATCGTCTCACTCGCGCCGCTTAGATCCGCAGTTCCACGGTACGGTACGGTGGCGGGCATGATACACCCCCGGCACTTCCCACGTCTGAGTAAGTCTGTACATACAGGTAGCATGCGAGTGGCGGTCGGGGTATTACATGGTGAGAGTGGAGAGACGAGAAGAGACGAGAAGAGGAGAGAAAAGGACGGAATAAAGCTCAGGGGATTGATTGGAGTTGCTTACAAAAGGGCCAGAGTGAGATTCTATGTAGGTACGAAGTAATAGTACAAGACCAGGAATTATGAAGCAATAGGGCGGACGGAGTAGCGGAGTAGTTGTAGTTGGTAATAACCTTGTGTGAAAGGGAAATGTAACTTGAATAAGAATAGGCTCTTTTTTTTTTTCTTTTTTTTTTTCTTTTTCTTCCTTTTGACCTTGGTCCGCACGATACGGGATCCGAGGCTATGGGCATAAGATGGGGGGGATGATTGAGCCGAAGGCTATCTGACCTATGAGATCATAACAGCGACGCTTTGAGCAACAGGCCTGGGGTGAGTGGATATCTCTCCGTTGGGCTCTGAATATACTGGGGACTTGCTCTGTATGTGCTTTGTACGTCTAAGATTCATCCGTAGAGCAGTTCTATCATATGTACTCGTAGCTTGTTCATCTCAACGGGATGGAAAAATAAAGTAAAAATGCTCTGATGTTTCTGGGCGTCAAAGTATCAACCCGTCCCCCCCTCTTCGGCATCTGGCTCAAACTCGGGGATGCGCCAAGCGGGAAATACGTGTGTGGACGGAGTCTCAAAACCAATACTATATGTGAAATGACGTTCATGGGCGAGGGGCGGCTCTGGGCTAGGGTTGTTTTCGTACATACGTGTACGCATGCACGTACCTGTATGTGCAGTGCAGTGGTCAAGTGAGGCATAGTTGGAGGCCGCCTGAGTGGGATAGAAGGCAACGAAAGAGGAGGAGGGATGAGAATGGGCCAGAATCGGAGGGTTGGCGATAAAGGTTTTAGGATGCAGGGATAGCGTTGTTTCTGTTTTTCCGCTTTGTCATTTTTTGTTGCTGCTTTGCATTGCTTGGTGTTTCTTTGCATGGGGGAGGGGGATATGCATGTGCTGTCCAACACGGAAAGGATGCGGTGCACGAGTATAGGATGATTGATAGTCGGCTCTATTATTTCTTCTATTTGGGGTCATGCATGTAACAATCCATGAAGGGAAAATGGGAGATTTACACTCGCATGTAGACTATGTACTGCACCGAGTTTAGCGAGAGAGAAAGAGGAGGGGGAAAGGTGACAGGGTGAGCAGGAGCTCATGCGAGTAAGAAGTGAGGATGAGAGGCGAGCGTGTTAAACTTTGGGGTTTGTGCGACTCAAGCAAAGAGGGGACGGACGATTGTCGCTGCAGGCGTTATATTGTGGCTAAATCAGGAGCACTACCCTATTAATTAAATGATTGATTGATTAATCATTTAATTAATCTACGCTGGATAATTCGGGGGCATGGCAATGAGCGCGTATGTGCTTCCGAGGCGATAACTCGGGGCTTCTGTAAATTGCATACCGCTTCGTGATGCCGGTTTTGCATGTTAGTCTAGCTACAGTACGAAGTATGTTGCTACGACTCAATTCGATTTGATTTTTATTTTCTTCTCGTTCTGCTCCGTTTCCCGCCTCTTTTGCTTACCAACTCGGTAGTATCGGTATTGATTATTGGCAACTTAGACCAAACTCATTCTAGCGGCCTTCCCCAGTCCTTGCTGGCATCTTCTCTTGTGTTCTTCTCCTCAGTCCTCGTGCATCAAACTATGGAGTCGGACAGCTAGCATTGGAATGGTCCTTTTCCCCAATCCAGGGTCCTTTTTCCGCTCCTCTTTGATGCTCATGCATGCTGCGGTTGGGTGGTACGAGCATGGAGGACAAGGCAAGAAGCAGTTCGCGCGGGGGACGTGTTTAGTTAGGTGAATAGCTCTACCTAGCCCTTATTTTCTTCTTACCGTACGAATATGTCTCTCTTTTTTCGCTCAATGACGGAGCAAGTGGGTTGGATTTGTGCCCACGGTGATGGCGCCTGAATGCACTTACGGGGTCCACGGGCCTGGAATCGGTAAAAAAGTACGTACTGCATGTATCTGTACTTGCGCGAGCGTACCAAGACCTGTGCTAAGAAAAATGAAATTTCCAAGACGCCAATTGGAAAGGGAAAAGCGGGAAATTTCAAATTAAAAAAATGAAGAAAATAGAGACAGAGAGAGATGAAGTCAATGACGAAGCAAACGAGGCTGTGGGCATTGCCTCGCCTGATTTCCAAAAACGGGTGTTGTCTCAAAACCTTATCTCGATAGTAGCATTTCCTCCTTAGAGTTTCATTCACTTCATTTCAGTACTTCTCTCTCGACATGCCAGATGCCGTTCCGCTACAGCGGCCGAGTTAAGTCTAAAATAAACACTGCCACCGTCCCGTGGGCTTGGCTACTTGGCCTACTTTCCGACTGCCGTCTTGGCGGCGGGCAAGTCGAATGAGATTCGACGGGCCGTCTAAGCCAAGAGCTTTTTTCTTGGCTTTGTTGAATTTTTTTTTTTTTTTTTTTTTTTTTTTCCTTGTCTTGGTTCGTGAGCTGTTCCCGTGCCATGACATCAAATGTCAAAGGGTGTTGTTTTCTTGGGCGTGGGGGGAAGGGTGTTGGGTGCGTGAACATGATGCTTGGTAGTCTTGGAAAATAAACGCCCTCACATGCAATCAGTTGATAAAGTGTTATACGTAGGTAGTAGAGGATTGACGAGTTTACTCCAGGATTCGCACCTGTCCCGTGGCAACGACATGTCATTGATTGACATGCCCATAGCTTTGGCATGATTCGTGCTGATGCTTACAGTCCCATCCCATGGGTTTGTCGGCAGTTATCATTCACCTATTTGCTTGTGATGCCTCGCTATTACCTACAAGCCCGGCCGGTAATAGATGGTATGACTAACTCAACCAAACTATTTGTACAGACATGCGCCATAGAAGCGGTATGCGTGCTCAAGACTTCGGGCAAGAAGCACCGAGTGCAACATTGCTGGCGTGCCAAGGATGCTGGATGCTGGATCCGCGGGAGGCAGAGGATTAGCAGAACTGACTCTGTGAGACCCCCGACAAACCATCATCATCATACATGACTTGGGCAGGGTCTGCAAACATTCCGAAGATGCTTGGCGCCTCGTCCTAGAGGCTTCTATTGGGAGCACCGACCGACAGCCGCTGCTCTGTGTAGCCGCTGGCCCGTTGGAGCCATGTCGATGAGCACGGTTCCCTTTTTTTCTTATTCGTGCTATCTTTTTCCTTCTGTGCTGTGCTGTGCTGTCCATCCTTCTTGCGTATGCCGTCTGTGGCTCATCGGCGTGCCAGTCATACGGTATTGACAGCATATGAGTACGAGTACAGTAATAGGGCACAGTACATGGACGCTACCTTAGTTGGTTGGCGAGGACCCATCCTCAGGGCTGACTTGGTACCTGTACTTGCCAGGTATAATACGTGGAAACAAAGATTTGATGAGATTTATCCCGAACCCGAAAGCCCTGGGAGCTTCTACTTTGGACTGTCAGCGCGGCTGAGCACCTTACAAACACTTGGCAATTACCGACTGCTCAGTTCATGAAATGAGGCGGCCAAGACGGGGACCCTGTTCCTGCGGTCAAGTCAATCCAGCAAATCTCATCGGATGCTAATAAAACATCCAGATCAACCTAATCTTACAATTTCTGTAGGGTAGCCCCCCCCCCCCTTTGGGCTTGGCAGGAAGTGTGGACAGGCATTGGCGAGTGTGGCAGTATAAGCGCCAAGTACAGTACACAGTTGAGGCTTTGGTGGTAGAAAGACGAAGACGCTTGATTGCAAATGACAGTTGATTGATTGAGTGAAACCATGCAGCCATCAACATACGATTTGGCCACTGGAATCCGATCCCGGCACCGCCCTGTGACGGTGCTGAAAAGGCTGGGCTGGCGTCTTGCTAACAGTCACCATCTTACTAAGGACGTGGCTCAGAGCCGGTCTGGCTTCGTCATGCTTTGCAACGCCCTCCTCTCTCCTCTCTCCTCCTCTCTTGGCTCGTCTTGCCTCAGCTCCCTCCCATGCCGTGTCCCGCTCCACCGGCAGCCACTGAGCGATTTGCAGCATCAGCATCAGCGCGAGCCTGTTCCAGCACAAGTAGGTAAGCAGCAACAGGTGGTGAGATCTGATGGCGAGCACAGCAACAAGGAGTCCTGCCACCGTCACCTTGGCGCAAAGTTGTGCACTTGCTGTATCGGTACCTAGTACTTGGGGCGTGGCCGCCAATAACAGGCGACATGCACGAGTAGCAGTACATGCAACATGCAGCCATGCAGCATCAATATCCATGGTTCCGTTGATCCAATTGATTGATGCAGATGCACGCGCGCAGACGAGCCAGGTTCGGCCCTGTCGCACTGCTGCTGGGCGCAAGTCAGTCCCCTAGAGCCTCTCCGTCGTGTGGCTTTAGTCCTGGTACCTGTACTGTCCTGTACTCCGTACCGCACCCCGTGCAATTAATCAAATCATGGAACTGAAATCAAATCAATCTGGATGGAATCCTGCGGCTGCTTATTCCATATTACATTACATTACATGCTGCGGTACTTTGCCCGTGTTAGTAATTGATTCTTCGGGTTCGGGTACGTACACGCCCCGTGGCTCAGCCCTGGACGTCGTTGGCGGCCGCCAGCCAGCCAGCGCTGCCAGAGGTTCCCAAACGGGCAAGACCTGAGATCCTTTTTTTCTTTTTTCTTTTTTTTTCCCTTTTTTTCTCCCGCAGTCTTTTTTTTGTTTGCCCAATTAAGATTTTTTTTTTGTTTTAGCCCGCCTCGGCGTGTTCCTCTGTCTCTTCAGTGTTTCACACGCCCACGCCGTCTCTGTATGGAACGCCCCCTCCGCTCATGAAAGATGCTAGAGATGAGGTTAAAGAAAAGAGTAGAGACCATGTCAGTCAATAATGGCGCATCGTATTGTTGACAGTTGGGTGACCTGGGGAGTACAGGATTCCTGATTCGTGACCTATGAACAAAAAAACACACCACCAAATGCCCATCTGCACGAGGACGGTAGGTACTTGTCAATGCCTTGCTAACCGTGTTAGGCACTACCACCACAACGCTGGGTTGCCGTACATTTGGTCCTAGGCCATGCCATGTACTCCATGTCCTCCACACACGCATACCACATGGACTAGCAGTGGCATCACGCCGCTCTCCCCAGTCGACTGCTTTTTTTCCATTGTGCGAATAAACAACTGCTTTGCGTCTAGCTCGGCGGAGCGTCGACGGTCAGGAAATGGTCCCCAAATAAAAAAAGAGGACCCGTGGGTGGAGGAGGGGAAATTTCTGGTCGTCCCGTCCTGTTCGGCGAGGACGCAAGTGTCTAAGCACACGCGCGCGACATACTTGTACATACATTGATGACCTCGATGCTCATACGAGGCCACAGCACGAGGCTGCTGTTTGCATTTGCATTTGCAATCCAACCCAGTCCGATCCGATCCAATTCCATCAATGATGCTGCAAAGCCGCAGTAGCCGCGGGACATGAGCGAAATGTTCAATTGCCACTGCCTAACCGCTCCCAAAGGCACCGCATGGCTGGCCACAGGATGCTCAGCTGGAGGCATGAACCGAGCCTAGCCCGGCTTATGTACGAGCACAGGTTGGAATCCATCGTCCTTCTCCGCAGTTTTGCAGCACCAAGAAGGGCCATGCAACCACCTGCTGCCGTCGGCATACGTACGGGCAACAGTACCGGCAAGCAGCCTAGCCCCGGGCTAACTTGGGAAAACCCTGCCTGTGCCTGTACGAGCATGTACTTGTAATTGCAACTGAGGATTCCGAGCCACTGCTAGCAGCAAACGTAAACGTCTCAGCGTTCCCACCAACCACGGATGGATCAATTGACGTCTGGTCGGTCTGGTCTGGTCTGGTCTGGTCTCTCGCAGCGCTTTTGTCGTCCGCCCCAAGTCCAGTCCCCCCAACTGTTGGGGAGTCCAGTCAAATTCTGGTCTCATTTGCGGCGGCGCAGTTTCCAGCACCACTCACGGCCCCTACAGGTACAAGCTGTACCAGACAGTACAGGCGGCTGGCTGGTCCTAGAAGCACCCTCCATGCCTCTCGAGAAACCAGACGTGCATGTGCTTCAATCTTATCGATGCTTGCGTTGTGCTTGTACACTCCGCCAAGGCACGAGTACCTGCTCCTGTCCTTCTGTCGTAGCCGGTACATGGATAGCCTTTGCGGGTACGCCGTCGAGGTACACATGGAACTCAACTCCCCGTTGCAGCTACTCCCTACGGGTGCCGCTACAGGCGCGTGTGCAGCCCCCCCAGTGGTCGCGCCCGGGCTGCCAACCCGCCCCAAACCACTCCCTGCCCTCCGTAATACTCCGTACGCCTCCTGTACCGGTACTCGCCATGCCCGTACTGTACCAGCGCGGCTCTGTACCGTACTGTACTGTACTCGTCCACTCGTACCTCTGCTCGTGCTGCACTGCAATGCACAATACAGGTAGGTACAGTCCCCACCTCGACCCTACGAGTTTGACCTAAGGGACTTCGTCCAAGTCCGCCCTCACTAATGGCTGCAATCATATCCTGCTTTTTTCCCTTGCCATTTATTCCCTCTCGCTCGCCTCTTGCCTCCTCCCCTTGCCCCCTTTTGTCTTTGTTCTCTTATTCCATCTTACTGGCATTGTCAAATTCGTCTTTAATCATTTCTCGTTCTTCTTTTTTCTTTTTCTTTTTCTGCTTTTATCCTTACCTCTCCCCCCTCATCTCCTCATCTGAATTGGCCCTCTCACATCGCAATCGCAATCGCAATCGTCTTCAGCCTCCACTCGCCGGCGTCTGAGCTGGACCGTCCGTCTTCGTCTCGGCCAGCTGTGACTATTGCTGTCAATTTTTTTTTTCCAACAGGGCGTGTGTGTGAGCTTTAGTGTCTGTGTGTCTGGTTATAGGCACTTCGAGGCGCCCAGCTCCACCCCTCTAGTTGACGGGCCCTTTTGCACTTATACCGCACGCCACTGCCACCACACACTTTTTACTGGGACAATTCAGCCCGGCGGCACTTTTTTTCGTGTCTTTTTTTCGTGCCTTTTTTCTGCTGCCATTGGGGTCAAAACTCCCAACTCGGAACTTTCCAGCAGCAAAACAAACCTCAAAACAACACATATAAGTCCGCCCAAAAGCATCGCCCCGGTTTGCTGGCTCTACGACACCCTCATCCCTGCTGGGCATCTGCCGCCTTTAGGCGTTTGTCCTCCGTCTCAAAAAAACCGCCCCCCACGCAATTGCATGTGTCGCCTGTGCGTTTGCCCAGTCTCGATCTGACGCTGCAAACACCCCTCCTCGATTTCCCTGCTCCAAGCGCCGCCTAGGCACAGCGACCGACACCCTCGAACTTGTTGCGTCACAGCATTCACTACCCTAGAGCTCGGGCGCAGATCCGACAGCGAACTCTTGTTGAGCTTGATCGCTCTTCATTTTCCCCTACTTATACGGCCTCTTTGCCTCGCATTAGCTTTTGTCGCACAAGATCGTCACTTTCACCCATTTTACCTGCTCCGGAACCAGCTTCCGCCGCCGACGCAATCCTCCAGGCTCCCTCCATACACCACCAAGCTCCGTGCAGCATCCCGGTCTTTGCCACCGGATCAAGCAACGTCGGTTCGCTACTCGCTCGCCTATAAACGCTCGACTGGCCTACACCCTCGACCAAATACCACCTCGTCGATAACCTCATACTTACGGCTAGGCGCTTTCCAAGCCGTCAACCATGCCGTCCGCTCCAAACGAGTCAAAACCGAGCTCCGCTCAAAGCTCAAAACCTTCGTCTATCAAGTCGTCGCATGAAGGGGGAAAGAGGTCGCCCACCTTGGCCTCGCAGAATGGGTCCGAGAGGCTCTCCCCCTCGCCCAGCGAGACTCAACTGAAGCCTCTCCCCGAGAAGGCCTCGGTCAAGGATCGTCTTTCTCGCATGTTCTCTACCAAGGATGTTACAAAGGTCGCCGCCAATGGCAGCGAGTCGGGCTCTCGCTCCCGTGGTCCCTCAGTCAGTGGTGCTTCCACTCCAGTGCCGCGGAAAGAATCAATAGAGAAGCCCGCCGAAAAGATTCCGGCCGCCAAACCGAAAGAGCCCGTTAAGCTCAAGGAAACGTCAGGTCGCTTCACCGCCATCGCCGAGGCCCAGGGCGGACATGAGCATTTCCTGAGATCCAGCCGAAGACAGGAGAAGCTGTCTGACATGTGGCGGAGCATCCTCGGAAAGAAACAAGAACCCCCGCCAGAGAACGATCTTTCGCTCGTCTCCAACTGGGTCGATTCGCTTCGACAAGAGAAGGAAGAGGCCGTCGACAAGAAGGGCGGGCCCCACGCCACCTCGACCCTGGTGGAGAAGTACGGCAAGTGCCAAGAAATTGTCGGTCGAGGCGCCTTTGGCATCGTCAGGATATCTCACAAAAAGGTTGGCAGCACCGGCGAGAAGCTGTTCGCAGTCAAGGAGTTCCGCCGACGGCCTGACGAGTCGGAGAAGAAGTACAGCAAGCGCCTTACGGCCGAGTTCTGCATCTCGTCTTCCCTGCGCCACCCCAACGTCATCCACACCCTCGACCTGCTCAAGGATGCCAAGGGCGACTACTGCGAGGTCATGGAGTTCTGTGCTGGCGGAGACTTGTACACTCTCATCCTGTCGAGCGGCAAGCTGGAGGTTCAAGAGGCCGACTGCTTCTTCAAGCAGATGATGAGGGGCGTCGAGTACCTCCACGAGATGGGCGTTGCTCACCGAGACCTCAAGCCCGAGAATCTGCTGCTCACCACGCGCGGCGCCCTGAAGATTACCGATTTCGGCAACGGCGAGTGCTTCCGCATGGCCTGGGAGACGGATGCCCACATGGTCTCTGGCCTTTGCGGATCGGCCCCTTACATCGCTCCCGAGGAGTACACTGACAAGGAATTTGACGCCCGCGCCGTCGACGTTTGGGCCTGCGGTGTCATCTACATGGCCATGCGCACCGGAAGACACCTATGGCGCGTTGCCAAGAAGGATGACGATGAGTTTTACTTCCGCTATCTGGAGGGTCGCCGCGATGAAGAGGGCTACGGCCCCATCGAGTCATTACACAGGGTATGGCGGCCTCTTGATAGTATTTGTATTAACCCGAATTTCCCATTGACATATTCACAGGCTCGTTGTCGCAACGTCATTTACTCCGTGTTGGATCCTCATCCGACACGTCGTCTCACGGCGGCTCAGGTCCTGAAATCTGAGTGGGTTCGTGAGATCAAACTTTGCAAGGCCGGTGAAGAAGGCCTATGAAAGAAGAACCACGACTCGTGCAGTACACGACAGAACGCTCTGCCTGACAGCGATGGCACCTCGTGGCTCCGGGATTTCCCTTCCCTCATCTTCCCCTGGATGCCACCCCATCGCCTAATTTTCCCTCCCCTTTAGCAGGCAGAGCTAAACAGCATGGAATGACGAAACATGACCCAACGAAAAGAAAAAACTTTTAATGATTTCATGTGGCGAAGGTAAAAATACCCCTCGGAATTGGCAACTGAATACTTGTTCTCTTCATTTTTACATTTCTCTTCAACTCTGGCGAATGCATTTGTGTGTGCCTGTCATAGTTTTGTAACATGGCAGGCTTAAGACGGCACACTCGCTTTTACCCCCCCTTTTTTTTTACTTCTACTTTTTCATTTTTTATAATCATTTGGCGATTTTGGATTACGAGGCTCGCCCCATATCTTGTTGTATTCCGCTTTCATTCTGTATACACAACCAAGCTTTGGCGTTTGGCGAATTGGCCGAGAGGCGATCTGTACAGCAAAAGAAGAAAAAAATTCCAGAAAGAAATTCTCTTTACTCCCCGCGTATAGCGGATCATGTGTTGTTGGTTTGGACCACGGGTCAGCAGTGGGCAAACGGAAAAAAGGCCTCCGGACCCTTCCCTTTTCTTATTCTTGTCTGGCGCACGCGGGCTTTGTTACGCCCTGATACAACCTTTTTTACAGCAACAAAGAGGGGTGGCGGCATCGGCGTATAAGCTACAATATACGGGAGCAAGAGGGAAGGGAGGCGAACAAGGAAACGGGCTGGGCTGGGCTGGATTGGATTGGCGTCGGGCATTTTGGGAACGGGAGAGGCTCTCGTACTTTAGCTGGGTGGATCACGGGCCGCCTGCATTTGGACATTTTTTCATCTTTTTTGAATTGTTTGGACAACAAGAGAAAGGGAGAGAAACAAACGGAAAGCGGGAGTTTTTCGAGTAGCTGTGTTTTTTGGGCAAGAATTGCTCTGCGAACTTTTTGTCTGCGATGTCGGCTTGCTATTTTGTCGCGTAGTGCGGCTAGGTGAAATGCCAAATCAAATCTCTTGTGCTTGGCCTCTTGCTTTTGTCTCTTTGCTTTGCCTGCTTTGTTGCCTCCTTTTTGCATTTAGCTGGTGTTTCTTGGCCTCTGCCTGCTGACCCCTTGCGTTCTTGTTTCATGACCAACATACAGCAGCCAGCCCCCGTCCTTGAAACTCATCTCCAACAAAAGAACTAGGAAGAGAGTGAGTGAGAGATATATAGAAATGACGTGCGTGGCTGATAGTTCTTTGCATTCTCATTACCCAAGCATCAGACCTTTTTTTTTGCCTGATATCTCATCTCAACGGCCCCCATCTCTTCACCGACTGTTTTGGTTTTGTTCCTTCGCCTTTCTTTTTCTTTTTTCTGTCATGTGTGTTTTTATTATGGATCTCATTAGGATCATCTCATCTAAGGTAGTATTCCTACACCTCTTTTACGACGATCAGGCTCTTGGGGTCGATCACGGCTTATGTTACAGTACCCAACTGCTGATCTTTCATATGGGACAACCTAACCGCAAGTAAGGCAGTAAGTACATGCATACATCGCCGCTACTGGATATCAGGCATGAACAAACCCCCAAATTTCAATCTTCTCAAGACCGAGCAGAGATCCGACTAGGTAACAAAGCACCCCAAAAATGATACCGTAGCTTCAAGTGCCGTGATAACAACAAAAGACTCGTTTTCTTTGGGCACCAAAAACACTGCTCGTGATGCCCTCCTCCCCCAACACTAACAAAGATCCGGTGACGTACCGTTAGACAAAAAACGCCCCCCAGATACATTCTCAAACTCCAATTAGGCAGTTAGTTCGAAGAACCTTCTCCGCATTCTTAATTACTAATCCCCCGGGCGGCAAGTTGAATCGAACGAGCTGAAAATGCTTAGTTGCGGGCTAAATCATTCGAAAGTCAGGTGGTATTATGGAATGATGAAGCCACTTGGTCACGAGAACGATTCCGGAATACGGAATTAATAGGGAAACGCATAGGTATGTGGCTTAAACAACTGCTTTGTATTTCTTCCCCTTCCCCCCTCTCTTTGCGCCTCTCGACGCAATTTGAATTACAAGCATCCAAGTGCTCTTTTGCTATGCTCTTTGGCAAACAACTAGCTACTTCAAACGCCCATTAAACCAGCACAGATGGTACGCCCGCAATATCAAAACGAAGACGAAAATGAATCGAAGAAAATATAAAGACGATAATGGGGGGAGAGACTGCAAACCGTCTCGTATATCGATTCATCACTTCCTCCCAAATGCAGAGTCGACAAGGTTTCCCCCAAAAATATCAACACATCCAACGCCAGATGAATTCCCTTTCGAAATTAACCCATCTCCTTCCCCTTCCCATATACCTCATTGCCCCTGAGCCGCGCACCAGTTGTGTGTGCGTGCGTGTGTATGGGCAGTTAGACACCTCCTTTTCCCTCCCCTCCTGTTGCCAAAAAAAATGTAGATATGTATCGTAGAAATAAGTATAACACACAAAGCGGGAGTGGCTACCCTTCCAATTCCCTCTCTGTACGTGGCGTAGCTATCATCGCAGCTCGCCCAGCTAGATCAAGGATGAAGTGAAGAGACATCGTAATGTTTGAGCTTCAATGTTGCCAGCCCCGGCCCTCCTCGAAAATGAAGGCCAGGGAGAGGATTTGGCCCTCCCAACAAGAAGCACCGATAGACAGATGAAAACGTGCAAGGAAATAAAAGTCATCCAGAGGACGAGGAAGAAGGCACAAAGGAAATCCTTCACGAGCTTCTCCGAGAGAAATGATATCGTTTCACCGTGACATAAACCCAAGCCCTGTCCCACTTCGCCCTGTCATGTACACATTTCAGGGCGGAAGGCTTTAAACAACACCAGCATTAAACGGCTAAATACGTGGCCAGCCAGAGCCTTTTGATGGGTGAGTTGCACATTCCGCCCGGTTTGAAGAGCATTGGCTTGATCCTTTATGAATGGAACAGATCCCAGGCTCTGGCACACAGCTGTAGGAATTCTTCCTTCTTGGCCCGCTGCGTTTCGGGGCTGTCACGGCCGGCACCAAAGGGACCACGTCGGGTTGGGGCAGGGCCATAGCCCAGTGGAGGGCTGCTGCCTTCCTCATATTCGGCGCGTGTTCGCCTTCGACTTGTGCTTCGATGGGCCTCGGGATTACGGTTTCCGCCAGCAACAGGAGATGGAGGCGTAGGAGGTTGATGACCGCCGTAGTGGACGAGTCTAGGTAGTAATTCTGGTCGTCCGCCGGCCAATTCATGCTGAGCCTCTTCCGCGGACTTGTACTCTCTCAAGCGACCAGATGTTGGCGGTTGGTGAGCTGGAGGGAGGCCAGGGGACAACTGAGGCCGTGAGGCTGCATGGCTGGGGTAAAGGGCGGAGGTGTGTGGTCCATTGTCCGGATGAGCTGAGAGGTTCTGGCCAAAGACATCGCTAATGGGAGGCAGCCGATTTGTGGTCTGATGAGCATGAACATGGTGGATGTGGGAAGTATTTGAAAGGTTAGAAGCCTGGTTATGTACTTGTCTTGAAGGTGGCATATGTTGTCCAGTGAAGCTGCGGCCAAGGGGTGCGGATTGAATCACTCTTTCGTTTGCAAACTGCTGATGTGAGGGCGCAACAATTGAGAGCCCGGGGGGCGCCTTGTTTCTACGAGACATGCCTGGTGTCTTGGCGGCGAAGGGCGATTCTTTTTCCTTTTCTGATGGGCCATCTCCCTTGGCAGATTGCTGCAGCTGTAGTCTTGCTTCGATGAGGCTTCGCTGCTGCTCCCGGACCGTCATGCTTCGCTGAAGTTGTTCTTTCATCACAGGATCCTGCGTCATAAAGCCCGGGGAAAGACAGGCGATGCCAACTTCTTGGATTCCCAGTCCGTCGCGCGCCGTCATTGGATGGGCGGAGGAGGGATTGGATCCAGCCAGAGTGTTCTTGGACAAATCCAACCGTCTGGGCCGGGGCCTTGATGCTGATGTTGATGCGGGCAGACCAGGCGAGACTGGCTCTTTCTTAACAATGATCTTAGGGTGGCTGGCATCTTTTCGAGATCTGTAGTGGCAACCAAATTTGTCAGCAAGATGGACTTTGGTCGCGCTGTAGTGAAAAAGATCAAGTGTCACTGTGAAGGACGACAGAAACTTACGCGTTGGGAGAAGATTTGCTTGTGGTAGCATTATCAGACTTCGGGCTGCCGCTGCTGGACGGCTGAGCGGCAGTTGTTGCGCCTGGGAGTTGACTCCTCGGCTGTGAAGGCACCGCGTTTCGCGCAGGTGGCGATGTAGAAGTTGAAGGAGCAGAGCGTTCGGTAGCAAAGGTACTCCTTTCATGAGGGGCCGGCGAAGGGGCCATGGCAATCGCTGTGCTCATAATGGCGGTATTTTCGAGAGATGCAATTATGCGAAGAGATTATGCTGTATGATTTGAACAAAGGAAGCCGAGCTGGATCAGCCAACGGCGCGGGCGCAGAGGGTGCGAATGTCGCTCGAGGCAATTATCGTCAAGTTCACGGCGCGAATGAAGAAACCAGGCGAAAGATTCGAAAACGGGAGCCTGAACTACCCCGAAAACCAACAGAGCCCAATTTGTACTTCCCCTCCACCAAAAAGTTATGCTTCGTGATTCTTCTCTTGGTCGCTAGCGCAGAGAGAGAGAGAGAGAAAATAAAAAGAAAGCGACTCGATCGTGTGTTTCCCAAAGTCGATGGTTGGCTTGTAGAAAGAAAAAGAAGAAATGCTGAATGCTCGCCCTGCCTTGTCTGCGCAGCAACGAGGACCTTGAAAAAGGCTGGCGGAAGAGGGAGAAAAAGGCCAAGTTGGGGGGAAAGGTGAATGCGTTTCAGGAGACTGGCGATTCGAGATGTGGTTTGGCCGAATATAATGCGATCGGGGAGCAAGTACGGAGTACTTCGTATTTAGGACCCGGTAAGCCAAGCACGGGCGATTGGAGCTGGAGGAATTTTTGTGACGCTGGTATTGTGTACACGCACAAGCGCCCGTAGGTCCAGAACGTTAATGCAGATGCATACACCCACGCACCACGCGCGCACACCAGGGGTTGCCGAGGGCGGTTCCGGGGCTTTATTGGCGAATGGGACGGAGGCGTTCCAGTGCTTTTACAGGCACACTTTGCGATGGATGAGGAGAGCGGACGGGCGTCGGCGAATTGGGGCGGGTCTGCGAGAAGGAGAAGAAAGTTCAGGTTGGTTGTGAGCAGCCTGATGTGTTTCTGCTGTTTCAAAGGACTGAGGAGGAATATGAAAGGCGGAATATGAAGAGCAAACGAACAGCAGCAGGGAAAAAAGAACAAGACAAGAGTCGGACGGCGGAGGGGCAGGCGCCGTTTGTTTTATTTGGCCCGCGCAAACGCATGAATCGGTCGGTAATACCTACGCCTGGTCTGAATAGCCTCCCGCAGGCCTGAATGAAAGGGGCCCCCAGGTTCGTCACAGAGGGAGGGGAAGTGACACGGATGCCGGACAGCTTCTCAGCAGCTTGTGAAGCGATGGATGGGAGATGATGGATCGAAAACAGCATGGGGGGGGGGCGTGTCTGAGAAAGACTCGACGTCTCAGCGGATGCCAGTCATGTTGGGCGGTAACTGCCAGTTTAGAGGCAGCGTTAGCAGGTGTCAGAGCCTGAAATCGAGTGCTGAAGCTGCTACAGGCCGCTGCAAGCATCAGGCACAGCGCCTGACAGCGACGGAAAGAGGTACAAGCAGGTACCGCAGCTGCTCGACAGGCACCGCTAGCGCCCTAATTGCTCCCGGTAGCGCACGTGTGCCGCGTGCCAAATCCTTGTACCCTCCAGTACCTGTCCGATTCGAGGGGCGTGTGTCAATGGCCGCCAAACCCAAAACAAAGCCCACTGTAGGAGCCGCCTGCGGTGCATCGGAACCAGGGGCTGGCAAGCTGGGAGGCTCCCTGGCCCTCAGCGACCTCTCACTGGATTGCTACTGATCCACCGCCCCTCCGCCTCACCTGCGCTGTGCGAGCAAAAGCCCGTCAGGCTCATCAGGCCTGTCCACCCACCACCGCGGCCAAGGCTGGTAGAGTGTTTTACCTAGATGCTTTAGCTGCCCGTTTGTGTGAATGATGGATTGATTTTTTCAAGGTTCAGGTTTCCAATATTCTCCTTTCGGTTGCTCCAAGCGCTCTTTGCTTCTCTCTTGTGACGTGACCCCCGGTGACTTTAGCCTGCCAGCAAGTGCCTCCCTGTTCACGCTTGGCTGTCTGGTCGCCACAGGTACCGGCAGTCCCTGGCAGTGATCAGCTCTCCCCCAGCCCGAGCATTGACATTCATTTTGGGGGCTAATTTCCATACAATTTGATGATGTATTTTTGGGTGTGCATGCTTCAATTAAATGGCGGCTCAAACAATAGCGTCATTCCATCGATGACGAAGAACTGCAATGAAGGCAAATGCTTGAATATTGATCCAATATTCGCACAAGGAATGCTGGTACTATTGGATGCTGGTGCTTATCCTGCTCCGCATCGTGAATTATTGACAACATGGAACATAGACGGAGCCCGAAGTCAATGAATCAATGAACCAGCTGCTTGTTTTAGCACCAGACCATACCAGCCGTCGCACCGGCTCGTTACATTTGCACGGTAGCTCGCCGATGTCATTGCCCGCGCAGACAATGGCTGTTTCGACAGAGAAACGGTCGACAAAAGAGAAAGAAGCAATTCAGGCTGTGTTGCCACTCGCCGAGCTAATACTGGAGCCGGGGCCCCCTGGTGCGGAGCGCGTGCGTTCGATATTTGTGTGGTGAGGTTGTAGCGTTTCAATGGTGAGACGCCTACCGATACCGATGCGCTTCAGGACAAGTACGAGTGCAGTAGAGCGCAAGAATTTTTGAAGCCTCGTAACTCCCGGCCAGCCGTGTCCTGTAACTGTCCTGTAACTGGTGCAAGTACGATGCAAATACGATGCGTGCTACTTCGTAATACTTCGTATGCCAGAGCACAAGTGCTTCGACATGCTCGGATTGGGCATCGCCGAGAGATTATTGGCGCAGCAATCTATCATGCCTCGGCAGCTGAATCTTTGCCAACGACAGGGGTTAGAGTTGCATCAATTTGTCCTCGCGCAATGCTGTGCTGTGCGCGGCAGCAGTCACCGGATCAATGGAGCCTTTGGTTGTTCGTCATCTTCTTTTTTCGATGATCACGATTCCCTCATGCCAGATAACTGCCTTCATTTCCCGCGGCCCCAGATAGAGGTGTAAGCCAAGCGTTGAATTGAAACCCGTAATGAAGAATGAAGCCTCCCCACATTGCTAGCTGACCGTAATACTCCAGAAACAAGATCCAACTGCCACTTCGTTCATTGCAGCCATTCGCCATTGGGCATTGCACTACATGCTAAGACCCTGGGTCAAATTAGTACTTAGCTGGAAAAGTTAGACTAGCTCTTTGGCCCTGTCGATCTCGTCAAGTTCCACATTACTCGGCCATTGATATTCTCTCGATGCTGTATCACGAAATTTTTTGCCTTTCTCTTCATTCTTTCAATACGAAGTCCCGTTAGATTTGCTCCGCCTGGCTATCGGCGACTGCAACCCTAGCAGGTAGTTGTGAAATTCGATAATGGGAAACAAACTTTTGCCAGCGGGGTCATGATCGCCGTTGCCTGGTTTCTCGTATCCATGGATGGTTTTTTTTTCTTGCAAACATTGCTCAGCCGCATATGATTGATTCATGTACGAGTAGCTTCAATCCTTCCATGTCAGCAATTCTCTCTCGCATCAGCTTCTTGCTTCCAGACAGAATGCTTTGCTCTTCTCTTTCCTGCTAATAAGAGATGCATATGAAGACGCTACTGTATGTACATTACACATACATTACACATCAATAACATGTCCATTTTCTTTTTGGCTAAAGGATGAAAGATGAAAAAGTTCGTAGAGCAGTTCCTACCTATCTTGGTGGGCGTTGCAAATCCGTAGCACGATACTTCGTACTGGCTGCATGACCCCTCATTAGACCGGGTACAGGTGGTCGTCCTTCCTACAGACACCCCCCTTTTACCCCTGTTCACTTTTGTAGAAGGCCATGTTCCTCTTTGTACTGTTTTCTCTCGACATCGTACGAAGTGCTGTATGCGACTGTAATATACGAGTCCAGTCGCAAATATTGATTGATGCTGCCCATTTGTGGTGGTAGTATTGGGAAGTAGTAGCCGACTTTTGGTGATCAGGATGCGACAAGGGCTTCGGAAAGCAGATGGAAAATGCAACCCTGATTTCGGGCATTTCATCAGAAGGCTTCGAGGCCAGATCAATATGTACTGACTGACTGTAGCAAAATCAGAAACAAAGCTTGAGCCCTTTGTACGATCCAAATCCCAGTTGACTGCACAGACTTGAACAGAACAGAACAGAACTGAACTGAGAACGGAACAAAACAGTGAACCCCCTGTGCCGAAACTCGCAGCGTTTGAGCATTTCGCCACGCCTTTTTCCTGTCGATCGCATCAGGACTCTCAGGACCCTGAAATCCCCATCGCCAGCCTTCTCACCGCTGTGCCCAGGCGCCCACTCTGCTCCAAATGTTAAAACCGGTAGGGCTCCTGCTCCTGCTCATTCTTTGTGACTCGTTAGATTTTTCTCTCTTCTACGGCTCTTTTGTTTCGCTGTCAGGGTCCTGCCCCACCGCACCCAGAGCTATCCCGCTTCGCCTGCCCACTGATTTTCGATACTCGAACAAGCTCGTGCCTCATCGTGGCTCCTGCGCACGCTGTGACAGGTACGTTACGTCCACCTCAGGGTACCCGCGCCGGGGGCTCATGAGGGTCAATGGATCTTGGGTAAATTGAGCTCTGTAGGTACCTATGGTGTACAGTACTAAGGGATCAAAGACTTGTATACTTGGAATGGCGATGCTGAACATGTTGGACTTACTGCCGCTTCTTTTCTGGGTGCTTTGCCTCAACGATTAACAGATGCTGCCAACATGCTCGTACATACTGGACTACTGTTACTATCTGTGCGTTGTGCAGAGACTGGCAAGAGATTTCATCCTCTAATAACTGCAACTAGGTAAACATACATGGCACCAAAACTTGTCGCAGCCCTATTCGCGGACCCCAACGACATCCATGTCAGCCACCGCTCACATCAGACGACCGCGCCTCTCTTTGCACAGGTAGCCCGTTGAAATAAAGTACGGCTGTTCCCCTGGACTGGCAAAACAGTTTCATCGCTGGTAGATCGCTCTACTTGTAACTGACGGGACTCTGAGAGAGAGAAAAAAGAGGAACAAGACAAGACGCCCGTCTCCGCTGGGAACTAATCGCTGCTTCACCTGAGACGACGACGTCTCAGGTCGGGTGGGACGCCTTTGGCAAGGCTGCAGGGGTTTGGCTCCGTCCCCTTGTCAATCATTCGTTGGACATCGCGCTTAGCTTGCTCGACTATTAGCTCCGTTTCAACCCAATGCTGCGACCAAGAGAACGATTGGGCGGCCCGGACCTTTTCGAAGCTCGAAAGAGGCAACGGTCTATTGCCTCTTTTTTCCCTTTTGTTTCATTGTGTGCTTGGCCCAGAGGGAAAAGGAAAGTAAGAGAAAATTTTTGCAAACTCGGCGGAGGGCCTCTGCTTCACCATGAGAGACAGACCCTGTTCCTGTTGCGAATCCGTGCACGGCCTGATGTATCACTAGGCCCTCTCCAAGAAATGCCGACAACCCAATCAAGTCTTCACCGGCGTTACACGAAATTGCTTGTGATGGTAACGTCCCCCCAGTTTCCCCGAGTGGCCACCGCTGCGAGTTGATTGACTGTGACCAGGGATCCTCCAACCCCAGCGTCCACAGACAGGTAGGTATATGGCATGTGATGTAATTTCGGTGGGGGTTGGTTTTTTTTTTTGCTCCCTCTGAATCTCTGACCGTCTCGATCCCTTCGGCCTTGTATCACCACTCTGCCCGTATTCTCGGTTTGAGGTAACTCTCCCAGAGCTACTGTACTCGTATCTATGTGGTTCGTGTACAATTACGCATGCAATAGGATACCCAATGCTGCATGTGAGTCTTTCGGTGCTGGCTGCTGCACGACTGATACGAAAGAGACTAGATCCTTGTGTAAGCTTGCAATTTGCGCATATTACGAGGCACATTATAAGTGTGATTCATACTCTGCATTCTGTATATTATCGCTCATTACAGTGTACTTACCTTCTAGCTACCATGTTCACATGTGCTGGGCTAACAGCATCGCATGTTGTTAGTTAGTTCAATGAAGCACAGCTGCCCGATATGAAGTTGGGATCCTTGTTGAATACCACCTCACAAAACCAAGCAGTGACACGGATGGTTCGTTAGCCCGATGGGCATTTGTCATGGCAATCAAATGACATTAGAAACGGAAGCTAAAAAGCTAATCGTAGCAAAGCCCCCTCAAGAGGCACCTCCCCTGTCGGAATTCTCTACAGTGTTGATTTATATCGAGATCTTGATGCTGGCAAAAAGGTAATATTACACCTATGAAGTGCAAAAATAGATGTAATTGCGCCCGAGGGGGGGGTCGAACCCCCAACCTTGCGGTTAAAAGCCGCACGCTCTAGCCAATTGAGCTACCCGGGCCCACAATTATACTGAACAGTCACTACTGGCTGATAGTGAGGGTGGGTCATGCACTTGTCAAGCTTTTTATTCTTTATATAGCTTTCACAGCTATTGAAAGTTTTGCTTGCCATAGAAGCGATCATTCAAGCATAAATCCAGAAGTTTTATTATAGACAGACGGAGCTATTTTGCTGCCTCATGAAGGACAGAAGGCTTGTACATGTAGATCTGTAAGCCAAGGGGCCTATGTGTGTGTTTAATACTACGCTGGTGTTAAAGTGACACATGTATTCCTGGTATGCAATCATCTATGAACGTCTTACATGCTTGATAGATGAAAATATGCCCAGAAGTAGGATTCTTCCAACTAGAATTTTACTCGATACTTTTAATACAGACTCTATAAACTAGAGGAGTTTTTCTTGAGGTGCAGTTGTACAGCTGGGTCAAAAATGACATCATGAGAAGTGGAACATATCATCTACACCGGCATTGCTCTTGGCACCCCCTGAGCAACTTGTCAAATCCCAATTTCCCCAAGATCGCTTCTCAATTTCTCCAATTATTCTCAGTCCACGGCTTCAGGGCCATATGTACAACTATGGCGATAGTGGCATAGACAGCACTACATCAGTCATTATGGTGACTACTCCTTTGGCCAATGCAATACACCGATTCATCCAGCCTTCAAATATCGACATCTTCGATCAGCATGAGTATGGCCCCCCGGCAATCTGTTCCTCGTGGCTTTTTACAGATATGTTAAGATCTCTATGTGACGTTCCTATTCGGTACCAGGGAATCTGCATTTTGGCCATCTTCTCCAAGAGAATCTAGATCTGAGACATCCGCATCTAGGCCATCAAGCTACGCCTGGGCAGCAGATCGTTTTGATGGTGCTAGTAGTATAACGGGTCTCACCGTGGTATGTGATGTCTTATTCTATTTTTGGAAGAGACATGGACAAGCAAACCAAGCTGAACATAACACAATATACGACAAAGCGCAGCTGCATTCCAACCCATTTGCTTAGTCCCGGGCTTTGTGCCGACTCAATTTGTGAATTAAATGCATTTCTAACGCTTCATAGGACCGAAAACCCCGGTGCGAATACCGAAGTTATCAGCAAGAGGAGAGGCTGAAGTATTCGAAATGAACGTCTTCAGAGAACTAGTTCTAATATATTGGATAGATAAAGCCACAAGTCAGAATGACACCATGCCTCGCCATACTGCATTCCAAAAGGAGATCGTGTAGTGCTTATACAGCATATAGCTAACTGCTACATCAGACGATCAGGGCCTTCTGGCTGTATACACTCCCTTATTTTAAATGACTCGAGCTTGGAACGAAAGCGATGATAGCCTTATAAGTTGACACCGTCAATGGATATTCTCACAAAATATCCCAGAGGACTCTGCCGAGCTTCGAAAACATCCATCATAGCCGGTGGTTGGTGAGAGTAGGTAGACGCTGTATCTCTATACATTGCTACTCTTGTCAATGACGCCTGAAGTGCAATGGAACTCACGGAGATAAAGTTGTATCTCTCTATTTTTCCTATCTCTGTACTCTCTTTTCCCCCATTCCGGAATTATCTTCTCTCTCCATACCACCTTCCTTCTCAATTAGTGTTCTATGAACTATGAGTACTGGATCTATCTACCTACCTATATTTAGTATATATATTTGCATCTAGGTACTAGATATATCTGCATCTATTAGATATATCTGTATCTATTACCTATATCTACCTAGATACAGATATATCGATTGATCGAGTATGTGTAAGTACATAGGTATGTACTTACACATACTCGATCAATTCGACGTTAATGCTCGCTTCCCATATCGGTAACAAATTCTCATCGTCCTCGTATCGCAATTCTTCCCTCCAACATTTCTCCTCAGCGGCCTCCTCTCTACTTTTATTCGTCAATTCTCTTCTTATTGTCGACTGATTACCCCAATTTCCGGTAAGCCAACGGACCCAACCGGTTGACTTCCTACAAGGCCTCAGTTTCATACCATCTTGGCGACATGTGGTATGTCGCGTGTCCTCCAGTTGGAGAGCATTCTGGTATAGTCTCATCATTGGCCTTTTTGTCATCAAATTGAATGATGTCTTGACGACGCCCCAGCTTCTGATCGGGTTTAGAGCCCATGATGATGTGCTAGTGGTAACTCCTAGCGACACACCCACTCAGCCTTTGGCTGACCTCTCCCATAGGAACCTCGATAGCCTCAGCTTCAGCATAATTGAGAGTGGAAGAAATGCCACAAGACAAGTTTCCATTTTCTTCTTCGCTATCGTCATCATCGGCCATCAACACCCTAGCTTAGACCCAGCTGATGTTTTGATGAAAATACAATTTCTGATCAGGTTTAGAACAATAATCCCTGTGGTAACGCAGAAAGACACACCCACTCTTACAGCATATTAAGAGGTTGAGAATACCTACTAAGGGGAGAGTTGCCTTATATACTAAGTCATTAGGTGGCTGTCCTCAAGGCAAACTTAGAACCCGAAGGTTTCTTAATAGTCCACAGTGTTGAAAAATTAAGATAATCCAATAAAAGATATATACTGCCTCATGTTATGCTCCATCTGAGTTTGCATTTTACTGTAGAAACTTGGTATCATTTAACCTCTACTTGAGGCTAACCTGGAAAACCCTCTGGGGGTGTGGCGCTCCACTTCTATGCACCCATTCCGCTTCCGTAATCCGGCAGCGAAAAAAAATGCCCCACTATCGGCGCGCTCTCGTCAAAATTTCATGAGCCGCCAAATTTTGATTGTGAAGCCCATTGCGAAAGGTTAGAGAAAAGCTGCGTCATTCTTTAATTTTGTTATCGCACATTCTCAACGGCAGAAAATTGTCGTTACGGGACTTTTCAAACGAAAACCACCCGGATTTTTGACGCCCCTCAGACAAAAAGATGCCTGGACGAACAAAGGCGCAGGCGGATGCCTCATCTCAGGACGCTGATATGCAGGACGTCCCGCCGTCCGGACAAGATGAAATCAACCAGGATGCGGAAATGAGGGAGAATGCCGAGGCCGAGGAGGAAGAGGAAGAAGAGGTCGAGCCTCAGAGAGTGCGAATTGTATGGCCAGAGAGTTCTAGCATGGCTGAGAGAATCTTGATTTACTAACGAGGCGACAGCTCCCTGGTTCAACGGACACAGCGGCTTCGTTTGAGTTTACCGATGAAGGCCATACTTTGGGCAATGCTCTGAGATATGTTATCATGAAGAAGTATGCTGCCAAGCCACATAGCTATCCAGTTGATCGAAGCTAATGTCTCCTAGCCCTGATGTTGAATTTTGCGCCTACTCAATTCCTCACCCATCTGAGCCCAAGATGAACATCAGAATACAAACTTATGGTAATATTTGATCTCCTCCATCATGTGTGAATTTCCACTAACGTTCTTGTCTACAGACGGCACAGCCGTAAATGCCCTGAAGAAGGGCTTGAGTGATCTGCAGGACGTGTGCGACGTCGTGGCCGAGGAGTTCTGGACAAAGAGGCAGCAGTTCAACTCAGAGCAGGGCATTGACCGATGATTAGGAAGGGGGAAAGGGAAATAAGAGGGGCAATATGGTGGAAACTGGGCTGCTATCCGAAAACTGGTAATTCACACGCATAGAAGGGTCATTGTATATGCACATTATGCGATTTCATGGCGTTATATGGAAGGTTTCGACACAAAATCTTTATACAGAGATATTTACAAAACAAAGTTTCTTGCATTGTCTTTCTAATTTCGACCCTATCAAGCTTTATTAGCTCCACGTTGATTGGCTAGTGCAGTTGCTGCTCTGTAAACTCACCTCAAGGAAGCCAGCCATGAAGCTGGACGGAAGCCTCTTGTCTCCTCTAAAGTTTTCGCCGAAATAAGACAAGATGTGAGTCTGCTGCTTCCAGAAGTTCATTGTTTCCTATACCCCGCGCAATTAGCATGCTGCCTTTCCCTCCCATCAAAGCGTGGTTCATGGTATTTTTTCTTGGAGCAGCATTCGTACCTGGTACTCTGCATGGGACTTGAAGAGAAGCACGTCAACTATGGACAGCTGGTTCGTGTATCGGTGTCGCTCGAACTCTTGTCGCATCCGTGTCCGGAGGGTAGAAATGGGGAGAGGGACATTGTACATCGTCTGGATCTCAGGCGCCTGTAATTCCCTCCATTAGACTTCTGTTCTATACCACGACAATATACCACTCGGCAACATCTTCCATTCCGGCCTCTGGCCGGTAAGGTGGTCTCGGGAGGGGATTTCGCGGGACATACAGCTCGGATCCATTCGCGGTACGAAGAAAGGACTCGACGCTTCGCATCCGACCAGCTGGTCGCTGTTTGACATATTAGCTCTGACGGATCGTCGGCATGGGCAAAAGACTCACACTGCGCCGTCTTCTTGGCGAATTGGGTCGGCGTAATGGCCATGGCGGGTGATGAAGGCTTCTCAGCGCAGTAAATTCACTGCCGTGACGTTGAGTTGATAGCAAGGAATCATGCCCACCTCCCGGCATAGAAGTCTCACGTGATCCGGCGCCATTTACAGTTTGCGCCACACGCTACATTTCTTTGCCCCTCGGGTGTGGCTTAGCTCAGCCTTGTCGACGCGCTTCTGGAATCACCTGAAGCTCGCTTCTGCCCATCACGTACAAAACTTGTTGCGGAATATCGGCTTTTCCTCTTCTTGTTTCTTCCATTTGCATTGCGACCAGTCCAAGATGCCGGCCATTAGACATTCATCAAAACGAAAGCCACCGCCCGAGGGCTTCAGCGATATCGAAGATGACCTCCTGATCTTTGCGAACAAGATGAAGGATGCGCAGAACAAGCCTCCTCCTCCCGGCCCAAAGCACATGGCGCAGTGGGAGATTTTCCAGATTGCGCACCAGAGAAGCCGCTACGTATACGATCTATATTACGAGAAGGAAGCAATCAGCAAACAGCTCTATGAATGGTTGCTCAAGAATGGCTATGCCGATGCGATGCTAATCGCCAAGTGGAAGAAGCAGGGTTACGAGAAGGTAAGTTGCTATCCTCAACGTGCTGCATTTATCACCTTCAATCATACAATGCTAACACATTCGATAGCTCTGCTGCCTACGCTGTGTTCAAACGAAGGAAACGAACTTCAATAGCACTTGCATCTGCCGAGTACCAAGAGCTCAGCTGAAAGAAGATAGCGACATGCAGTGCGTCAGCTGTGGTTGCAGAGGGTGTGCATCCAGCGACTAAGAGGAGGCAGTGGCTTTGGATTGGATTCCATCTTGATCATCTGAATAACGAACCGAAGAGTTGCTACAGGCGTTAGGGCGTCGGGCGTCGAATTGCGATCAAATTGCTCCACGGACGGGCAACCAAAGAGAAAGGCATAGATTGGGTTGATGTTGAGATCGAAAGAGGTAGATATCCTTCATCTTAGCTGAGCCATATTCTTTCATTACATCATGCTGATCATCTCATAATTCTCCAGTTCAACTCCACGTGACTCCTTTCTATCATCTCTTTGAGAATCCTGCTCGACCCCGACCAAATCGGATACTTGGAGGGACGAATTGTAGAGCTGACATGGCCCCAGTAAGATCTGCCATCTCAGTATCTGCCGGTTTCTCTGACTCCACTTGGCCATTGGGTGCCGTAGTGGAAGACGAAGTGGATTGTGATTTGTTGTCGGAAGGTACTGCCTCCTTTTCCAAAGTGTTTGCGCGACGCCGAAGCTCTTTGGCCTGTGGCTGGGAGCCAGCTGAAGATCTTCTTCGACGGGTCTCAATGAGAAGAGAGCGCTTCCCATCAATTCCGTCCTTTGTGACGGCAAAGAAGAAGTTTTTTGGGTACATGTGCTTGTCGATGAGGTGTAGACGCCTTTTCTGAGGAGTCATGCACTTGCGATCGCACCCTTCAACAAAGCAGGAATACTGGACCACGTTAGAGTAACTATTCCTATGAAGACGGTCTAAAGGCATCGCCTCTAGGTAGCTTACTGTGTGTTCCCCCTTCTCCCTGGCGACTCTTGCCAGGGGATCATGGCATTCTTCAATATGTATACTGAGGAGGTGATCAGTTGGGAAATTCTTGCGACATTCAATACACCTATTTGTATGAAAATTGTGATAATGAGTCTCGTAATCGCTGTATAGCCGAAAGCCCAGCGGCTCTTTGTGAGGGGGGAGTGAGCATCTCATGACGAATTCGTTATCCTCGTCTTCAACAGCCGAATCTAGCCCAGCAATCTTCGAGATAGGCTGGAGATCAACGTCAGCGTTCGCGGAATGGTGAGAGTCCCCGTCTTGAGGATCGAATTCTATATGCTCTTCCGGCTCTCGTGAGCGCTTCATCTTTATATACAGTGAGCTTTGTGGGGCAAGATATTACTTTGACTTGAACCAGCGATATCGTGATGGAAAGTCAGAGAGCGAGTGGCGTTGCGGACAGATGCAAATACAGTGAAGAGTAAACCAGAAAAGCGGCTGAGACAGTCTATGGCGCAGAGTAAATAATATCCAATAAAAACAGTCAGATGCTCGCAGAAGATATGATTCGAGGCGGTTGGTTACTGGCGGAATGTCGTGAGTTGAGACGTTGATGGAGCCCAAAAGGTCGAGAGGCTGTACTAAGGCCTGAAAGCCACTGGCGGGGGTTTTGCCCCACCCCGTGTCCCCAGGTACATGTGCTCTGTTTTTAGCCACAGTTCAGTTTGCATGTTGCAGATCTAATCTTTAGCACTCCTTGCTGGGCTTAACTCGAGCAGGCTGGGCGCCTGCAATCCCTGTAGGTACATGCGGGATCTCGACATCATGACTTATAACGTCATGGCTACGAGGCGATACCTTGATATACCGTTGGAGGATACCATTGAAAGATACAAGTGACTAGTAGTGACATTTCGACGTTTGTATGACCCAGCTGCTGGTGGATTCTAAAGGAGATTAAAGCGGCGTGGCTTTCAGTACTAGACCTCTGTATAAGTGCCCTGAACACATCTATGTCACCCGGAAGCAGAGCAAAACAAAATACATCCGAACGGCATAGGTGATTAGAGCCTGAATCATTGAGTGAACGAATCTCTGTAGGCATGTGCAGCTACACAAGGATCGTGAATGACTTTAACGGCGCATATTATATTTTTTTATTTATTATTTATAGATCAATTCAATCGATATAATTTAAGTTGTTCAATGGTGTCGTTCGAGAGTTGGCGCCTCGCCCTTGATGTGGCTTTGTCGCTCAAAGGAAAAAAACAAAAAAAAAAAAAAAAAAAAAAAGGAACAGCCGAAGAATTTCCACCACACTCTGAACAGCTACTAACCTTGAGGGGTTCAGAAGCCGCTCACTTTGTTATCGCCATCCTCTCATTCCAAAAAATAAACCCTGGAAAGCTTCGCATTACGCCGAACACGCCACCCAAAAGAAACTCCCGGGACTGGTAAACAAAGCAAACTCTCGTGCTCACATTGTTTTACTATAAAGCCCATCCCTACCAATGTTTTCTCTCTCCGCTGCTTGCCCGATTACCACCAGCCGAGTCCGGTACCAGCTCTCCCAATCCGCCGTGGTTCCGAGTTATGGACTGTCTGGATCTTTGCGATTTGGATTCCCGAGAGCATGAGACGACTGCGTAGCTGAAGCTATACTATACTCGACTATTATCACGCCATTAGACAATCGTAATTCATTACACCTGCCGATTCCCGGGGCATATCGAGTCCAACTACAATATGGCTTCTTCTGCCCCTACAGCGGCTACGGCCTGGCGGTATGTACACTCCGAACGTTTCGAATCCTTGCGCATGGCGTCGAGATCTGTTGAAGAATCGATTGTCACTCATGCGCAGCGATTTGAGAGACTGCTCGAGTTGAGAACAGGACTGACATTGCCGGTATAGTAACGCCCAGAAGCTACGCAAGCTGCTCGTAAGAGACGTTGGCAAACTCATGCCCCAAAATGCTTCTGGCGTTGATCTTTCCAAGTTCGAAGCCATAGACAATCTTTTGGACAAGTATGCGACCCGAATACTCAACCTTCGAATCGGTTTTGACTAACGCGCTACTCTCCTGCAGATTCCGCCTTGCCTGTGTGGCAACCATTTTTCACGATCTTGACTATGCCATCACACAGAAGACGGAGGAGCATTTATGGTCCACACACACTACGGTTAATACCGAGTATCGACACATCCTAAGCCGCCTTAAGCAATCTTCCCATGCTGTCGAGAAGCGCAAGGTGGAAAAGATGTACCACAATTTCCTGCGAATCGCTGCCAAGTTTTATCAAGGTTATGTTCAGCGCCTTGCTGCCTACTACGATATCCCAGAGCTTGAACGAATCGCGCAAGGGATGGAGCTTGAGAAATTGCCTGTCGAATCCAAGATCAGCCCAGTCTCGGACGATTTACAGCGCAAAATCTTGTACTCTTGCCATCTTACACTTATCCACCTAGGAGACCTGACACGCTACCGGGTTCAAGCTCGCCACAAGAGTTCAGACTATGAAGGAGCCTTGGTGTACTACGGGCTGGCTCATCATATTCAACCTCAATCTGGCTTCGCTTTTCACCAGACGGGAATTATTCACCTTGAACAGGACAATCACCTTGATGTTGTCTACAACTTTTACCGCGCCTTGGCTGTGGACTCGCCTCATCCTAACGCCCAGCTCAACTTGGAGGCCGAGTTCAAAACGATGCTATCTCCTAACGGATCCCGGTCCAGACATAACATCTCTGCTCCGGAAGCACACTTTGCCATGTGGTTTGTGAAGTTGCACGCCTTTTTCTACAAAGGAGAGGTATTCCATCAGCAAGACGAACTGGAAGGGGAAGTGATGCACAGGCTAGAAATGGCTTGCAAAAATGCCACTTCTCTCAATATTCTTTTAAAGATGGTAATGGTCAATATGCTTGCGCATCATATGGCCACGACTCGCTATACTGGTACGTGAGGACGTTTCTCTGCTGATGACAATATACTGACCAACATTGAATAGAAAAGCAGACAGAAGCGACTATGCGCTTCTACCAATTCACACTTCGCTTCAACGCAAGATTTCTTCACACATTCTGTAAGGTTTTCGAGTCTGAGTTTCGGGAGGCTGTTTCTAGTGCCGAGGGCCTCGACCATCAGCCAGAAGATTCCGAGACAGGCCAAGCAAAGACGTCTGTCGTTGAAGCCCTACTTCCCGTCTTGCGTATATATAGCATGTGGCTCGTGGCCCGCCGCAACGAAATCTCCGGCTTGGCAGATGCGTTTGGAGCGTCCATCCCTACCATGATTCAGGGGGTGGCCAAAGTCTTGACCTTGCTCTGCGACGAATACTACAACATAGGGAACTTGAAATCTTGCCCCTATCTGCTTCCGGAGGACATTCTCATCTTGGGATTTCAGCCACTGAACGAAGAGCAGCTTCCCGAATACTGCAGAGCCTACTGCGGTGAGGACGGCACCCGCAAGCCTTACTCTCAAGCTCTTGAGGGTTGCCCCTCCCAGTCGAGTGAAAGAATAGGAAGAATCCTAGATATCCTCCGCTGTGCTTATTTCTTGGCTAATGAAGGCACCTTCCCCCTGGTTTATAAAGTTGATGGAACTCTTTTGGTTTTTGAATATCAGCCCAATGCCGGGCTTCCGCAAGCTCAGGCGGCTGAGGCACAGGATATTACAGATACCACTACTCAATCGGTTGGCGTCTTGCCTGCTAAAGAAGAAGAAGAGACGACTCAAGCCACGGCGAATTCTCATGAGCCAGCAACGGCGAACGCGGTGCAGTATTCGGAACAAGCCCAGAGGGAGGCCAGCCGACGTTTGCTGAACAACTCGGATGACATTTATGAAGACTCGGAAGTGATGGATCGAGCCACAGAGACTGTTCTCGATATGGTGGTCCAGTTTTTGAGGCCACCGACTCCAATGGACCTGGAGCGCTCTCCCAAGGAACCGGCATCTGCAAATGATGTGGTAGGCTCCTTGAGAACTGAGCCAAGTCCTACTTCATCCGTCGCATCGCGTAGATACGAGTCCCTTCCGTGGTCTTGGTTCGGCACGCCTAATCCGATTTTTTCTCGGGAATCCGCACCGCCTATGAGCCGAGATGCTACAAAAAGTCACCGCAGCGCAACTCACTCTCCAAATGTGTCTGTTGCAGAAAACATACCCCTTGAAGACCCTTTTACTACGCCTGGTCGCGATATACCTGGAAACTTCTCGCGCAGCATCGCCAACGGAATTGGCAGCCCAGCAGACCCAGCAGCTCGGACATTTCACCAGGAGCAATTGCTGCAGGCTTTCAGCGTGAGCACTCCACGCACCTCAACTTTCAACCGCTGGTCACAGAACCCGACGGCTGCAACCATCATGCAGGAGCAGCAAAACTACGGACCAGCGCTAATCTCATCAACCACTTCTGCTTTTTCACACCCAAGCAGCCTCTATCACGGCACTCAACCGAACGGCTTGCAGTACAACACGCAGTCTGCTGCAGATCAAGGTCGCATCCTCCGGAACAGCCTCCTGAGAGAGACCAACCAAGCACTTAATGGTCATTTTCAAATCGACCAGACGACATCAGATTATAACAGGGCCGTCATGAGATCGGCTTACCAAGACTCCAGGTAGATGGAGATTTCACGAATGCACCTTGGAACAAGAGGCGTCTTGCCTGCTGAGGGAAAATAAAGGCGAATCCGGATTCACGCGCATTGGAGTTGTGTATGTGATGCATGGTGAGCCATTGCTATTTAGAGGCCATGACTTAATATTGAGGATATGTATGATTTGGAATTTTAGATGCTTCGTTCGACAGCATTGTTTTTTACGCAACGACGATCTGGAAAGCGACACAGTTTGATTTTGTTGATGGATGGCTCTTTTGATATACCCATTTCGTCAAATGAAAGAATGACAGCGCACAAATTGAAGGAAGGAAATTAAGTTGCAATTTTCAAGCCAGAAATAAGAATAATATTGTGGTGGTAAAATCTGGTCTATCGTTCATCATAAACTGATTGAAAGCATCAGCATCGAAAAAAGAAAAAGACAAAGACTGATTGTGTATCGTGGAGGATACCAAATCGCTATGCAAAGGGAGCCACTGCTTCTGGGCTCTCTACCCTGTTGATGCAAAACGCCGTTGTTGAAACCTTTTCTCCCGTTTTAATCCCTCAACGCCAATCCCTCTCCATCCCAGCCGCTGGGAATGGATCTACAAGAGCAATGCGCTATTCTAGGCACTCTACGATGACGCAGAGTAGACCTGCTTGGGGAAGGGGTAACTAGAAAGGATGAGTTAGCTCAGATTAGGATGTGAATGACGGATGAAGAGTCGACTTACGAAGGACCAAGTTCCTGGATGCTCAGCTTGGCCAGCCACTGACCCTTGTCAACGGAAGCCTCCAGTGACTCGCCCTGGACAATACCAGCAACCAGACCACCAGCAAAGGCATCACCGGCACCGTTGGTATCGTTGATGAGAGCGGGGTCGATGGGGCGGACGGGGAAGACCTTGACCTCCTCCTCGCCCTGGATGGCGACCAGGGTAGGCTCAGTGCCCTGAGTGATGATGGCAACACGCTTTCGCTTGGTGTTCTCCTTGGGCAGGTTGGCCAGAACCTTGACAACGTCCTTGGGCTCCTTGGAAGGAAGGTTGTGGGCCTCAGCATAAGCAGCAGCCTCGGCCTCGTTGCCGATGACGTAGTCCCAGTAGGGGGCGCTGGCGTCGACAACCTCCTTGAAGAACTGGGGGATGAAGGGAGCAGAGAGAGAGACGACGAAGACCTTGTTCTTCTCGGCAGCCTCCTTGGCGAGCTCCATGATGGCGGGAGGGGAAACTGTGAAGCAACGAGCGTTAGCATCTTCGGCCTTGTCATGATGTAATGAGTAGATAGATATAATAGCTAGAAGTAATCTAGATTGAGCATTATGCGTCCTCTTGCGTCTTGACTTACCGGTGAAGTGGTAGCCGCCAATGTAGAAGACCTCGGCATTTTCAACCAGGGCCCAGATCTCGGGCTTCTTCAGGTGGTCCAGACCGTAGTGGTTGGCAGCACCGAGGTCAGTGCAGAGACTGCGGTTGTGGCCAGTGATGACAACACCGCATCGGCCGGTAGGGTGAGCCTCATCGACACGGTACTCGACACGCAGACCGGCGGCCTTGACGGCATCCTTGAGGATGGCGGCGTACTTGTCGTTGCCGACACCGCCGAAGTAGACGACGCTGTTGGGGGGCAGGATGTACTGGGCACCGCGGGCGGTGTTTTGCGCAGCGCCGCCGGCAATGAGCTTTGCGTCAAAGTTGTTGAGGAGGTCCTCGTAGATGGGGATCTGCTTCTCTTCGGCGAGGATGGCGTCGTTGGCCTTGAGGTTGTACTTGTCCAGAAGAGCCTGGTCGCCGACAGCCTGGATGTCTGTGATTGGAATTCCATGGTTAGTGAACGGTGATTTATAGTCATGAGGCGAAAGTATGAGAGAGCAGGAGAGAGAGGAAAAGAGCAAGCAAGCGGACAAGAAAGAGGACAGACAGCTGGTGCTGGTGCTGCAACGACATTCTTGTTTCAATGGACAGACATACCGAGGAGAGGGTTCTCCAGGCAGATGAGAGCGTATTCCTTGTGAGCAGCCATTGCGATTGACTTTTGGTTTTCTTTATTAGAGCTTTTTTACTGAATGGCAACAAGTCCTGGAGGAAAGTATGGAGGTGGAAAGGAACTGGAGGTTGGAGGGGCTTGTCGCAGTAATAATTTAGCGGGATTGTGGTTTTTTGAGCGGACCAGACTTTATTCGTAGTGGTGGGGGTTTTGGATGAGATGAGATGGCCCCTGTCTTTTTTTTTCCCATTCTTCGGCGGCTGCAGCTGACAGGGTACATGTTGGGCAATGCACGTCACACCAGATGCTAAAGTACCTAACCGACTATATCCGCCGCATTTTTGAATTGTTGGGCTGGGAAGCCATAGCGATGTATCTCATGCTCCAATCATTAAGTACCTGGTAGTCAATACTAAATCAATTCAACAATTGACGAAATACTAGTCTAACATGTTTCCATCGGCCTCCGTTGTTGATATCTACAGAACCCAGTAGGACCTAGGATGTGTGCGCATGTAAGAAAGCATGTAAGCTGCAGAGGAGGGATTTGCGTCTTCCTTGCGGCCCCGGCTTTTTCTTCCCTTCCCCTGCTCTTCCGGAGTAGGCGACAGTTTTTGTGTCCGATTCCTGCGCTGGAGTGGGTGGCTTTCTTTACTTGCATCATTTGCATATTACATGCGGTGTGTCGTATCTAGATAGGTAAGGTAGATAGATATGCCTTGAGATTCTACAAATATCCATCCCCCTCTCACTCGTAAAGCATCTCGCCACTTCTTGATATGAGCACGCTTTGACAAGCCAATTCCTGGATTTCGTAGGATGAATGGCGGGGCAGTTGGACGAATTGCCCGACTCCAAAGAAACTCGCCGATAGGTGATAGTTAATACTCCATGGGGATACAATTCCCACTTAGGATCTGGGAGCATAGCTAAGTATCATATAATACCGATTGCTTACATGGGGAGATAACTACCTAGTGGGCAAGTAGAGACAATCAAAGCATAGCACTGTATTGTGTGTTCACATGCCAAATTCTTCCTCTCTTCAGTTGTACATGGGATTAACTGTCAATTACGTGGATATCTATTCTTTGTATATTATGACCATTTCACCACCTCACTGTCATGCGCCGGCTCATTCACGTCGGGAGATTGCAAGGAAATTGGCTCGTCGTTTGTTTTTGTTTTGCAACGAAATGTCATAATAGTACTTGCCAGAGGAGCCATGTCAAGTTTCGTTCCTGAGCAGTACCATCCATAGTAAGAAAGCCACTGTAACACCATCCCAATGAGACCATGAATTTTAGCCACCTTACTCCTTTGTCTTCTGAGTACCACGGAGCAGACCCGTCCTTCTGGCAGCAATAAGACCGGCCTTCTGTCCCTGTACGGCGTACCGTGAGATGGTAGAGGCCTTACCAATGTGCTGGTGGTTACCCTGTAATGGGGGTCAGTATCTGCTTGAGTCTGTCGAATCGAGTTGGGAAAACTTACACCACCGTGAGGGTGGTCCACGGGGTTCATGGCAACACCACGAGTCTTGGGCCAGCTGTTACGCTTGACAGCGAACTTGTGCTTGGCACGAGAAGCCTCTGTAGCAATTGTTAGCATCCAGACCATTTCAACTCTTTCGCTATTGACTTTTCATGCTATTTTTCTCGCGGAAAAAAGGATAAAAAAGTCAAGAATCTGGGTTCCACATACTCAACAGAGGCTTGTCGGTACGGCCACCACCGGCAACGATGCCGATCATGCCACGAGATCGGGAGTGGACGACCTTCTTGGCACCAGAGGGAAGCTTGATACGGGTCTTGCCCTCATCGGGGTTGTGGCCAACAATGGTGATGTAGCCACCAGAGTTACGGCCGAGAGTACCACGGTCGCCGATCTTCTCCTCGACGTTGGAGACAACGGTACCCTCGGGCATCTCACCGACGGGCAGGACGTTGCCGACGGTCAGAGCAGCGCGCTTTCCGGCATAGATGAACTGGCCAGTGTACATGCCCTCGTTGGCGATGAAGGTCTCGGTGATCTGCTTATACTTATAAGGGTGGCGGAACTGGACCTTGGCGAGAGGAGCACCACGACCTAAATACACAAAGAAGCCCTTCGTTAGCTACAATTCGGCCCATGGATTCCCATCTGTCGTCGGTTTCCAAGATGTTCGTTTCGGGGACTGACCAGGGTCGTGGATGATGTCCTTCACGATTCCGCGGACGTAGCCATGGCGCTCGGCGTAATCGAGGGTGCGGAACTTGGCGGGAGCCTTGTTCAGGCGGGTGTTGGCCGCTATTTTCCCAAATTGTTAGAAATCTCCAAACGCATCTTTCACCCAATGCCCAGGTATCTCGGAAGGCAGCTACTCACTGAAGATGGAGCCACGGCCTTTTCTCTGGTTGCGAATAACTCTACCCATGGTGACTCGACGTCGCTGGCTGCGATGTTACGGGTAGCTTCGAAGAAGATTGATGTCAGTGTTGGGCCACCGGCAGCGCGAGAAGTTGGGAACTTTACCTGAGTCCGGCCGCTTGGTGTTTTGACAAAGAGGCGCTCGCTTGCGCTTTCTGATAATTTTTTGTGTGCGGGACCTCTGCCGCAGAAGAGGAACCCTGACCACGTGACTGACCTTTTCGGCGTCGCGCATTGGCCAGTCCGGAAGTACTTTGTACCTCCACTTCTCCAAGGGTCCCAAAAGCGATGGACAAAAAAAAAAACTGGGACGGCAAAGTTGCAATCAATTGCCGTGCATGGCAAGCGGAGGACAGAAAAAGCGAGACCGGGAAGATTTCGAACACCCACTAGTTGAACCATACGCCTACAAAAGGAGCAGCTGCTATATCTATATTTCAATAGTAACTGATACTATATCAATATTTCAATAGTAACTGATACTATATCAATATTTCAATAGTAACTGATACTATATCAATGTTTTCTAGTAACTGCTACTATATTTACATGTTTCTATCAACTGCTTCTATATTTGTATAATAAAGTTCGAGTGCTGGCTGAATAAACGTTCAACGAGTTATTTAAGTGCTTATATTACTGAATGTATGTACGTATTCATTTTGCAGTCTCGCTTTTTCTGACCTTCGCTTTGCATGGGCAAATGGGCATGACCTCTATGTGCTATGAGAGAGCGAGAATTCGTTTCGCATCGTGCAATCCTCTATATGTATTTGCATCACCTTCTGCATCACCAACAATGTGCTTGCATTCTATGCCGCAGCCCTCTCTTTCTCTAACGTGCACACAAGGTATCTGCCCGATCTCACTTATAGCTGACCCTTTTTGCCTTTCTCGAACTCGCTCATCATTTTGTCGACCGCTTTCTTCCGTGCAGGGGACTTGAAGAACCCCACATTTCCTACTCCGTACCTTAATTCATCCAAGAGCAAAGACCCGAGGGACGTGCCGTGAGATTGAGCGTCTGCCAAAGACATGAGACGCGCCAGATTGTGTGCGGAATGCCACTGAATCAACATGTTGCTAAGCATTTTTCACTGGGTGCATCCAATGCGAAGTCAGTTCTCTTGCTAACTCTGGGATATATCAACTTCTTATGCTCCTGCTATCATGCATTCTCGCCCACGTGAAAGAGCTCGACATGAGGCACCAATCTTCCATCGTCGCTGAAGAATACTGCTCTCATTGATGAGCGTGCTTGTCAGGCATCGCTCCTGGAAGCGTTCATTTCGGCGGCCTGCTCCGTACCCTGACAGATGGTGGTGCAGGGCTTTGATGCGGGGAGAGACTCGTAAATTCAAGCCGGGTGGGAGTGATGGAACCCTGAGCTACGATTTTGAGGCCCCGACCTGTGCTGGATCTGAATTATCGGCGCTCGCGTTTAATTTGGACAGGCTGTCTCGGGCTGGCCATAGCTCTGCCTACTTTGGCTTTGGCCGCGTTCTGTGAGGGCCAGATGAGACGGGAGCTGTGGCATGCGCGGGCAATGGTTATGCCGAAATACGGCCTGGGTGTAAAGACAGGATGAACAAGTTAAACCCCTAAGAAGAGAGATTGAGCCCAGAGCGGCTTCTAATCTCTTCATTCACATTGCATTGTCTGGTTCGGTGACTGGTGACGACCACTTTGATAGCCGCCCGTGGCCTATCAGAACCGTAGCTACCTAGTGCATCCACATCTCTGTCGACAAACGACGTGCTTCTTCCACCTCCCTCCTTCACACTCGCAGCACTCGCATCGCAGAAACCCAGCTTCAGCGCCATGGCTGCCGTAGAAGACGACTCCTCCGATCTCTCGTCTCTCTCGTCCTTGTCGCCTATCCCCTCGGATGCCGAGCTGGACGATCTCAGTGACGACGCGCCGACCGCAGCTAAATCGGGAATCTTAAAGTTCTTCCCCAAGTTATCAGAGCAGCCACCAAAGGAGCTCTCGCCGCCACCGCGCAAACGGTCGCCCTCGCCACCTCACGAATATGTCCTCGCCGACAATCCTGATATTGCAGTGCGTTTTGTTCCATTCACAAGCTCCTTTATTCGACCTTCAATGCTCGTCGCTTCTGTGTGGCGACAGGTCGCGTATACAGTGTCTAGTTGACGCGAAATTTCGCGTGCAGACGTCATTGGGCTCGACTAACTAACACCTGCAGTTCCTGGTGATGTTCCGAAGCCGCTTCAGCGACGCATTTCCCAAATCACTCGCACATTTCGGACCACAAGAATTGGAAAGAGACGTTGTCGAACCTATACCAGGCGATCGGGCGGAGCATTTTTTGTGCGCCGTCCTCGGACTTCTCCTGAACCGGAAGCAAGATGTCAAGTATGCTTAATTCATCCCGTCCAACATTGTGAGCGCCCAGGCTAATACCTCTCTCCTCCTTTCAACTTACAGGGCAGGTCATTATGGCAGAGCTTTGGAGGATGCAATTGCATCTCATAAGAACCAATGGCCCTCCTCATGGGAGGACAAGAACCCCCTTGCTGGCGGCGCAACCTTTAGCTCCATGAATCCAACCGAAAGAGTGAGTACTTTCTCTATCATCTATTGGCTTTCTTGATTTGCGGGGGAAAAAAATCCTTTTGGAGTACATTTGACTAATGACACGGTTCTCGCAGTTAAACCTTTTGCGCATTCTTGTTCTTTGGGCCATGTCATCGTCCGATACCCTCAAGGGCTTAATCAACCAATCTTACAAACAGAATCGACACGAGGACGACATTAATCAACCGCGCGCCGTTCAGCCATGGGGATCTGATGGAGACAAGCGCCGATATTTCTTGGTTGAGGGACAAGATGATACCGCCTTCCGTGTATACCGCGAGAGCAATCCTGCTGGCACTAACCGTACTTGGTGGAGCGTCGCTGGGAGCATTGAAGAGCTCAAGGCTCTGGCAGATAAGCTCGAGACAAAGGATGGAGGCCCCAAAGCCAGGAAGCTCAGCCAGAAGATTCTCCAGGCCATCCCGCGCTTCGAAGCAGGAGACGAGGTAACCCTTTCTCATGCCAGCCCTAACCGCCCACATTCAGTCAGAGTTAACGAAGAAGCAGAAACGAAAGCGGCGAGAGTATCGTCAGTTGCGCAAGGAACAGTTCAAGCGCCCAGAGCCTGGATTTTCACTATACGAAGGCCGTACTCGCGGCAAGCGCATGAAGTACACGTACTCCGACGATGAAGACATATTCTCGGATTCAACTGGCTATAGGCGCTCAGCTCGCAATACCGGAACCAACACACCAGCGGAGACGGGCCCTGTCACTACATCCAGTGGTCGCACTGTTCGAGCTCCTCCCCGACTCAACGTGATTACAGGGGAGGACCTCCCACATGAGGTTCAAGGAGACACTGTCGAGGCTGCTACAGAGAGATCAGCCGGACGACCACGTAGGTCGGCAGCGGCGGATTCCGGGGCGAACAACTTCACAGATACGGACGATGGAGAAAGTGATGCTGAATTTGGTGATGATGAAGATGATGTCGAGGCCCAGATTCCGGAAGAGTCGGAGGACGAGGACGAGTTCAAGGATGAGGCAATGGACGAAGATGACCTGGATGTGCAACCCGAAACGCTGGTCGTGAAGCTTTCGGTGACACCACCCAAGCTGAAAGGGGTTCTCACTCCGAGTGAGCGAGCAGCAAACCTGCTTCCCACCCCAAGCGAAGGAAACCTGAAGGATGCACCAACCGGCCCGCCAGATACGCCTACCCCAATCCAGCAAACGTTTGAAACGGGAGCAGCCGTGCCTATGTTCAGTGCGAAGACTCCCGAGAGACACAAGACCCCAGAAATCACAGATCAACAGGTCAAAATCCAATCCTCTATCGCCTCAGCTGCACCAGCAACCTCACTAGCATTCAGAGGTAGCCCTGAAAAGCAACCAGCGCAGCTAGTGCCTGGAACTTTGAAGATCATCAGCCATGAATGAGGCGCGCTGGTTTGGCTCAGCAACTAATGTTTCATCTTGGGAGTTATGGTTAATTAAGCGGTGGACGGTCCGATAAATTTATTAGTGTACTATCAGTTTGAACCAACGGATCTAGAATCGGGGAAAATGAAAATTAGGAACAATAGGGTCTCCCTCAAAATCTCACAAGAGGGTTTGCGACCTGAACTATGAGGCGCGAATACGGGTTGTTTTTACGGATGTGGAAAAGGGGGAACTAGAAGCCATATGATATTGCTTTCATTTACAAGTTAGACAAAAGGACAGAATCTTTTCTTATCCGGCAAGATAGTAGTAATACATACTCACGACTAGAGTGTTTACATTTATTTTAAACCAACCGCCATGATTCTCTACACCCGTCTCTTAGTAGGGGCGGGCAGTTTCCAATTATTCACTCCATACCACCACCTCCTCAGGCGAATGCCTATTGAGTCACCGTGTACTCTGGCATTCTTGTTCCAATGCTGCCACCCAACCAAGGCCAAGTTGAGAAGGACACCCTGAGCCAAGGGCATCAATACCTATTTCCCCTGTTAGCTATGAGTCACCGGAGTTTTGCAAGGAAGTCGTAGGCCACCTGATCCCTAGCTGTAATGAGTAATACTTTCCACCACGTATCGGCTGAGGCGATGCTGTGGAGATAGCTCTGCTCGAATCGCAGGTCTGGAAGGGGTGGGAGGTTGTAGTGCTTCTTTGGAGGACGCAAGACGCTGTACGGGATATCATCGTCGTCGTTGTCGATGTCACTGCGTCTCGCGCTGTGGAAATCCACCAGCTGCCTCTTGTCGGCGGCGGTTGATGGCGCAATGTCTTGTCGAGGGTCGGGATGTCTTCTGATATGGCCGGCCTGGATGGTGCTGCCGAGCTCGGTGGGGAGAGACGACGCCATGGTGAGGGATTGAGGAGCCCTGCGTAAGGCTCCTAAGAAAGACGCAACTGGCTCGTCTGACTTTCGCCGCCTCTAGGCTCCAATCCGCGTCCTGGTTCAAGCGCGTGCCGGGATATTCAGCGGATATCGCCGTGAATCACTTCCAAGCCTCGTCCTGGGATCGTTCAATTCGCGGGTTTTGCCGGGCGGTGAATGGACGGGCGGGCGATGACCACAACCCAGCCTCAACGAGTACCTTGGGCTGTGTGACGTCGAGCGCTTACTAAGATGAACACCTTGAGACTCCGCCTTGGGCTCTCAAGTTGACTGTCGGCCCGCCCGTTCTAGGCGGCTTGTGGCGGATCTCTTGGCCCAAAACCCGCTGCGTTTAGCAGTTCTGGGGGCTGCGTAGCGCCAGCCATTGGGGTAGGGTAAAATTCCACAACCCAAACCCAACTCTCCTCCAACAAACAAACGCTGCTCCCTTCGACTAGCCAGTGTCACGCTCTCACGCGCCGGCGCTCTCGATCAAGGACTTGTCTAGCGGTGGGATAATTCTTTCCTTTTTCTTTTTCTAGAGAAGGGCCTCCTTTACCTTCCTTCAATATGAGTGACCCTCAGGCCGGTGAGGCGGAGAAGAACGTGAGTAAGAGGAAAAAAAATTAAAAGGCGAAAAATACCTGAAAATATTTTTGGCCCCTGATTTGCCCCTCCTTCCTTGCTGCCCCGCGCTGGCATCAAGAACACCGAATATACAGCAGCAATGCCTAACACGACTGCGAATAGATCGAGATCTGGAAGATCAAAAAGTTGATCAAGCGCCTCGAGGCTGCCCGCGGAAATGGAACCTCTATGATTTCCCTCATTATCCGTACGTGACGACCCCGGCAGACCGCCCTCGCGACCACCCGATCAACGGTACTAACCCTGACGCAGCTCCCAAGGATCAGGTGTCGCGTATTGCCAAGATGTTGGCTGAAGAATACGTACGAAATAACCCTCATCAACTACTTTGGTCTTTTCACGAGCAGTTTGCTGACGACCCCGCAGGGTACTGCCTCCAACATCAAGTCTCGAGTCAACCGACAGTCCGTCTTGTCCGCCATTACGTCGACCCAGCAGCGTCTTAAGCTGTACAACAAGGTCCCTCCGAATGGCTTAGTCGTGTACTGTGGTGAAATCTTGACCTCGGAAGGAAAAGAACGCAAGGTCAACATTGACTTTGAACCCTTCAAGCCCATCAACACTTCGCTGTACCTCTGCGACAACAAATTCCACACCGAGGCCTTGGCCGAGCTGCTCGAGTCCGACCAGAAGTTTGGCTTCATTATCATGGATGGTAACGGCGCATTGTTCGGTACTCTCAGTGGAAACACCCGTGAAATCGTTCACAAGTTCTCCGTCGATCTGCCCAAGAAGCACGGACGTGGTGGTCAGTCCGCTCTGCGTTTCGCCCGTCTTCGTGAGGAAAAGCGTCACAACTACGTCCGCAAAGTCGCCGAGTTGGCTGTGCAGAACTTCATCACTGCCGACAAGGTCAACGTTGCTGGTCTCATTCTTGCTGGTTCCGCCGATTTCAAGAACGACCTTAACGCCTCCGACATGTTCGACAACCGTCTGGCGGTCAAGGTTATCAAGGTTGTTGATGTCTCTTACGGTGGTGAGAACGGTTTCAACCAGGCCATTGAGCTGTCCTCCGAGACTCTTGGAAACGTCAAGTTCATCCAGGAGAAGAAGCTGATTGGCAAGTACTTTGAGGAAATCAGCCAGGATACTGGCAAGGTCTGCTACGGTATCGACGATACTCTGAAGGCATTGGAGCTTGGTGCCGTTGAGACTCTCATCATCTTTGAGAACCTTGAGATCACTCGCTGGATTCTCAAGGATAGCGAGGGTGCTGAGATTATCTTGCACACAACCAAGCAACAGGAACAAAGCAGCCGAGAGAAGTTCCTGGACAAGGCCACTGGCCAAGAGATGGATATTGTTTCTCAGGAATCATTCCTTGAGTGGATTGCTGAGCACTACAAGGACTTTGGTACCGCCCTTGAATTCGTGTCTGACCGATCCACTGAGGGCAACCAGTTTGTCAAGGGTTTCGGTGGTATTGGCGGCATTTTGCGCTACAAGGTCAACTTTGAACAGTTGGCAGATCTCGAGGATGACGATGATGACTACTACGACGGTAAGAGCACTTGATTCACAACTGAATCTCTACCACAACGGAGGCTAACTTGAAGGAAAGATTGACCAACCGATTCCCTCGTGGAGAACGAGGGATCCACTCAAGTTAACCCGTCCGCGCACGACGACAACGACGCGCCTCGCGACCTGTCCGGGTCAGGAGATGCCGCGCCGTTGTCATTTGCTCAAAGGCGCTTGATGCGAAATGCTGGTCAACTGCCCTCTCATCAGGCCCACCAGACGTCGCGACCAAGCCCGCTTCGCGCGGCCATGACGGCCACTTGAGTTTCATCATCAAAGGAAAGAGGGTAAGCATTTCACGCACGCAAATATGCGCTCCTCCTACACGTCCTTAGACTAAAGCCGGCTTGTGTTAGGTGTCGTCTGCATAGCTGGGACCGGCGTGATTGAATGGGGTAGATGCTGAGAGTCGCCTTCAGACAAGAGGAATATTCGTGCTTACGTGTCCTTACCGTCAAATACTAGAGGTGAACGCGTGGCCTTGGTTTAAAAGTTGGCATTCCGGTTTGCCTACAGACCAGTTTCAAATATTAGAAAGCTAGTTTGCAGGACAAGTAGCAAGGAATAGAAATTTGACGCTCCTTTTTGATAGAAGACAATCAACGTTCGAAAATGTGGAGGCCACGATACTTTTACGATCCTTTGTCCTCCCCTCAAAAAGCCCCAAAAGGGAAGTAAAAGAACGCGCTCCCAATGCACCGCCTTCCAGGTAGCTTTGCCAAAGCACCCACAGCTATACGATGAAACCTATGGCTGAGGGCGGAATACGGAGTACGGAGTACAGATACACGTTAAACTTCCGGCGCAGGCGTATGAATACGTCATCAGGGTCGCGGTGTTATCGATAACAGTCGCCGCCGGTGAAGCTGGTCATTTCGCTGACCCCACAAGTAATAGCATAGCACCCATGCAACTGGGGGGCCTCGATACTGTACGACGACCTCCTAACTTGTACAGAGCAAACACAGCCGGCTTGCGCCTCTCCAAGCGGCTTCAAATAACCGCGGCCTCTTATTATAAACAAACGCCGCTCTCAATGTTGCAATCCAGATAACAATAATATATCGTCACCATGCCAGAAGCAGCTGGCACTGCGGCGGCCGCGCCGAAACCCGCAGATCGTGCTGTTCCTGTGACGCTCAACGAAGCGGTCCTCGATTCGCCAACTTTCCGCGCAACCGCTACTCATTTTGCCGACCAGGTTGACGCCGTTGAGAAATGGCTCAATGGCTATGTCGCCTCGACACAGAAGCTCATGACCGGGCTTCTTTCTCTCGAAGATACCATCAACAACTACCTCTCCAAGACGACACCTTTCCCCGACAACGTCATCGACAACGACTACACCCTGCTAGCTCTCAAGCGCACCAGCGAAGGCACGCGAGAGTTATGGACGCAATTACTCAACACTCAGAAACGGATGGAAACAGCCGTCATCGAGCCCATTCGCTCGTTTCTCACGGGGGAACTGCGAAACTTTAAGGAGATAAGGAGAAGCTTGGAGCAGACTCAGAAAGCCTACGACACGACTCTCGCCCGTTATACATCTCAGTCGAAAACAAAGGAGCCCTCTGCCCTCCGCGAGGATGCCTTCTCCGTATACGAGAATCGAAAGTCATACATCCAAGCCGCCATGGATTACTGCCAGCTGGCGCCCCAGCTCCGCTTCTCTCTGGATCAACTGCTTGTTAAGGTCTGCTGTGATATATGGAAGGAGATGAACCGGGGCCGCGATGCAGCCGCGAGTGCTACCCGATGGAGCCGAGAGCTGGATCGTGTCCGGGGTTGGGCCAAGGAAATGGAACTGTCAGATAACGTCTTCAGACGGGAGATGCAGAACGCGAGAAAGGACATTAGCGATGCGACCTTTGAGGGGTTCAAGCCTTCTCGAGAACTGGAAGACTATAGCACCTCAACCGTAGCCTTCCTGGGCTCACGCGGACCTGTTAGCGTACGCCCAACCGACGAGGGCGCCGCAATTACTGAGATACAAGGCTGGTTATTTTTGCGAGTTGCTAGCGGCAAGCCAGTCAGATACAACTGGGTTCGGCGGTGGTACTACTGCCGAGATGGCGTGTTTGGATGGCTCACCCCTGGACCGCAAGGAGTTCTACAAGGAGATGAAATTGGTGTGCTACTTTGTAACGTCAAGCCGGCCGCCGGTGAGGAACGACGGTTTTGTTTCGAACTAAAGACGAAAAGCCGCAGCATGTTGATGCAAGCTGAGACGCAGAAAGAGCTGATGGACTGGCTGGAGGTTTTTGAAGTAACAAAAAAAAAAGCATTCGAGGCCACCATGGACAGAGACAACAGCGCCCTGACCGGTGGCATCGACCCAGCATTCTCAATTTGCCCCCCAAGCATCCCGGAGTTTTCAGCCAAGAGCGTCGATGCGCAAATGGGCTCATCGGACGACACTGTATCAAGCACCGATCGTACAGCCAACCTGGCTATTCCAGGGGCAGAAGGTAGCGCATCCGCACGACAGAGTATCGATCCTAACGGGACCTTGTCTCGTCGATCAATATCTGCGCTTGGGCGAGACCTAGCGCGAGAGGAGGGCGAGAGCGGTCGAGAACACGCAGCGAGGATCATCCAGAAGCTTGACCTTCACCGCAAAGCGACGTTCGGCGCCAGCCCCGAGCCCACGTTGACGACGTCCAGCTCATCCGGAGGCCTGTCCAGCATGATTTCTGGGAATCAAAGCTCCCAGCTCGTAGGAAACTCTTCGTCTCTTACATCTTCAGGCCAGGCCAAGTTTACGGGGGTTGCGCTTCCGCTGTTGGACAACAAGCCAGGCACACTTGCCCCTCCTACTCTGGCCCGCCCTCCCACTATTACGAGCTTGAGCCGCACCGCTGTGCTCATCGCTGGAGAACGAGGCCACGTCTTGGAAGGCAAGAGACTTCCTACGTCAGTCGTAGCCAACTACTGGGGTAGCAATGTTTGGGGCAACATGAATTCAGAGCCAGCTGTGGCTACCCGACTGGACGACGACGATCCCATCGGCGTTGTAGTTTCTGAAGGCTCCCAGACACCGCTCGGTGAAGCAGTGCAGGCGAAAAAGGCCAGCGAGTCTCTACCAGCCGGCTACCCCCCCGAGCTGAGAATCCAGCATGCACAGTTTAGGCTTTTATTCCCCAACGCACCACCAGAAGAGAGACTGGTGCTTGTTTTCCGAGCGGCTTGGTCGAGCTCGCTGGAACGGGGTTCTGAAAGCGAACTCCTTGCCGGTGATGGCAGAATCTACGTGACAGCAGAGAATATGTACTTCTATGGCCAGCAGCTGGGTCTGGTCACAGCCTATAGTATCCACCTGGACATCATCACCGAGGTGACTGCTGCCTCTGGTAGAGATTGCGACTTCATCTTCTTGCATCTGGGCCAGGAGCTCAACGATACCGGATACACAAGGATCACCGTCAAGGTGTTCCTTGACGATCTGAAGTTGCTCCACGCTCGTCTCAATCTCCTAGTGGACAATCTGCAGGCGGAGGAGCCGCTGGATACTCTGGGCATCATTAGTGCCTTGATTAACATTGATAAGCACGAATACGAGAAACCGAGCCCAAGCGCTGAGAGCTGGGAGGAGATATCATCAACCACACCGATGGACAATGGTACAGCTTTGGGAGGGCCGGTAGAGCGGAGTGCTAGTCCCTTGCCACGCCTGATAGCTCCCGTTTCTGGACAGAAGCTGCCGCCGAAACTGAACCTACCAAAACATGAAGTTATTTACGAGCCGGATGACATGAAGGAGATGGCGGCTGAAAGGCATTTCGAAATTAGTGCAAAGGCATGCTTCCATGTCCTGTTTGGAGACAAGAGCTTTGTGTTCCCCAAGCTCTACTTTGAGCACCGTGCGAAGCAGATTGCTCAGGGACCATGGTCGGCGGGAAGTGACAAGGAGCCAATGAAGCGTGAGTTTCACTTTAAGATAGACTACGTTGACGTCTTTGGCCGGTCGCGGACGGCAGACATACGGGATTTCCAGACAATCGACGTGTTTAACGATCACGTCACGTATGTGGTTACGCATACGAGGACTGCGTGGCACCTCCCTCATTCACAATTCTTCAAGCTGGTGACCAAGGTCGTCATCACATATGTGGCCAAGTCCAAGTGTAAGCTGGCGTTTTACGTCCGCGTCGACTGGTCGAAATCACCGCCTTGGTCGAAGAGTCTAGTGGAACGCCAGGCTCTCCGTGATGCAGTAAGCGATGCTGAGGAGCTGGCAGAACTTGCCACAGATCAGGTTCACAAACTGGGCTCGAGAAGTCGCACCAACAGAGCCATACAGGTATACGGCCAGGTAGGACACCAGACGCAGATGGTGGTCTTCTCACCAGCACCAACCGACGCGAGGAAGAGGCAGGCCATCAAGCCTCGCACGCTCACGGCTATGCTGTTCGAAACGGTCCGGTCTCTTGGTGAAAGTGTCGTCTCATCTGTGATTTTGTGGATCATTGCTGTGTTGAAAAAGGTATTCGACGTTGTGACGGCACATCGGCTTATTCTGTTGCTCCTAGGACTGAGCATAGCTACCAACCTGATGCTCTCGTCAACAGAGTCATTGACTTGGTGGCAGGAGCGGCGAGCAGCGAACTTTATGCGCAGAGTTGGCGTGTCGCCGAACCACATGATGAGCAAGGCAATCTATCTTGCGGATCTGCACGAAGCTTCCGGCGCCGACAATGATGAGCCGCCGTTCCCTCAGAACAGCACGTGTTTCAGCACGTTCAGGGAGCTCTTGGATACGACAAGTATGGATTCTCCGTGGGAGGAAGCGGGAGCCTCGCTGTCTCTGCCATCAAGCCGAGCAACGGCGCGACGGCTGCGGAGAACACGACAGAGGCTGGGGATGTATCGACACGATTTGCTTGTAGCGATGAGGGTCGTCAACAGCGTTGAGCGGGAAGTGCTGCAGTCAGAATGGGAAAACTGGCTGGAGAATGAAAAGTCTCTCTGCGATAATCTCGAGGAGATGTTACACGACGACAAGGGTAGGAGCAGCAGTAAGGACAAGACAGGCGATTCGTCGTCGCAAAAGGCCGTGGGTTCAATCCCGCCGGAACGGAGGAGGGCCCTCGAGGCATGGCGTGACGATTATTGTGGAAGTTGTCGGAGCGACCATGCATCTGCTGTGCAGGCGAGAAGGCTGTCGAACCTATAACAGCCAGAATCAGGTCGGGTGTGGTCGAACATTGCATAGAGGGTGTTGGGAGCAAAGCGATTGTCTGGCTGGCTGGTTAGCTGGCTGGGTTGATGTGTTAATTGCTTGATTAAGTGAATTGATTGTGTTGTTTTATTGCTGGTTGTGTTTTGAGGATACCAGGCATTACTACGTACGTCTTGGGCAGGATTTTAGCTTGTTTTGTCTCCCTCTTTTACTTATTCTTCAGTGTGTTTCTTTGACATTCTCTATATATAGATAGCATGGGTATATAAGCATACATTGCACATACTCTATTCGATGCCCGCTGATGTGAAATGCAAATCATTGAAAATCATATGCTACAACATGAGATATCGGGAGTCCGGAGCAGCCGGTCAGGAGTCGGTGGAGTCGGAGGTGCGAAGTCCGGTTGTGATCGGAGAGGAACAATAGCCGGCGCGACTCAGCAAGTGACCGCGAATTGACTTCTACCCTTCAGATTACAATCTTGGTAACTAGACTATAAATAGCATTTTTGGAATTGCATGAGCCTGAGATTACTCAATAGCTCTGCAGATCCAGAGCACTGCTCACAAGATAGGTATTGCGTGTTGCATATAATTCATCATTGACTTTCTCGCCTACCCTGGAATATGACGCTGGATTACGGCAGCATTTGAAACAGGCTGGAAACGGCAATGTTCAGACGCCGCTAGTCGTGACTCTGCGGTGACGTCAAGATAATTGGCCGGGGACGCAACAGCTAAGCCCGCTAAGCCCCCCCGGACAGGCGCTGGAGGGACAAAGGAATGGCCTGAGCGCTCGCTGTCACCCGCTGGAAGCTTCGCCGGTTAGTGGGTTCCACAGGCTTCCCTCGGCTTCAATGCCAGTCCGGGCGAGGCTTATCGAAATGCACTACGAAACCCAATCCATCGTTGCTCGAGTACTTGCTTGTAATATCTACCAAGTTTTGTTTGGTGCATTTTTCTCTTTTCGCCCAAACTTCCTCCCCTCATAATCTCACTGTGATTTGCTTTTGCGTGTAGTTTTTGCCGTGCTTTTTTTCTTTGCTCTTCGTGCTTCATCCTAACCTTTTATCACACTCACTCACGCCATGGCGCCCCATCACGAGCCGCTGCGGGCACTGGGGCCGATCGAGTGGGACGAGGTGCCGGTCGACGACCTCAAGCCGTTTATGAACGAGGCCTTCGTTGATGCGCAAACCGTCGTCGAGTCGGTTCCGTCTCCAACTACGGCCACTGCGACGGGAGCGGGAGCGGCATCAGCGGCGGCGGTTTTCGAACAAGCCGAGATATCATATTCGCAGCGCCAGCCTGGGTCGTCACTGGCCATGGCCCAGCAGCTGCGAAAGGAGTGGAAGGAGATCAAGATGAATGCAAAGGACAATCCGCTCAATATCAGCGTCTGGAAGCTTGCCGCAAAGGATGGCAAGGGGGCGTGGTTCGCTAGACGAAGCCTTCACCATGGCTTGACGTATGATAACTGGAAGACGGGCCTCGAGAAGGAGTTTCCGGAGACGCTCAAAGTACAAGGCTCGCCGGGCAGCGGAAACATTCGAGGTGTTGGTGCAGATAGGCATGTTGAGAGTCAACAAGTTGAGGGTTCGGGACACTTGAGTGGTGAGTATAATGCCCCGTGATTTGCTTGTGGTTGAACTGTTTGGATGTATATGGACTAACATGCATCTCTACAGTGTTCCAATTATCAGCGCAATTCCCTGGTCCTACAGCCCCGAGAGATTTCATTACACTTCTCCTTACAACCGACTTTGAGTATAAGCCAGCAGACCAAGAGCGACCTCTGCGGCAGCACGTTATCGTATCAAAACCATGCCTTCACGACGAGTGTCCTCCCCGGTCCGGAATAATCCGCGGGTCGTACGAATCCGTCGAGATGATTCGGGAGGTGCCCGTCGAGAACGATCCCCTTGCGTCTAAAACATCATTGGTGTCGACAGACCAGAGCTCTGAAGAAGTTCGGAGCTCTAGCTCGGAGTCACGCGACCACCAGTCCATGGCCGTTGAATGGATAATGATAACCCGAAGCGATCCTGGTGGCAGCGTGCCGCGCTTCATGGTGGAAAAGGGCACGCCGCCGGGCATTGTTGGAGATGCTAGCAAGTTTGTCAAGTGGGTAACGGCCATCTCGCTTCTCGACTCTAAGAGCGTCGAGAGCCTTGGAAAGCCGGGAAGTCCTGGCAAACTTGCCGAGGCAGAGACGCCGCGTGAAGCCGGTAGCCCGCGGGTGCTCCCTATACACAAACCTCACCCCAGCGGCGACTTCAAGAAGAGAGACGCAGAGATTGAAGCAGCGAGGAGAGAATCAGTGCAGAGTATCCCCAGTAGTAACGGTATATACGGCATCATAAGCGGGGTCTTTGAGGCGGCATCTTCTGTCGTTGCCAGTGGACTACGGCAGCTGGGAACCCCTGAAGAGAGCCAGGCCAGCCTAACAGATCTGGAATCTAGGGCTGCTGAGGAGCACGAGACAGATGCTGAGTTGTCCGAACTAAGCGAAACATCATCCATACGTACATTTAGATCCGCCCTCGAAAGATCTATGACTGAAGAGAATAGGGCCCGAAGTATCGCAGGAAGCAATTCAGACGAATCCAAAACGCAAGGAAAGCAGCTGCTAGAAAAAGAACTTAAGAAACTCGAAGAGAAGCGGCGAAAGCTTGATGAAAAGACGGCCCATATGCAGCAGCGCTTGGAGAGCAAGCGACGCGGCGGCAAGGAGAAGGACGAGGCAGTGGTGGCCAAGATGCGTGAGAAGCACGAGAAGGAGATCGCCAAGCAAGAAGCAAAATACAGGAAAGAACTGCAGAAGCTAGAAGACAAGCGCGTGCACGAGGAGCGCAAGGCGGAGGCCCGCAGGCGGAAAGCCGCGGAGCGTGAAGAGAAGATGAACCTGACGATGGAGCTGGAGAAGACGCGGGCGGAGAGAGATGTTGCGCTGAAACGGGTCGAGATCCTTCAGACGCAGGTCGGCCAGCTTCAGTCGCAGAATACCATGTTGACGGCGAAGCTGGGACGGCTAGGGGGGTTTGATAGGGCAGCCTCCGCGTCTTCCAAGGGCTCAGGGGTGGAGAGCACCAAGTCGACATGAGTGGTTATACGCAGGACAAAATGTTAACAATGTTAAAGGGGCTTGGGGTTATTTCTCATTGGGATGATGGATCTTGCATGGTACTGGGTGCTTTTTATGTGTGATTATACAAATATGTCGAAGCTTTTCTTTTTAGTTTTTCTTTTTTCTTTTGGCCAGGGAGGAGTTGGAGTGTTCTGGCTTATACATTTACAGCGAATTAGGGTCAGGATGGGAATTCATGGGACTCGGATAAAAGGGTTATTTGCTTTACATGGAACATTTCTTTCTTAGCTTTACTTAATTTCATTATACAACCTGTTAAATCCTTATTCTAAAATCTATTTTCCCCTCTCTAGTTCTCTTCTAATGGTTCTACAAGCAATTTTGAAACCCGATCATGCTCCGGCAACCTCAACAGCTCTTTGACATCATCAACAGCCTGACGCAACTTCTCAGTGCCGTGACCTCTCCTCAATGTCACAGCGCCCCGAAGAATGCTTGTGCCGATGGCAAAGACGTGAGGATTCGATGCCCAGCCAAGAGGACCGTCCTCCTGCTTTATCATCTGCTGCATCTGCACCAGGCCATCGCAAATCCACTCATCCAACTTGCCGAGGATCTTGGCGTCTTCTGGGCTCTTCTCATCCCATGCTATATTCTGAAAGACGGCAGCCCAGCGATTAGCTTCGCGAACCTCGTCTATGAAGAGATTCTGCTCCTCTACTGCGAACAGAGAGTCATCAGACTTGAGAGCTGCATCTAGTTGTGCTCCAGGAGAACTCCGCAGCTGATCAGCTGCTATAGAGGCCCGATGGCCGGTGATGCGACTAGCAACGATGGCTTTAAACTCAGCGCTGCTGCCAAAGTGCTGGGCGAGCCATTGAAGGAGACGACCGGAGGCTTCAAGGGGAGCTAGATTCTGGCCGAGAATGCTTCTTGCTGCAGCGGACCCAGCCTCTCGCACCTCATCGTCATCGTCGTTTATTGCATCATAGAGGGCTACGATGACAGGGAGGTATTTTTCACTAGTGCAGGATGGTCCTGTTACGCTGAAGAATGAGCAAAGAGATTGAGCTGCCGCAAAGCGAGTGTCGAAACTCTGTCACTTAGTTAGCATCTTTATCTAGCCCTCAAGGTCGATGGAAAAGGAAGAAGTGAGTTGATTGGAACTGACCTTATCGTCTGATCCTGCATCAGCTACCATTTCGCCCCAACTCCGAAGGGCTGGCGATGAAAGGCGTTTGGCATGGTTCATAACCGCAACTATACAGCCGCTGGCTCTCACAATGGCATTGGAGAGCGATGGGTTCAATGGACGCTGGGGTAATATCGTCCACATATCCATCAGAGAGGCTACAGGCAGGGAGCCGAGCTTGCCCTCTGCAATGAGTTGGTTTATCAACTCTACCAGGTTTTCAATAGCCACTACCTGAGGCTCAATGAAGCAAGTTCTGAGGCAAACATCAATGTACAGATCGCACAAGGCGATTCTGATGGGGTCAGGGGTTGAGGCCGAATGCCATAGTTTCTGTATCGACTCCAAGGCAGCCACCATCGTGTCGGCGCCGATACGGCTCTCACGTAGTAAAGCCTTAACCTGCCCAACGGGCTCCTTGGTTTGAGACAAGGAAAGTATTCTACTTATAATACTTTGAGCTTTGAGCAACGCAGAGCCGTTTGTTGTGGGTACTAAGACCTTGGGTGGCTGCAAGGGCTGAGATTTGGAGATTTGGGACATCCATATCATGTTGATAACTTCCAGATACGCAGCTATGATGTCTGGGCAGTCAACATATATGCTATCAATGTGGCTTGACTCGAGGAATGCCGTCAACTCAGGTAAGTCAGCTATAAATTGGTTAGTTAAATCATAAGTTTGTTTTGGAAGGGTTTGCATACCTATGAGGCGATCTGGTGCTACTTCGCCAAACCTCTCAACAAGAAACTTCAGAGATAGGAGAACTCCGTGCACATGATTTTGTCTGTTGACGGTCTTGTCATTCAACGACTTGTGAATCAAATCCTGAACAACGCCAAGCCATTTGTCGTGCAGCAAGCAGGAACAGAGAGTCCTGGCAGCGATTTCGCGCACATGCCATACAGGGCTCAATAGATATGCAGCAACATGAACCTGAATTTCGTCTCGGAGAAGATCAGGAGGTCCTGCTCGACGGATGATGTCCAAGGCTGGGAAAACTGACTCGGCAGACGATGTAGCATTTGCAGAGGTCACCATCTTGTGACCAGATTTGAGAAGACTTTCTAACACCGTCGGAAGGTTAGGGTATCGGTGGTATGGAATCCTGTTGGCCTTTCCGTCCCAACCAGCTTCAATCATCGCTTTGCTCTCCTGTGACCCGAAGAGGCTATCGATCAAGCTGCGAAGGAAGATCAAGCCGCAGTTACGAATCGCCCAGACCTCTGACCTGAGTCCACTAGCCGCTAGTTCAAGGCACTGGGGAAGATACTTCTCAGATTTATTTCCCATGGATGTCAGTAGCGAGTTTTTGAAGATGTCTTTGAGACAGTTGTAAGCGTGGACTTGAGGCAGATTGGATCCATCTGTTTCTACCACGCGGGCCTCAATACTCGCTATTTCGATGAGTCTGGCCATTGCATCCTCGAACGATGGGTTAGCTGCATTTGCCGAGAGAATACCCGTCATCATCGAGGGGATTCCAGCAGATCTTCGAGTTGTGGATCTTTGAGTGAAGATTTCGTTCAAAGTGCCCTTTAATAAACCAGACATTAACATAACTATCTCATAGAGAGAAATAGTAGAGGATTGGGATACTAACCTTGTACCATATGTTGAGTAGGGATACCTCGCCCTCAATGGGATCCAAATGCTTGGTCAACTGGCAGCAAGTCGCAAATGTTGCAGCTACTGTTGTGAATGCACCACGATGCCTCAAATTGGCTAGCTGTTCGAATGCCAGATTTCCAATGGTCTCAAACGCTTTCCGAGATGGAGTAATAAGCCCCTCGCGAGAGCGGTTTCTCATACTCAGTGCAATCGTCCGCATTAGATTGCTTAACTGCAGTTAGCCAAGAGATCCGCAATGGGCCTTATCGAAAGCAACTAACCTTGATTCGTGAATGGCACGAAAGCTGTAGCTCAAGAGACCTTTTGTATCAAGACCTTCAGTATCTTCCATTTCCTCAGGCAGATGCCCCTCAGGAGAGTCATCGCAAAGAACATCGCGAACAGCTTTCCATACTCGTTCACAGCAATTAATCATCCTGTTTTGCAGCACGGAAGCCGACTCCGCCTCGGATTCTGACAGCTTCTTTTCAGAAACGGCCTGCCAAGTGAAGCACAGCGAAGCAAAGGTACTGTGCAGCGGCTGCTCTAGAACAGCCTGCCCCAAGTCTGCTTCAGCTCTTGATATCTTGTGATCTAGTGTATCAACAAGTTTTGAAAGAAGACTCAGGCGTTCATCTTCCGTGTCCAAGAACTTATAGAGCAGTTGCGAGGCTCTAGCAACACCATCAGAATGATCAGCTCTGGCAGTACGAATTGACACCTTTTCAGCTCGATGTAATAATTCTTCAAGTCCTCCTGAAGGCCTTTGGGTCGCTTTTGTAGAGTAAAGGGTGAATTTTCCGTATCTGCTATCAGCAAAAAGCTGGGCTAATGCAAGTGAGGCGGTATCCCGAACGTCATCGAACGGATCCATTACTAGATCAGCGAGGGCTCGAAGCCACTTCCCATCAAAATAGTCGAAAAACAGCTGCTGATCTTCTGGCGTCTCCCAAGTCTTCGAACTATCCCCTTCCATGCGGAGTATAGATATCAAGCTCTTGAGGGATGTAATATGCCGTTGGTAAGAAGCCGTAGGAGACAGTTCGTCACATAAGAACCCTAGATACCAGTGTAAGAATTTCTCATGGTACTCTAAGCAGTATACCAGCTCAGATTCTGGCCATGAAATTATGTTGGTGCGGTATAGTGCTTGTTGGCCAGCAGCAGATGCTGCATCCTTGGTAGCGTTTTTTCGAGCCTTTGCCCTTGCTCGCGGTATACTTTTCTTCAATATCGAGATTGCGCCTCGTACCCTCTTGAACATGTCCCTTACACGAGCACAGACATCTACCCGAAATTTGGCATCAGGATCAGCAAAATAAGTGGCCAAATGTCTCTTAAGTAAGTCCAAGGTGGTAGCAGAGTATGGTCGTGTCGTTGATGGTGAGCTTATAAGAAGACTAAGGGCTGACGTTCGGACCTCGTGAGAAGGATGTGTTAACACGCTCTCGAGGGCATTTTCTCGGAGTGTAATGGATGAGTTGTCTTCGTTCGATTGATCGCTGCCAAGATCTAATTTTCGTCAGCATCGATTTGTACAAGGCAAAGGGGTTTATTCTTTACAGGGTTCCTCAACAAGACCAACTTTCTTTCCAGTCTCTAAAGCAGCCAAAGTGAGAAGTGCATTTGCGTCGAAATCCTCATTGGCGGGCGCAACCGTTGAACTAGACTCATGCTGATTCACTTTCTGTAAAAGTTTCAGACCTTCCGGCCTGTCGACCTTGAAGAGCGGAAGGAATATATAGTTTTTGAAGTTTTCCAAAAGACTTGGCTCTTGTGCCAGAAACTCGAGCAGCCAACGATGCCATGTGTCTATACTCAAGCCTGTAGAGTCTTCATGGCCTCTTTTCCTCAGGGCACGACACAAGCTCACTATGAACTTTCCGGCGGCCGGACAGATAAAGTGCAGCCTCGTCCACTGCAGCAACTCCGTTGTGAAGACGCTCCATATCTCGATATCAGCAGCCTGAGATAGCTCCTGATGGTAGGAGAGATGAGTGGCTTTGACGTCATCCAGGTTGAAAACTCCCTTGGCAAGAAAGTAATCCAGAGTCTTTAGGGCCGATTTAGCTACAGGCTTGGTCGAGCGGCCGATTACAATCGAGACTAGATTGTCCAAGAGCAAATCTCGTATGACTAGTGCAGCTTTCTTGTCAGGATTTCTCCGGAGAAGCTGTGCTATCAGGTCTAGGACAAGTCTCATTGATCGATGATGATCAAACTCATTCCAATCAATGTAGAAATCGTAAAGCCGCAAAGCTACATCTTGGGAAAACGCCCACAGCTGAAGCGGCTCTGACTCAGACTTAGAAACTCGTTCTACAAAGCCACAAAGCCTCACGCAGGCATTGCCTGAGACCGATCTAGGCTGGGCAGCTTCTCCCAGGATCGTGTCGAAGATGTTTGTGGCATAACTACATACAACTTAGCAAGCTACATACAGAGGGGACAGTTTGGTGAACTCGCACCTCTGTTGGCTTCCCACATCTTGCTCTTCAAGCCACTTCATCACCGGAGTCGGGTTACCGAGCAGATCAACATGCTCCGGGATGAGTCGACCCGGCATGATGGGCGAAAGTTTTTGTCCACTGAGTCACACCGAATGAACGCAAACTTTGCGAAGAAGATGCCGCTGTTCTCGACACCAAATAATTCCACTCTAATACATGGATTTAGCCTTTTCGCCCTCGGTCTTTCTTAATCATGGCACCCGTTTAAGTTTCATCCTCAGTCAACAGATAGTTTGAGGCTGCACGTGGCTGAGCACGTGAGAAAAATTTGCCCTTTCGCACCAGCCCCACAGCGAAATCCCGCTCCACCAGAGTTAGATAAAAATCGTCGAGGCCCCCCATACTTCTCGATTCCGGAAACATCAACAACAACCCCACGTCCTGATTACCATTAGATACGATTGTTCTATTGGGAGACTGCCAAGATGTCTAAGATTTCAGTCGGTATGTCTTCACCTTGGAGAGTCGCTCATGTTCATCCACCCCCATCGATGGATGAGATGACTCACTACGACTCGATGACAATTTTTGCACCGTGCTGACCGCCCGCACAGCCAACGTCCGGACTCAAGTCGGAGAGCTCCTTGAGTACTCCAACGAGACCAAGAAGCGCAACTTCCTCGAGACCGTCGAGCTCCAGATCGGCCTCAAGAACTATGACCCCCAGCGTGACAAGCGTTTCTCTGGCACCATCCGCCTGCCTTCCATCCCCCGCCCCAACATGGCCATCTGGTATGACCCCGACACTCCCGACGACGACAAGAAACCGAAACTGGAGTACTGACTCGAAATTTCTGTAGCATCCTCGGTGACCAGCACGATCTCGATCGTGCCAAGCACGGCGGTGTTGACGCCATGTCGGCTGATGACTTGAAGAAGCTGAACAAGAACAAGAAGCTCATCAAGAAGCTTGCTCGCAAGTACGATGCCTTCATTGCTTCCGAAGCTCTCATCAAGCAGATTCCCCGTCTCCTGGGTCCTGGTCTCTCCAAGGCCGGAAAGTTCCCTACTCCCGTCTCCCACGCTGATGACCTGACTGGCAAGATCAACGAGGTCAAGTCCACCATCAAGTTCCAGCTCAAGAAGGTTCTCTGCATGGGTGTCGCCGTCGGCAACGTCGGTATGGAGCAGGAGCAGCTTGTTGGCAACATCATGCTTGCCATCAACTACCTGGTCTCTCTCTTGAAGAAGGGCTGGCAGAACGTTGGAAGCCTTACCATCAAGGCTTCCATGTCTCCTCCCAAGCGCCTCTACTAAACTGGTCGTGGCACCTTCGGGCTCTGTTTGAGGCGTCAATTAATCATAATTATGCACGCCGTGTGGGATGCCATAGTTTAAGTCTCAAACAATAATAAGGGCCCTTTTTTTTTTTTTACTTCGAAATTTCCTAGTGACTGTACAATCTTGATCGTAGTTATGATTGCGAGTGTTGTGATTCTATGATATGACAATATTCATATCAAGCCTAGCACACTCAAAGGTCACACATGATATCTAATGCTTTTTACTTTATTCATATTACTTCTTTAAATAAGATTATGCTGGGGATGCTAGCTCTATAACCCACAGCTTTTAGTAACTCGCCAGGCAACAAGCCCTCGACGGCCAATGACTCTAGACAGGGTATTCCAGACTCCGTCACCTCCAAAATCTAAATCATCCAAGTTAAGATGGTTCCTGTAACGCCACACTTCTCGGAATCGCAATCCTTCTAGCCCCTTGTTGGGAAGATACGGGTCTAGCCAGGTGGCTGATGCAGGCGCGATTAAGTAAGTCCCGTTCTTCTCTTTTAAATACTCCGTATTGCGCCGGTCTGCAGGAGTATCACAGGTAGCCAACTCGGCCAACTGTTCCAACAAAACCTCGCCCTTGATTCCCATGACATCCTTGGTGGTCAAAACCTCATTCTTGCCGTTGAGAAGCCAGATTGGAGGAGGATAGGTTTTCCACCATATGGCGTTTGTGGCATCAGGTTGTTTGCTCATGAATACTTGCCCAGGGACAATACCGCCCTGATGATATGTCCCCATAAGCACACCAAAGAAGATATTGAATATCACCCAAATCGCAGTCCACGTTCGACGAAGAGTTCGATTCTTCGGTAACTGCACAGATGATAGGATGAGTGGAACAGCCGGAAGAAGAAACCGCGCTTCTTGATGTTTAATGAAAGACAGGATGACAATTCCGGAAACAGCTGACCACACCCTCAGGTTTACATTCTCCAGGGATGCATTCTCCAGGGATACATTCCTCAGGGATACATTCCTCAGGGATACATCAAGTTGCAAGAACACTAACGCGACTGCAGGCCCAATGAGCTGCGGTAAGTTTCCGAGGAGATGTTGGTACCAGGGGTGTAGGCCATGAAGAGCAAGGTTTTCGGGATTCGAATTATATATCAGGTTGTTTAGAGGAGTGATGACCGGGTTGGCGATGAGATCGGACCAACTAATAGGACCTGGAGCGTAAAAAGCGGTATCGATGACAATGGCGATTAAAGCAGTAGTAAGGGCGGCCAAAATCAGGGCGGCCAATGAAAAGGGACTAGATAAGTTAATACATGCCGTCTAAAGGTATCAATATGCCTAGGATCAGGACGCACTGCTTCCGAAGATGCCATATCAACATAAATCCGGGTAGTATTAGAAAAGCTGGGAAAGTAACGCGGTTGAAGATGCCAAACACAACAACCATGCCCAGGACCACCGAGGACAAGATCGAGGACTGTTGCCAATGATGGATTAGCCTGAAGATCAGAGGATAAAGACATACATGGGGGCAGACAGCTATGAAGCTTACATGAGTCTTCAGGATGCGCTGTATCAATACCAAGCTCCACAAGACCGCTAGGGTCTCAATCGAGTTGGAAAATGTATGCGTTTGGAAAGTCCAGGTGACATAGGACGACGCCACGAGAAGAACAGCAATGCGGCGATGGCGAGTTGAGGCGATTTGCTCGTCAAGAGCCCAATCTTCCAGCACAAAGCTTAACAGAAACATGAGACACCTCAACGTCCAGAAGACGGCGATAGGGGGAACATCGCCATCTTGCCCGTTCCCAATCCAAAGCCAGCGGAGCAAAAGCATGGGCAGGCCATAGACAGGCCATAGCGGAAAGACACTCCGAATGGGGGTCTCGCTAGTGAATTCCCATGTATGCCGGACAGGGTAACTAAAGATCTGGCCTGTATACAGCAGATATTCGATTAGCCACTGAAAATAGTTACATAACAAGCTCAGTTTTGAGTAAATCAGAAGCCCGTAATAAATCCCTCTGGATATGATCTAACTGGCTGCATGGGCTCCAAAACCCGAGGCTTCCTTAAAAGATGCTGAAATATTACACGACGCCCGGATACGTACCAGCAATCACTTCCGGCCCTTGAAAGTTCTCATCAGGGTGAAGATAACTGGGGGACAGAGCAAAATAGAGTCTGATGAGAACTAGGAGAAGACGAGTGCGCCGCCACATCTTATTCTGGCTGACTGCTTAGAAGAAGGTGTTGGTGGAGCAAGCATGAGCGAAAGAAAAGACCAATGGCGAGAAAAAAGACATGAGCAAATCGGGAAAGCTGTGGTGCACGCTTGCTGGCAGACTGGCTGAGAAGAAGGAAGAAGAAAAATCGTTGATAGCTGAGAATTACGAGTAGTGTGGTAGTACCATAACAATGGGGGAAAGTTGATTAGAATCTTCTAGGCGTGATAGGGACAAAGAAGGGAGGCTGCAGACGAGGCTCCAAACGCAAAGCGACAAGACAAAAAGCTATGCTGCGAGCTCTATAAACAGCGAAGAAAAAAAAGGGCGTAGGTTGTCGAAAGAAGGAACCAAGAAGTGAAGCAACTTTGCCAAACGCGTGGGAGAGTCTAAGACGCGCCAGAGGGCTGTTGAGAAATGCTGCTAAAATGGAACAGGTGGTCAGACGAGGCTGATGACCTGCTGGCTGAGACCTGAAGGGTGTGTGTGCCTTGACATGAGAATAAGGGGCATGACCTCATTTTTCCTTCCCTAAGCCGGCAATGCTGCTTTCGTAATCACGGCTTTTGGCCAGTGAACAAAGGCGACGGGCCACCTAAAGTGTTTCAGCGGTATTAATGGCCGTCAATGCGTCAAAGCGCAGCATGAAAGAACAATCTCTGTCTCTCTTTCTGTCTCTCCCTCTCTTTTCTTTTTTCCATGCTCACCATCATCACAATCACGTGAAAAGACAACAGACGCACGGCACTTGTTGTAAGGGCGCTTTGCAGCCTTCTTTAGCGCCGGTGGATGAAAACTTAGTCACGCCGGGAGTTGCTCATACTCGACCAGCGTGAGGCTTGTGCCTACCTACCTAACGACTTTCATGATGGAGGTTAGGGTTCGTAGGTGACTCTGGTGGAGATGGTAAACCATGGCACAGACGTTTTCCTTGCACAATACATTACAAAGGACGACTGATAAAGATAAACATGAAAAGCAAATGAGTGAAGAGCTGTCTTCCTTCGCCTCCCAAAGTGGTCTGGGCATGATGGAATACTTAACGGAAGGCGATGCTGTGAATTGTTCTTCGGTTGAAAGACAGGTACATATCAGTCTCCAGATTGTTTTATTCAATGTGGACAAAGATAACTTTGCACCACGGAGGATCAAAAGAAGGGCAAGCTCAATGTAGTATACATCTCGGGTGGTCCCCTGGAAGTATTAGTCTAGATGAAAGAATTCGGGAGTGTTGCCTGGTACCTTGATGTACTAGAGGTGCCGAGCGCAGGCACCGGTGAACACCAAGTATACCCCGAGTGAAAAGCTGGTGGCTGAAAAAAGAACTTTCTAAAAATATCTATCATAACAATATATATACAAAGGCGTAGAATAAAGCTCAGCTCCTTAACTGCACATATTTCTCTTTTGCTTTCCACCTTTTCCGCATCGACACTTTCGGAAACTCAAGTTACCCTTCCAAACGCCACCGCACCCAAAGCCCTGCCCAATTGAAGCCTTGGTGGCACGCTCTTTCATCAGCCAACACGCAGTAATCGGTACGTACCCTTTTTTGCCAGCAGAACCCCGCAGAACTCTAGAAGCGATTGCCTGCCACTCGGATCCGTGCCTAGGAGTCAGGATTCAGCGTATATCAACCTTTCTTCTCCCTGCTTTCCTACCGCTCTCCCAAAACACCCACATCAACAACCTCAGCTACAAGCTTACCGCCTCCCGTGCAAGCTTTCCACATCGATCTCTAATATTGTTCCGCCTAGCCGACAAGCTTCTACTCAATCAAAGCATCATCGTCCCATCATCACAATGGCGGAAGCAAAGCCTGCGTCCCAGAAGATCTGGTTGGTCTCCAACGACAACGCGACCATGGAAGTTGGTATGCTTCGCCTTATTCTAATCATTATATCTATTTCCTGTGTTTTTCTGTGATTGACTCTTGGTGCCAGACCGTGCCGTCGTTGAGCGATCCATGCTCTTGAAGAACATGTTGGAGGATCTGGGCGGTGCCGACGTCAGCCCTGAGAACCCGATTCCCATTCCCAACGTAAGTTTTAATCCTTGCACATTGGATCGCCCTAGAATGTCACTGACAGAGACGCGGCAGGTGAACGAGGCAGTGCTGCGAAAGGTGGTCGAGTGGTGCGAGCACCACCGCAACGATCCCGTCGCCGCACCCGATGACGAGTCGGATGCCCGCAAGAAGACCACTGATATCGAGGAGTGGGACCAGAAGTTTATGCAGGTCGACCAGGAAATGCTTTTCGAGATCATCTTGGTATGTCGCGTCTTCTTTACGGATGAAAATCTGGGCTCCCAACTAACCGTGAATCTAGGCCTCAAACTTCCTTGATATTAAGCCGCTCTTGGATGTGGGCTGCAAGACCGTGGCGAACATGATCAAGGGCAAGTCCCCCGAAGAGATCCGCAAGACTTTCAACATCACAAACGATTTCTCAGCCGAGGAGGAGGAGCAAATTCGCCGTGAGAACGAATGGGCCGAGGACCGATAAATAATGGTCTACTATGGGTGTCTCTTAACTCTTCCTCTTGTTCAGTGGAGGGCAGCAGCGTGAACCTGGTTACTTCCAGGGCTGTTTTATAGAGTAACCTACGGCGTTGATGGGACTGAAATGACAGGGCTATCGGGTTCCTTTTTTTCTTTGCTTTTTTAACTGGTATCTCGTTTGGGGGCATATTCGCGGGGCTCGGCTGTAGATTGACCAACATCGAGCACTTATTATGAGCTGGGGAAGCTTATTCATTACGATTAAAAGACACGCTACAGACGCTGCGTTGAGTTGAATTTTAGGTGACTTTTATTTATACCTTATTTCTCATTCACGAAATGGACTCGGTGACATCTGAAGAAACGAGTTGGGCATGACAGCACTATTGATTTCACGATCCCTTGTAATTACCTTCACCTAGGCAGCGCATCGGAAAAGTCGGACACATCAATTCTCACTTTGTTCACTTTCCAACATCCGAATACCATTTCTTGGGGCCAATAGTCGAGGCTGGAGCTGCTGATGGCACAAAACAGAATTGGCCTTCTCGTTCACTCACGTAGCGAGCAGGAGTTGTGGCATGAGCACAATGTTTAGAAAGAAAAGGGAAACTGATCCTCAGGTAAAAAGCAAAATGGACATCAAAATAGGTTCATTCCTTTCCCTATGACCGACCGTGACATGAAGCAATATCAAGAATCGAGAAACCAGGCAACCGTGCCCATTCCATTGCGTCTGCATCCTCCCTCCCCCACACGCCGTAAAGACGATAAAAAATCTTTTTCTTTTACGCCATCCGCCACTATTTCACCGCGAAACCATGCCAAAGAAACCAGACGTCGGTACCGTCGGTGCAAGAGGGTCGGGAATGCCAGGTGATTGGGCGAAATCGCTTAGATGCCCAGGCGAGTCTTTCTCCAGTGCCTTCTCTTGGCGTTGTAGCTATACGGACACAACCAGTTAGTACTTTGTGGCATGTGAAGATTTGGGTGGAAAAAAATTCATCGGTATCATGTGTAGGATAGGAGAGCGATGGGTTTGTGCGGGAAAGAGGCTGAGGCGATCGAAAACTCGTATGGATAATTTCGAGGGATGTGTTTTTCGTTTCTGGGGAATTTGCACGCACCGGATTGTGTTGCCAGTGCGAAGGCGAATCCATTGCGGAACCGGGCGGTTCTGCTTCTGGGCCTTGGCCAGCTTCTGCTTGGTTCGGAATGTCTTGTGGCTCTAGAGAATCATTTGCTCGTCAGCGACTTGGCCTCTCTCTAGAATCGAGTCCATCGTTGCGTTTTTCTCCTTTGACGCCAGCAAATCTGGTTGGACCGCAGGAGGACCCGAACAGAGGCTGCGTCAAAATTGAAATTCGCTTCTTCAGGGACAACGGCTCTTTGATAAAACCTGCGGGAAGGGGCTGCATACCGCCATCGTATTGACCTTGCGTATCGAGTCTGGTGATGATGACGATTTTCGTGATGTTGAGAATGATAGTAGATTTTGCGACCCGCATCCGAGGGCGTAAAGCCCTAGAGGAGAAGAGAATGGTGGGTTTGTGGCTGGTGCGGCGTGTGGCGCGGGATAAGTTTGTTCCTCAGGCAGAAAGCGCGGCTGATGAATCTAAATCGCTGGAAGCGTCTCGAGAGGCATTACCTAATAAGGCTATGAGGGGGTGACAAAATAAGCTGGACGGGATCTCCGCGCATTAGTGTAACTGATTCGCAGAGCCATGTTTGAACAAAGCATTTAGAGAGCCGATGTCGCGATATAGTTTGATCTTTTAATTCTCTTGATATTTTCCTTTTTTACAAAGCGAGTTCAATATACCGTGTCTATTCTTTTCCACTGTAATACAGTAATAGAGGCTTTCATCAGCAACGGACTGCACCCAATTAAGGCAGCGGAAATAGGTCAAGTGATGTGAGGCTGCGTGAGATTAGCCTTAAGTTTTTGTCTAGCGCGTGGACCAACCAGAGGCCGCGGTTCGGAAGGACAATCGCCCTTCTAACAAACGCCTGCCAAGATAGCTGCAGATGGGCGTTGGAGACTCCGGAATAGGGGACAGTTTGTAATTAATAACGTTCCATTCCACATCGAAGCCCTTTTGCCACGACATTTGCGATCTACACGCGACATATAATCAAAGTTATTTCTGCCGGTTTATTTCGCTTTTTCATATTCTTGTTTTGTTTCTTGGCATTTCTTCCTGGTGTCCCGCGAGAGCCCGGTCCCGTCAACACTGCGTCAAAACTACTTGGGCGCGAGGCAGAACGCGAAACAATACATCTACCAACGACGGAACACACGGCATACCGCAGAGGACTTCGAGCTTCATAGTAAAAGATGGGTGCTGGAATGTCATGGCTGACCAACTTGGTCTTTGCAAAGAAGGAGATCAGAATTCTAATCTTGGGCTTGGTATGACGTCGTGCCCTTGCCTTGGGTTCGATGCCGGGATACTAATGCGTCGGTTCCAATAGGACAATGCTGGTAAAACAACGCTCTTATACAGACTGAAGGTACGGTCCCAATAGCCACTACATTTTTTGACCACGTGCTGACTTAGAGGGGATTAGATCGGAGAAGTTGTCACGACGATACCAACGATCGGATTCAACGTGGAATCAGTCACGTACAAGAACCTCAATTTTAACGTTTGGGTATGGATATATGCAACGGGAAACGCGTAGGAAAGTGGAAAGTCGACATCTTGCTAACAGTCATGTTTCCAGGATCTGGGTGGTCAGACAAGCATCAGGCCATACTGGCGGTGTTACTATGCCAACACCGCTGCCGTTATTTTCGTCGTCGACTCGACCGATATCGACCGATTACAAACCGCAGCAGAGGAGCTATCGGCTATGCTGAACGAAGAAGAGCTCAAGGATGCGGCTCTGCTGGTGTTTGCCAACAAACAGGACCAACCCGGCGCCAAGGGAGCGGGAGAGATCTCGGAAGCGCTGCAGCTGGGCGAACTGCGGGACCGAAATTGGAGCATCATGGCCTGTTCGGCAGTCGACGGCAGTGGTGTAAACGAGGGCATGGATTGGCTGGTGGTAAGTTTATGTTCCTGGCGATCGATGCATCTCGGGGGGAGAATACCGAAAAGGCTAACAACAAACGTCTACTATAGCAAACCGTCAACCAAGACAACTAGAAACAAAAACCTTATAAAAATCAATGAAGGGGGTTTCAACGAGACTTTTCCTTTCAATATCAAAACGCAATCTTGTACAACAAATGATAAGACGATGGCAACGACGGTCGGGTTTCGTCGTATCTGAGAGGACAACGATACGCCTGGGTCAGGGAGGAGAAAGATGTGCAATGAACGGCATACTCACCTATCTAATGGATGGACGATAGGTTTTTGGAGAAGACAATCATACGGATGGTGGCAATATGAACAGTACTATCATTTAATTTTAGACTTGGGATACCTGTACCAGTATCCTGCTTCGATTCTCAACATTGGTCTCGGTCTTTGAACCCCGAGTTTGGCTATCAAATCGCTCGTAGTCTCGTATTAACAGCAGCGCTGCCACGCGGCACGCCACATCAGCCTTATTTGGAGACCCGCATTGTGTAGATGGATATGTCGAATCTGAGCAAATATGAGCCGGGGCATCCAGAAGTACCTGTAAATCGCTAGCAATGCGGCAGTTCCTCACTGAGGCGCAAGTCATATGCCTTGAGAACCCACATATCATGATCAATAGTCCTCTCGGATTACGACGGCTACCCTCAACGGATCCGACCGGAAGAAGAAGTCTTTAAGACGCATAGAAAAGAGGGTGTGAAGAGAGTACAAAGAAGTGGACACCTGGGATGCCGGCCAAGAGGTTCTGAATACGATAGAATTGTGTATAAAACAAGGGTATTCGGACCTCGGACTACATGGGGTGGAGCGGAGATACCAAGTCTAGTTTTCACACAAATTGGCGGCAGATGAGATTTTGGTGTCACATAGGTTCTTCTGTAAACTAGACTGGCAGAGGGATAAAGAGAGGGATTTTGTCATTGCTGACTTTATAACTGTAGTTGACCTTGAAACCCCGTCGGTAACTCATCGGATGATAGAAGAGACGTTTGTCTGTCGGTGTCCCTTTTGGACGACTACTGGAGATAGGGTGGGCATGAGAGCCGTTTGGTGTGAAAAATCCAGTGGCCAGATATCAGTTCATACGGGTATAATAACTCCGGGTTCGTAGTCGTTTGTTAGATGCAGCCAGTATCACCTTAATAACGTAAATCAAGTCAGCAACTAGAACAATTCCGCCATGGCATTGTGATTATTGTAGTTAGTAACCACCCAGGCACTAAGAGAATGACAGGGCAGGTGACCACGCGTCCAGACCCCCGGACACCGACGCGAGGCGCGCCATCATCCCATCCCGGCTGAGTGAAGCCATTCGTTCCATTGTTAGTGCCCGCCATCTGCTGCACGAAGACCCAATTTGAAATAACCAAGATGGAAGAGAAATGGGGTGATAACAGGCGGCAGTTGCGGTAGTTGCGGAAGAAGACCAAGGCGAAACCCCGCTCCAGAAGCTGGTATAATGGACGACATCATCGCTCTGACTCATGAATGAACAAGACATGTATTCTAGATGATAGACAGGCACTGCAGCTTGCGTGGTTGAGTTCGAGCCGGGGGTCAAGAACAGGACCAAGCGAGCGAGGTGTGCTGCTAATAGTGGAACGAGACGTCAGAGACATTGACACATTGAGCTGTCAACATTTAATACAGCCTTCAAGGGCTAAAGGATAAATTGCTGGATGAAAGCAGGGAAGTGGAATTTGATATCGGCGCAGCCTCTCTTGACGGGCCAGGGCACAAACACAGTTAGCGACCCCGTGTCTGGCCTCGAAAGGACCTTGAGAGGTTCAGGTGGTTCGCACAGCTCCAGAGGCCCGTGCTCCGCTCCGGGACAAGTGAACCGCTCCGGCTTTCTTTTCGGGGCCCTGTTATTGGCTAGGAAGCGGCCCACTTCGGGCAATCCCAGCGGGGAAGGATGGAGCCGGCTCTTGCTTCCACCGCAAACGATGTACCTCGTATGCGTGTGTTAGCAGGATTGGGTACCTGCAACGCTTGTTATCCATTGCCCCGCGATGGGCAGGCACTGACGTAGGTAATTTTGGGAGGCCATGAAGTGGGCAAGGAATGGAAATAACTAGGTCAGGCACGCAATTCCTCTAGGAAGGCCGGGCGCAATAGTAGTAGCAAACAGCAGCAGATAGCACCGGTAGTTGCTACCTCGCTGGCAATTGCCAATCTAGGCGTCTAGCTGCCGAGTTTAGATACCTACTAAGCTAATAGTCATGGTAATAATCATGTAGGGCAAGCACAAGCAAATCGTTGAGGCTGGAGGCAGGAGGGAGGAGGGGAAGGAGGGAGGGTCCATGTACGCTCCCGCCATCTCAACCATACAGCAAGCTTTGTTTGGCCATTGACGCATGAATTCGCTTCTCCTGCACTTGCCTCGTCTTACATCGGGCTCGGTCACCCCACCACTACGCTCGTCCCTTCTCCTCGACTGCCGCCCAGCTATAAAGAGGCAGTCTCCTCCAGCCCCTCCTCAGCTCCTGCCCTGCCCCGTGTCTCTCTACCTTTCATTTTCTCTGGTATATCATACCTTGACCACGTGAGCTCTGCTCCCATATCCATCAGATACATAGGTAAGCTTCCTATCACACGCCATATCAATCATCTCCCATCCATTGATCAGCTATCTAACGCTTCATCCCTCAGTACTCGATCCGAGATATCCAGCCGCCATAATGGGTGCCAACGACACGCCGGCTTCCACCTTCAGGTACAATGAGAAGCCAGTGTACACCACCTCCAATGGTGCCCCCATTGACAACCCTGAGGGCTGGCAGCGGCCTGGTACCATTGGGCCTCTGCTGCTCCAGGACTTTCACTTGATCGATACCCTCGCCCACTTTGACCGTACGTGTTCCTCTGTCTTCTTCGTCTCTGAATCAGCGCCTCCATACTCGATCTTAGCCTCTACCCAACTCATCTCCAAGTCATGACACGGCTAATGTTGTATATCTAGGCGAGCGTATTCCCGAACGTGTCGTCCATGCAAAGGGTGCTGGCGCATATGGCGTATTTGAGGTCACCCATGATACCAGCGACCTCTCCTCCATCAACATGTTCGACACTATCGGCAAGAAAACCAGCTGCATTGTCCGCTTCTCAACCGTTGGCGGTGAGAAGGGTTCAGCCGACACTGCTCGTGATCCCCGTGGCTTTGCCATCAAGTTCTACACAGAGGAGGGCAACTGGGACTGGGTATACAACAACACCCCGGTCTTCTTCATCCGTGATCCTACCAAGTTCCCGCTCTTCATCCATACCCAGAAGCGAAACCCACAAACAAACCTTAAGGATGCTACCATGTTCTGGGATTACCTCTCCACCCACCAAGAAGCTATCCATCAGGTCATGACCCTGTTCTCTGACCGAGGCACTCCCTACTCATTCAGACACATGAACGGATACTCAGGCCACACCCACAAGTGGACTAAGCCTGATGGATCTTTTGTCTATACTCAGGTCCACCTCAAGACTGATCAGGGCATTAAGACGTTTACTGGTGAAGAGGCTGCCAAGATGTCTGCCGCGAACCCAGACTGGAATACTCAAGATCTCTTTGAGTCTATTCAGAAGGGAGAGTATCCCAGCTGGACCGTCTATGTCCAGGTCCTCACCCCTGAGGAGGCTGAGAAGTTCAAGTGGAACATTTTTGATTTGACCAAGGTTTGGCCTCAGAAGGACGTGCCTCTGAGGCCCATTGGCAAACTCACTCTCAACAAAAACCCCGAAAACTACTTCGCCGAGATCGAGCAGGTTGCCTTCTCTCCCTCTCACTTAGTGCCTGGTGTTGAGCCTTCCATCGACCCCGTGTTGCAGTCTCGACTGTTCTCTTACCCCGACACTCATCGTCACCGTCTGGGCACCAATTATCAGCAGATTCCTGTTAATGCTCCTCTCAAGGCATTCAACCCCTTCCAGAGAGATGGTGCCATGGCCATTAATGGCAACTATGGTGCCAATCCTAACTATCCTAGCTCCTACAGGCAGCTGACTTACAAGGCCGTCAAGCCTACCGTCACTCATGAGTCGTGGTCCGGCGCTGCCGTCCATGAGCTCTTCCAGGAAGTCAACGATGATGATTTCGTGCAAGCAAAGGGTCTCTGGGATGTGCTCGGCCGTACCCCTGGCCAGCAGGAGAACTTTATCTCAAACGTTTCAGGCCATCTTGCTGCCGCTCATCAGGACACTCGTACCAGAACCTACGAGATGTTCTCAAGAGTGGATGCTGATTTGGGTAACTCCATTAAGGAGCAGACAGAGAAGCTTGTCAAATAAGCAGAATATGCCTAGTAAAAAATAATAAAGTTGAACTATTTAGCCACCAAGAAATGAAGACATGATTTTTTTTTTATTCAAGATTACAAAATGCAATTGAGAAGGAAATCGAAACATGTACCCGTGTTTATACGTGTAGATTAAGCATAAAACAAGATCGAGAAGCGCCAAGTTGAAAATTCCTTTGCAAAGACCCAGATGTAAAGACTGAGGGAGTGTACATGTCTGTGAATAATATTCCTTGGTGAGTATCGAGCAATGTGACTTGCATGGACGTTTATTTCTGCCTCAATCCAAATGTGTAAGTATTCACCAATAATGGTTTCGTCCATCATAAACAGACATCTTTCATTATGAGCGTCTACTATGGTCCATTGAGTTCTGCGTCTTTGTAGATGTGGCAAAGACATGGAAAGAATCAAAGCATATTGATATCACTGTACCGACAAGAAAGAGAGCGATGCCACCCGAATTTTTTTCAAGTTTAAACTAACTACCTAGTAGTACTGCCAACGACAAGAGAACGAGCAGGGACCCTTTTCCAAGCAGTGCGCTACATTGCGTGCGAAGCCATCCTCGCCACCAGGGCGAAGAAGCCATTTGTCCTCATCTGTTTACTGCCTAATTTTTTTTTTTTTTGTAAGTGGTTTTATCCTTTTTCATAATTTTTTCTCTCGCACACTTGAGTTTATCCAGCATCTCTTAAGCAATCCCAAGCGCCCTCCCGTTCCCAGCGGGAGGACCCAGGAGTGAGGAGGCTTGTTAACAAAGCACAGCTTTGCTAACAGCCTCAGCTCACTCACTTGACATTGCACCACAACAGCTTCGAGGCCCTCTGAGCCAGATCCGGTCTGGCTGAGGTAGCAAGCTCGAAGCGGAAGTGGGGTGGTAGAGAGATGAGCTACAAAATGTTTGCCTCGATATTCCCCAGGCCACCTCAACAAGCCTTTGTTGCATGGAACAAAAAGGGTGTACAACTCTTCGCCTCGGGCCAGCCTCTAGGACGTCATTCTAGGTCAAGAGACCAAATGAACGTGTCCTATTTGGCTGTGCCCCTCGGCGTGTTGTACTGGCACCCGTATAAACATGTGAGGTGGAAAGGTCAATAGCAGTCTTGGCTGGGAAATATCGTGGCAAACGGTGGATTGGAAGTGGTCATACACTCATCGCTGCACAGCAGAGACAAGGTATGAAGCCCACCCTATCATCGTCTTTCCAGTCATCAACAGCCCGCGCGGACTCGCCCGCGGACGTGTACACCCCTGTCAACAACCAGTGTCCGCATGTGCCAAAATATTCCAGATATTTGAGCGCCATGATCGTAATGCGTAATAGTTGGTTTGACGTTGTTCCAAGAAATGTTGCTGACTGATTTGGAATCCAGTTCAAATCCAGCCAGTCAATATTAGAAACATATCGTTGAGTCGAATAAAACCGCTTTCGTAATATGAGTACTTGATCCGAAGAGAAGGCATCCAATCCCAGCATCTAGCCGAAGAAATTAAGCCTTCCATGTATTCAATAATCGTATCGCATACTCGTGAGGTTATTCATAACTCATTCATGTCGTCGTCAAAATGTGTCGTGAAGCATCATTACGCAAGACAGGATAAGGAAAGACACCTAAAGAGCGGCCTGAGAAATGAATCTCAGGTAACGCATCCGAGAGGGAGATCTTCCAAAGAAAAAAGAAAAGTCTGCTTCTTTACTACCTCGTGGCAAATAAAGAAAGCGGACGAGAAAAGAAAGTGTAGGAATCAAATCCAATGGAGGTTCCGGGCCGAGCCGATTGTTGTGCATTGCTGCAGTAGCCTCTTATCTTTAACCCAATGGTACCAGAAAACAAGAACAAGGAAATGTAGAAGGGAATGTCGCAAGCCGCTGGCGTCTGTGCCGAAGAAAAGAGTCCCCGCCCGAAGTTGAAAACGCATCCAGATTGTCCGCCTCGGATCCAGCCATGTTGGTGGTATAATGTAAAGAAAAAACAAAAGCCCAAAAGAAAATGCCGAGCTAGCGGCTATGACGCGACGGATGATGATGTTTCCTGGACTTTCAACGAGGAACTAGATTCGAAACCATTGTACACGCTTGCTGTGTCGCCGATAGCAAAAACGAAAAGGGGATCAATGAAAAAGAGAAAAGAAAAAGAAAAGAAAAGAAAAAAGAGGAAATGATTAGGGGTATTTCCTAGAAAGAATATTTGGTTGAGGTATTCGAACTCCGTTCCTGATGCAACAAAACGCCTATATGCCCTGACATGAATGTCTATGCCGCTGAGAAGATAATGACTCGAGTGCTTTTTGTCTCTGAGAGAAAAGGGGGCCCCGTAACCGCGAGCTGGTTAGCGGGGCATTATTAAGAAGTCGATTGTCGGTTGCGGGACTGCAACTTCACATTATCGTGGCATACTCCTGGTAGCGATCCCAGCCGCCAAAGCCACCGATGCCCATGCCCAGACTTACACCGCACTGCGAGGGCGCATATACGCTCGGCAGTGGGAGAGCTGGAATGGGTGCCATGATTGGCGGGCTGTAGAAGAGCTCGGCAGTAGACTGCGGAAGGCTAAACGAAGGAGTAGGAGAAGGCAGCTGGACATCGCTCATGCCCATGTTGGCCCAGAGAGGAGTGTTGCTCGAGTCGACGGATGAAGTCACGCTGGGACTTGAAGGCAGCACCTGCCAGGGCTCAACAGCAGCGGGAATGATGTGAGGGGGAGCCTGTGTCCACATGTTGGCGATGGGAGAGCTGGGCAGCAGAGGCGGCTGTCGAATGACCTCGACAACCCTTGGCGGGGGAGGCAAAAGCGGCTTCATGAGGTTCATGAGGTTCGCCTTGACCTCTTCGCTCTTTCCATTGAGGAGCTCGCCAGCACCCTCCTCCTCGAGACCCTCGAGAGCAGAGACATGTGTGCGGAAGACGAATTTGTTGATGGCCTGCACAAAGTCCTCGTGCAGCTTCTTGCACTGCTGCTCCTTCTCGGACCAGTCGTAGGTGTTGGCCTTTGCGTCGACGCAGTGGATCTCCTTGTGGTACTCGACAAGGGCGTCAATAGTCTCGACGGTGAGCTTGTAGGCGACCTCGTTGCGCAGGACCATGTCGACGTGGACGATGTAGGCCTCGATGTGGATGAGCTGGTGGCTGAAGAGGTGCTCCATGGGGTCCTCGGGCATCTCGGCTTGGGGCAGCTTGGGAAACATTAAAGAGGCGAGGGTCCAGATGGCGTTTGGTGATGACAGTGTCTCGGTGAGGCATCGCTGGTGCTGAGGTACGCTGTTGAGGGGTCGCTTCACCCGATTGATGCGCTTAAGCGTCTGTGTAAGCCACGGCTCGATCCTGGAGCCCAAGACGACGTTGACGGAGGAAGCCCTCGGGGCGAAAGCAGCGGCGGACGCTGGCAGAAGTTGAACCGGCATATTGGCGTATGAGGGAGGACTGATGCGGCGTTGGTGTTGTAAGAATACCCGAGTGCACACGGCTCTTATAGGCCAAAGAGCTGGATAAGATAAGACCGTCGTCGAAGCGCGAGAGAGATGTTGCTTCTTTATCTTGAAAGGACGAAGCGGCAATAGATGGTGGCGGCGAATAGAAGGGGGGAAAGCGAAGCAACAAAGGAGGACGAGGACACACACACACAATAACAGGCAGGGCAAAAGGTGAAAAGGAAAAAGAAACCAGGAGACGGTGCCGAGCAGGGAGTGGCGCAAGGTTGGCAAGCTGACTGAATCACCTGCTGAGCGGCCGAATCCCAGGTAGAGAGAAGAGAAGGGCGGACGAGAAGATCGTGAGGGAGGAGGGAAGAAAGTAGGAGTAGGAGGTCGGGTGGGTGTGAGCGGGGAGATATAGAAGTCGAGTGTGTTAGGACGGGTACTAAGTCAAGCGCTGGGGGCGCTGAGTGTTAGCGGCGGTTGGCGGTTGCAGTCAGGGCAGTCAGTGGCCATCTCTTGTCTCTGGTGGTGCTCCGGGTCTGTCTAAATACTACCTGGCTAGCATGGAGGGAAACGGACTAGCAGCCAGGCATGACTGCCTGCTGCATCTGCATCTGCATCTGTACCCGCTCGCTGGCGTTTTTTTGTTTTGTTGTTTTTTCCCAGTCCCAGCATCGGGCGCGGCTTTGCAGGCCTGTTTCTCCCACTTCCCACACACCCCCCCCCCCTCTGAGGCGTGCGTCTGGCCTCGCTGCAGGCCAAAGAGCGAAGCAATGCATCATGGCGGTGGTGCATTACGCATGTACCCCCTACTTGGCCGAGGCAGCGCGGCAGTATGACGCCGATGAGTAGGGAGTACCAAAGCCGCCCTCCCGCGTACTCCGTGAGCTTGGCTTGCCCTGCCCTGTACTGGTGTTTACGAACACTCGGGTTGTGGTTGTCATCTCAGTGTAATCTGCATCTGCATCTGCACATGTTGGCACCCGTCCACCTCGAGCAATACCAATACCTGCGTGTCGTGTGTAATCCCAATGTAATACATCAAATACTTTTACCGGCAGCTCGGAGCACAAGGTTCACGGGCTATTAGTGACGGCACTCGTATCAATACCTGGCCAAGGCGCCAGCGCCGAGCGAGCAGCGGCCGCCAACCGCAAAGCATAGAACTGGATATTGATTCGGACTGCTGCTTCGTACTCCATATTTCGTAGTCCATGCTACTAACTGACCTAGACTTCCATGGCTCGAGGTATTTCTCGGTGCTCCAACTCTGTCTAGTACCGGTGTAGGAGCCACTAAGTAGAATAGCAACTGAACTCCCGTCTCTTACAGCGCTACTCTCAACTCGCACAAACCGACATACACATGCCGCAGTTAGTAGCAACAAGTGACCTGCTCCACCTCCGTCACTGCCTCTCTGCCGCTCGGAAATCCTCGCTCGCTGCTGGTGGGCCAGCCAGACCAGCACAAAGCAGACCAGACTGGAGAGACACTTGACCAGACACAAAAAATCCAGGTCTGGGCTGTGTCCTGAGACTTGCACGAGGGCGTGCGCATGAAAGTCGGGGGTGTGCAGCCACGACTCCCAAAACGGGCAGTCCTGCAGGCGCCGGTGGAGCTGAAAGACCTGCAGCCCGCGCCACACACCGTCTTCCACGAGGTACCGCGACTTTCGGCTCTGGTCTCTGGTCTCTGGACACTCTGGCGGTCCCGGCGGCCGTGCTGAGGCGCTACCGCCGACTGGACGTCTTTCGTCGTCCTTGGCCGGCCCTCGTCATTGCTGTACGAGTACAGTTACAGTACCCAGGCATTCACAACTCGTGGTCGCTTTGCTGTTGCCCAAGGTGACACTTCGGGCCGGTGCCAGTGTCGAGGATCCAGCACGAGGGCTCAACAAAGTCCAAGTCCAGGTAGTGCCAGCAATATGCACATCTACATCATCGGGTTCTGGACATGATATCACGAGATCAGCCCGTCAACAAGGCAGGGTCCAGTGTCAGTAGGCGCTTGGCGCTGAGCGAAATATCTGCCCACAATACCTAGTAATGGGCTCCGTACGAGGTACATGGGCATGACGCCGGTGGGTAGCAGTCGCAGTGGTAGTGGCGGCAGATAGCTACTCGTACGTGCTGATATCCATCAAGATACCTGTTCTGTATGTGCGCGTGTGGGTGTACACCTGCCATGCGTACATTACATTAGTATCTGTCACGGACTACTAAACGCAAAGTAGCAGTGAACAAGACACAAAATAAAGTGCCACTGTCGTGGTGGGCAACCAAGATGTCGGGCTCGAAACATGTGCCCAGTATTTTGTCGGTAAAAGGAAGAGGGAAAAGGCAAAAGGGAAAACACTTGCCGTTGGTGAGACTGATCGACCGTCTGCCGCCACCATGCTTGTCCGAGCAGTTTGACACTCACTCCACGCCTGAGGCGCCATCTCCTCGTATAATACTTCGTAGGGCCCATCTTGTAGGGTCGTATCATGAACATGATGTCTCGTATCTCACAAAAAAATAGAAAGAAGGAAAAAGAAATAATACCGGTAATAACGAAAGCGGCCATCCCGCCACTTGCCCATGGTATTACAATATGGTACATCAGCCATGGGACGCATGCCGAGGGAGCATATCTTGTATACAGATACAGCCGGGTTCATTGCTCATCGCTCGTACTTATTAGAGTTCACGTACTCAAAGTTCATGTTGGTGTTGAGCATGTGCGCTATTGGGCTTGATCCACATCTCAAAAGAGGAGGGGAAACCGTAAAACTCCAAGTCTCTCTTCTCACAGCACCCACGACGGAGCCGCTATTGACATCTCGAAGCGAGGGGGTTGCGCCGCTTATGCAGGATGCAGTGACCCCCCGTGCGTGCCTCCGCTCACAGGATTTGCTTGCGGACAATGTGGACAATGGAGAAGGCAAAGAAAAAAAAACGGATGTTGTTAGCATTAGCACCCGCCGCCAGCTCGGCCCCTCAAAGAGTCATCTCACCCAGGCTCCTAGCTCGGATGGGGGGCAGTGGTCAGCATAGCTAGCAGCGAGCTGAAACCAAACGAGGAAATGCATGTCGAATGGGAGAAATTACCATCGACCATCTCATCTCGTCGTCTGGTCAATGAGATGCAGAAGAGGCCCTTGTTTACTCTGCATCTGCTGTAATGACCTGCATGCCCAACAGCGCGCGCCATGCGCCGGCGCATCCTACTTGGATGTAAGTGAGGAGTCAAATGTCCCAACGACAAAAGCCCTAAGTGAGTGACATGACTCTTTTTCCTTTCTTTTTCCCTTCCTCCACTTCCACAGTGCAAGCTGGAATTGTGCGGACATGGCGGGTGGAATGTGCCGGCGCCCGAGCCAAAACCAGTCGCAGTCCACCTTCGCTTCCGTGCTCGTAGGTTCAGATGCTACTGTGGACCGTGAAAGAGAAAAAGAGTCGACGAGAATTATAGGCGCCGTGGCATGCGTACTGGTCGCGTCCCCGCATGCAAACGGCGTCTCTTTGGGATCGGCCATGATCCTTCCTTTGTCGACGAGGGATTTTGATAGCAGTTGTAGTCCCGTGAATCGTCTCGAGGGCTCCGCATGGCGCCCTTGGCCACCCTGATTTGCTTGGTGAGCTGCCAGGAGAAAGCAGAGGCCTTTTGATGAGGATGGATCCTGTCTAGGGAAAAGCCGTCGTCCGTCTCTCTTAGGGCCGGGTGTTTCCCCTGGCTGGGAAGGCATACTGTGGCATCGAAACCGTCCTAATCGTTGCAGACATGTAAGTCCCGGGCAATGGTTGGGCAATGGCCTTCAAGTCCGTCCCAAGGGGCCCCCGGAGCGTCCCGAGACGGCGGGCCATGGCTAGGAGTAGAAATTCTCAAAAAGACCCTCCCAAAAGGGGGCCCTGAATATCCATAGTTGCCAGACAAAGAATCGACTGAGTGAGAATCCTCACGCCGTCCAGGAGCGTTGCCTCCATGCGGATGGTGTTAGTGGCTTCGGCGAGCTGAGGTGTGTTGATTGAAAAGTGCCCATACGGCGTCTGATTGGCCCGAGACCTTGGGAGCCAGTGGTTGCCAGAGTGGAGTAGCCAAAAGAGGTCGATGAGACAGAGCCTCATTGGCTCTTTGGCGATGGCATCTGGCCAATCATGGGTGAACGACCAAACTTCCTCAGAAACTGTGCGAGCGCGGCCTCGAAGGCACGAAATGGACTAGGAAGCCCAGAGCTTTGTGTAGGTCCAAGCTGGCTAGCGAGCCCTCGTTTCCACGTTTCGTCCTGTCTGCTCGGAGATTGATAAGTGACAAAGCTTCTCTTAAACGGCTCTTACAAGCGCTGCTTGCACTGCACGGCACTTGGGGCCTTGCCGCATCTGCGTCCCCCGATCGCTTTGCCTCTGTCTGCCATGGCGAAAGGGGGTTTCCGGATATCCGCCAGAAGCAGGAGGTGGCGGCTCTTGCTCCAGCATTTGGGACCATGCAGCGTCTGCATCTCTTGACTGGCTACCGATTCGAGTCTCTGGATTCTGAGATTGGGGGCCATCAACAAATCTGGCCATGTTGCGACGCGGGGGTTGATGCATCTGGCCTGTCCAAGACCCCTTGAGGTCCGCTTGCGGGACGACATGCCAATGAGCGCTGCTGCTGTGCTCTGATTTCCTCACCATGCCGTCGGAAGTATAGACGGCCGGCCAAGCTTACCCATCGCAGGCGTCTCACGGGCCATGGTTTGGACTCGTCGTCTGATTCTGCGTCGGTAGACAAACATGTGGATGGACGAATCTGACCATGGCAGCTGTGGCTGGAATACGAAAGGTGCAGCGCAAGCCACGGGCGGGCTAGCAGAGGAAGTACCGGTACCTCGACATCCAACGCCTGGCCGATCGCGATAGCTGCAGCTGGGCTGGCGGAGTCAAATCGGCAGCCATCGGCCTATCAAAGGCCTACCAGCGGGCGCTCTGCTGAGATACGATTGAAGTTATTCTAGCTAGGTACAAACTGACTTCATCTGGGTGTGCTCGTATAAGGCCAGGAATAGTCAAAAACCTTGACAAGCCAGGCAAAGGGCGATCACCACAGAAGCAGAAGCATTTACGGTTAGCAGAGGGAGTTGCAGCTGCTCCATAGCGCCTCATGGTAGCACGCAGTTACGAGTACGGATCAGTGAGCTAGCAGCATTAATCCAGTATAGCAACACATGGAGGCATTACCAAAAATAGTAGTTGTGGCCTTACCCAGAAGCTACTGCTACTATTCCATCCTGGTGGATGTTGCAACCTGCAACTAAAAATGACCGGCCATGGATAACTTTTAGTGCCTTGTCGCTCTTACTCGCAGTCATCTCACCCTGGAGTAACCAAACGATAACGACAGCGCTGGTTTTTTCCCAACTTCTCGCCGCTAAAAGAGTATCTACGGGCCAAAATAAAACACGTCATTTGAGGCAGCCAACTCGGACAGCAGACATGGTCGTCAACAGCAGTTTCATCGTAGGCCTGCTGCGAGGCCGTGAGGGCTTTGGAGGCGGTTGGATATCCGGCCGCAGGTGACGACGCTCACTCTGTGGCCACGGCGATGACAGCAGCCACTCAATCCGGATTATCTAAGTGAGGCGACGCTCCAGAATCTCAACTTCTGGGGAGTGTGCTGCGGACGCCCCTCCAAAGATAGGGCAGCGCACACATCGGACGAAAGAAGCGACTTTGGCCACGGCTCGGCACTGGAGATGCATTCAACGCATTGACCTTGCCCCTACAGGCATTCATTACATGGGCCGACCACACCTTGACGCCCCAAAAGCAACAGCAACGTTGGATCGCAAGGCGACAATGTCGAGACAACAAAGCGGCTACGTAGCGAGACTGCCAGGTATGGCACCTCGGCACCCAAACGGCCTGGCCAAAGGGCCGTTCACGAGCCTTGCTAACTTGCCATGCTCAACACAACACTGTCTCTTTTTCGACTTCAACGTCACGGGCTGCCTCTTGACAGAGTGCCGGTGGCAAATGCAGGCTCCTCACCGATGCATTAGCCGCAACCCCACGTCTCGGGGAGTTTGGGTTGTCAACTTGTACGACGACAGCGTGCATCTCAACAAACGCCCGATGCTAGCTGGGAAACAATGAGCCTACTGGTGAACTCTATGCAGGGCTTGGATAGCCGAGAACCAAATCACTGGAGAAATCTCACCCTGGAGCCTGTCCCCGGAGAGAGAGGCTCTTTGTGGACCCCACGCCAACGGGTCTTTTCACCGATCGACGAGAGCCAGCGACTCGTATCCAAAGGAGAAAAGCAAGGGTTTATCGTACACTTGCCATTGGAAAAGGCGTGGCTCGCGAAAGGGCTGCGTACTCGTACATTTGCATGCCAAGATTTTGGATGTACTATAAACCAATATTCTCACTTGGGGAAGGATTTTTTCTCTGTGCTACCGACAATTGGAAAACGACCGAGGTGGGCATCCCTTACCGCATGTCAGGTCCCTTTTCCATTTACCTACGTCTACTGCTAGCCTTGGTAGTACGAGCACCAACCGTGCACATTGTTGGTACTGTGACAAATCTGTCCCGTCCCTATCAAGAAATATTGATTGTCTCATCTGCCCGCATGCAGCTATCCGGCCAGACAAGACGAGATGGGCATCTCGCAACAGACCAGACCAGACGCCCCCCCGTGGCCAGCAGCCATGCAAAAACCCATGGGCAGCTGAAAGAGCTGCATATACCGTCATGGGCTACTGCACGACCTTGTCTCCGGCCCCTGACGTCTTTATGCATCTTGGGCTCAGAGCTTGTTGTGCACCATTTTTGCCAGTTGGAGGTCGATGCCCTGCCCCTCGGTATGCCCGCTATCAATAACGTGGCGCGGCAGACTCGACTCTCGTGGCTGTGTCTGCCTTGCGAACTGTGGCTAACCCCACACAGATCTGCCAGCCTGGCATCGGATGCTTATGTAACACGCGCGATTCCCGCACGGGAGGCAACCAAGCCTCAGGGCTCCACGCGCCACAGAACCGGATCAGGAGGTACCGGCTCGCCACATTTTCTGCTGGGCGTGACTTCGTCACCAAGTCGCCACGAAAGTTACAACAGATACAATCGATCCCTTGTCATCCGTAACCAGCCCCTTGGGAAAAACGAAAAAGGACAAGGACCAAAAAAAAAAGTTTTCGGAATATTGCCCTTACATCGATACCTAACGAGCCAGGGTCAAAGTTTAACCCCCTTCTAACCGGCGTCTAAAAATTTGATGCCCTTGTTGATTTTATTCTTGGCGTTCTATGACGTCGTCGCCGTTAGTCGGAGCTTCTCGCCATGATGCCATATTCTGACATGGCTCTGTTTTTCTTTCCCTCGGCGACCATCCCAGCCCAGCGATCACGACGCCCAATGGCTGGCATCAATGGAAGTTTCTTTTGCTGCTTTGTTACACAATGCCCCGGGTGAAGAAAGAAGGGAAATGACGCTCAATGCTCTCGTGACCGCTGGGTCATGTGGACAGATGTCTGTAGCAGGTCTACCATCTTACCTACCTATGGATGGATATGCCGAACCGAACGGTGCCCGAAGAACAGGGTCATGTTTGGCAATAACAGCAGCTGCATCTTGGCCTTGACTCATTCGTGCCCAAATACCAGCATGCCATGGCAGGACATTGCAGGACAGGGCCGCCATGGACACGCCTATGACCTCAACAAAGACGACGAGCCCGCTCCTGCAGTCGAGGCCAGTGTACTCGTACGAGTGGCTTTCCATTATTCCTTTTAGCAAGGCGAGCTATCAAATCTGGGCCTCTGAATCCTTTCCTTATGCGTCCCCGGCCACCGAAAGCGCTTGAATCTCATTCCCTATAGGTCCAAAAGGTGAAACAGTGATATTTCCATCCAATCGCCCCTGCTTCTCTGCTCATGGTGTGGACACGGAATTTGGCAAATCTATCCAATGAATCCCTCCATCTAAAGGGCCGAGAGCTCCTCACCTCTTGTCCCCTACAGCTCCTTAGAGACACCCCGCGAAATCCAGTCGGCAATGGACATGACGGTAACCATGGGGTTGACGCCGCTCGCACTCGGGAACACGCTAGAGTCTGCAACGTACAAGTTCTTGGTCCCCCAGACGCTTCCCTTCGCGTCCACCACGCCCGATTCCTTCGTGGCGCTCATTCGGCACGTTCCCATCTGATGCGCTGAGCCAAAGGCAGTCAGGGGAGGCTTGTTACTCAAAGTGCGGAGGTGCTGTAACCACTTGCCAAAAGCAGCGTCTGTGAACTCGGGATCTTTGTCTTGGACGTGCTTCTCCTGCTCCGCGGCATTGGGCAGGAACGGCGGCACGCCGGGGTAATGCACTCGAATCTCCGTTGCGCCACCGACATAGGCAATCTTGGCCAGGCCAATGATTCCCTCCAGGTTGCTTTCACGGTCGAAATCAGAAGTCGTGTATTCAATGCGCGGGCCCCCGGTCTCAGGGTCGACAAATACGCGGCCGGAGTCTCGGTCACGGGCAAGCGAGATGAAGCTGCTAAGATGGCGATACTTCATGGTGAGAAGCTTGGAGTCAAGACCTCCATTCCAATATTGCAGTGCAAACGTGATGTATGGCTAGAATTCCACGAGTCAGTCAAGTGTCCAGACTTGGAAAACCACCCGAAGGTGGCTTTTTCCCTCCAATCTGCTGGCCGGTATAGCTACTTACCACCATGCATAAGGGTTCCAACTTTACTCCGTGTCCTTTGCCGTCGAGGTTTTCAAACTCGCCGCTGTAGGTTGTAATGATACCACCCTCCCACGGCCGGGTCTCTTCCTTATGCACTGCTATCAAGCAGTTGACTGGATGTAGATGAAGATTTTGTCCAAGTTGCGGATTCTAAAACAAGGGGGTGAGTTGTGCATGTCAGTGAGTGTGGTTTCACAAAGACATCTCCCAAAATGAGCAGAGATGGGAAGAGATGTGATAAAAGATGCAACTGGATTGACGTGAAACTTACTTGGATGCCACTCTTCATCAAAATGACGGGGCTCCAGAACGTGCCGGCGGACACAATGACCTTCTTTGCCTTGATGACAACCTTTCGCTGCGTACGTTGTCCGATGTCCTTGTCGACGCCACCCTCGGCGTCTCTCGCTACCCATAGCCCTTCAACGCCCGTCGCTGTCGTGCCGTCTTCGTCAAACAGCACCTTGTCGACGGCGAAGCCCTCCATGAACTCGGCGCCTGCGTCAGCCGCAGCGGGCAGCCAGGCCACCGTCGGGCCCCTTTTCTCTCCCAATCCGCAGCCCAGATGGCAATGGCCGCAATAGTGCTCCTTATTGGCCGTATTTTGAGGAGCAGCATCTCCGTGCCAGCCTAGCTTGTTACACCCATCGAGCAGTATGTTGTTGCGGAAGTTGTGGCGGATAGCGTCCGTTCCCGCGCCGATGAAGTCCCAGACTCTGTCCATACACTCGTCGAACTCGGGGGACGTGAAGAGCGAAAGGCCCTCGTCGGCCCATTCCTTGCGGACAAAGTCTTGGAGCTTGAAGCAGACGCTCCAGTTGATGGTGCCGCCGCCGCCCCAGCAGCTGGCGGCCGTGATGGCGGTGCTCGTGTCCTCGCTGACGTAGGCGCCGCCGTGGTCGAAGAGGTGGTTGAGGGCGGCCATTTGCGGCATGGGGAGCTGGGAGGTAGGGAAATGATAGCCCTTGTCGACGACGAGGACCTTGTGCCCTGCCTCGGCTAGGTTCTTTGCGCAGACGCCTCCTCCTGGGCCGGAGCCGACGATGACGACGTCGGTGGTGATTTCATGTACTTCGTCTCCGGGTTGTAGCTGGATGAACTTGAAGTCGAACCCCTGCACGGGTTTCCAGTCCGCTGGGGCGTCTGAGTAGCCGGAGAGCTTCTTGAAGTAAGGGTTTGTTGTACCGTTTGCCTTGCCAGCTAGGGTGGCGAGGGACTTTGCCAACCCCCTGAGCGAGTGAAGCCTTGCGGTTGTCCAAGACTTTAGGATGGCTTCTCGCACACTGGAGGGCTGCTGGGTGATGGGGCTCCAGTAGCCGGTTAACAAGAGACTTCCAGCGCGAGTCCTGGTATAGCACCGAGTCAGTCTATCTGGCAACCCTCATCACACACCCTTCTCTTCTCTCATGTCTATGTTAATGGTAACTACATGAATCAAACTTACCCTAATGACCCAAGGGCCTTTGCAAGCTTGTCTTTTGCCGGCGACGCAGCCAAGTTGCGTATGCAGTCGTCCCGGAACGGCGCATGGTCGACCGGCCGGAAGGCGAGAAACTCGGCGATTTCCTCTCTGCTCGGAGCGCCGTCGAGCGAGCTAGTGATGCCATCGACAATACTGTCGAACTCGGCGTCCGGGATGGCAACCTGCGTCTCCTTGTCCGTGACTGCAGATGCCGGGACGTAGGACGGCAGTGCGCCGTCTAACAGTGCCCATAGGATGTCCCATTGGGCCTCGGTCATGAAGTCGCTTGAAGGGGTAGGAGGGAGAGGGACAGCCACGGGGGCTTGGGGAGATGGAGTTGCCATGGTTTGGGCGATGTTTGTTGGCGATTTTCAAGTTAGAGAAGGACGATAGATTCTTTGGTGAGTTTGACTGCCTTTGTGTTAATCTTTGTCTCCTTAAAGCTCGTCCTGACAGTTATTCATATGATTGAGGGATCATGGTGGTAAGCCTGAGAGAGAGAGTCGTACAGGTGAGATTTACAGCAAACAATGCCCCTGCCGATGCTGGATCGCTCATCCGCGTGTTACAACGGCAACGGAAATGGTGGGTACCGCTCTGCGGCTCTCTTGATGGACTGTATATGTTCTTGTCCTTGGTTGACAATTGCAACTCAAACCGGCGTCATGGATTGTGGTTCACAACTAGAGTCTCTTTTGAGTCATTCAACTAGCGCATGTATTCGCTTGATTGACAAGTCACTCAACAAAACAAATCACAACACAACAACGAATCGCAAGAATTATCTTTCAACAAAAAGAAAAAAAAGGGTTGTGGAGAACTCGATGATCTAGAAATCAACCATAAAGTTAAGAAGTCCACGTCAGAATATCGGTCTCGCGCCAGGGGTGGGAGACGGGAAACTGTGGGCAGCGGGCTACTATTCCTTTATAACCACAACTCTAGCCAACTTTTCCAGGATTTTTTGTGTTTCTCCTCTTTTGCTCGGTACATTGGTCTACCAACTAGGTAGTAGTATATGGACCGGGAAGTATTTTAACCAAATGACCTCCGCCTCCTCTCCCGGTTTCCCCTTTGTTGGGGTCTGGTGCTACATACTACCCAAGGTAGCAGCAAGGTAGCGTCCGCGGAAGGCCGACGCTGCGTTTACTTTGCTCAAGACACATTGCCATGACTAGCGGCTCAGGTAGGCGGGGACTATCCATCCCCCCTCATTCTTCTGTGTGTCTTCCGAATTGGGTAATGTTTTCAGCTTGTCGATTTTCCTCTCTTGCGGTACGGCGGTCGGATAGCCGGTGCGGAGTCGTGCCAAGTTAGATTGTTGGATCGGTTACCTGTTGCAGTATATGCCTAAAACTATGCTGAACAAGCCACGAATACGTAAAACTGTTTATTCAACTTGAGCACATAAGCATGGATGCCTTGCGAGATATCTCATTGAAGGCTCTCGAGAGACAACGTCTCGTCATGAACGATTGAAAACGATCAGCCTGACAACCCCGTACTTCAGCCTCAATCTACGTCAGAATATCAAAAACCCCCAGATACTTTTCAAGCGACATCTCCTCTTCCCAACCCATAGCTTCAGCCCCCAGACGAAAACCTGCCGTCTCCCTTAGCTCGGCATACACCACAAGAAGCCTGCCTAGGAGATAGTCACAGGCCTAATGCACAGCTGGACAGAAACAAACCCAAGAGGAATGCGGGGTCGCCACAACCTTGTGCCAGACAACTCCAGAAGCTAATGCACCTCCCGAAGCTTCAACCACGCCCCGGATATTCTCGAGTCCCCGCGGATGGGATGCCCATGAATCAGAATCCCAGCTGCAGCTCTGCCCCCCTGGAATGTCAGATGTATGCTGAGGTCGTGCCTCGGCTGATGCCTCACAGACCCATATTCTCAGAGATTCCATGCAAGGACAAATCAGTTGATCCAAGTACATCCTCACGTTTACGGTTTTCACACATCTGCAGCGCTCCACCGCATTATCCAATCCTTCATGCACGCACGGTTCGGTAGGTACAAGTACAAGAATGAATTCATTTTTTTTTAGATATCATCTATTTCAACAATGGCCACTTGCCCGATATGCAGGGAGATGAACAAAACATGCCTCCCGGCCAGACTGGATCGGCAACCGGGCAGTCATACAAGACAAGGACCGCATCACTTCGTTGTTCCGCTCGAAGCCAATCGAGCCGTCCATCGCCAAGAATCAGAATCAGCTTCAAATGCCCGCTTTTCGCCGGGGTAACCTGTATTCAACTCGGGGCTATGCACCAAAACATGGTTGCCTGTGCACCTCTGGGAGTCCAGACACGGATGCAGTGTCTTCGTTTCTGCTACCATGAGCTCCCCCATTTACCCTCTCGAACCTTGCAGCCTTTCTCTAGAGTCCTATGCAATCGTACCGTAATAACGCCCCCCCCGGTTGTCTTAATCCTCCTCTCCTGTTCATACATGTCTTGATACACCATAGCAAGCCCTGAACCCAAAAGAAGAGAAGAAAACGCAAAGAAAGAAAAAAAGAGGTTGAAGGAGAAGAAGGAGATGAAGGAGAAAGGAAAGGTAGTGAGAGTAATGGTGTAACACAGGAAAGTAAAAAGAAAGAGTCAATCCCACGACATCCTGTCCTAGGCTGCCTAGTCCCAAGGGTATATACTTATCGCCGTTCCCCTCCCTCCCAAGTATATATAAGTGTGTTAGGTATACAGGTTATATGTAAGGAAAAGGGGGTGTGTTGTTTTTTTTCTCCGTCCGGGTTCTGGAACCCAAAGTTGGACTTTTTTGGTATGTGTGTTTCTATTATTTTGTCTTCCCGTCAAATCCGTTCGGCAGGCATCATAGTGCAACATCAAAGTGGCAAGATGTGACCGACTTGTAGGATCCAACGCCATGAACCGACCGAATGATTTCCCGCGATCCGTGAAGAAAAAGGCACATCATAACGTGGCCGTGACCCGCATAAAAAGGGCTATATTCGCACAATCGCATTCGTAAATCATAGGGCCATAATCGTAGCCGCGTCGCGGGATTTTCGTTCCGCGTGGCAGTGGTGTATATTGCTTCCTTGTCGCAAGTTGTCTCTCCGGTGTCTTTTGGTTTGCTTGCGGCCTGTTACAGAAATTGGTAACTTGACGCCCTTCAACCAGACGTGTCAGCGGTCGGGAATGGAGGACTTGATCCCTTGCTCCTCTTAAAGAAGGGAAAGTCTTTCATTCGAAACCTGCTTGGCCGTTTCTTAAGCGCCTTGCCTTCGGCTCTGCCTATGCTGCCTCCGAGGTGCGAATCCTCGTCTCCTTGCGCCATTTCTCGTTCTCGTTCTCTTTCCCGTTCTCGTTCTCGGCGTGGTGATGTTGGGGATCCCTTGAGGCTGAGAGGCGACATGTTAAACGCAGGGACGCTGAGGGTTCGCTCTCCAGATTCGTTGCTGACGATGCTGGTGCCCTGCGTACTGGGTGACAGAGTCATCTTGCCAGTGGCCGTACTCGCTGCTTGTGAAGCCCAGTCCGCGGGGTAACCAGCGGATAAACTGCCTTCGGTGGTCTCGCTCGTCCGCTGTTTTGTCGATACCAACTTGCCTTCGATAGAATCGTCTGGTCGGTGGCAGGTAAAAGGATCACCATCCGCAGCGTCAAAAGATGAAGGGATTCCAAAGGCTATGCCGTTGACGTCCGGGTGCTCGACAGGGGTATGGGGGTCGTGGCCAGATTTGGCAGTCGAGGGACTCGGTGCGGGCGAAATCTCAATGTTCTTCATCTCGCTGTCATTTTCGATCGGGTAGCTTCTCGTTCGCCGGTGCCGGACGTTCTCGCTAGCCGCTTCCGCTGCCTTGGCCTGTTCCTCCTTCACCTTTTCTTCAAAGAATTTCTTGTTGATGTGAAGCTCCTTGACGGCGTATTCCATGCCTGGCATTATTTCAGCCACACCTTGGAACAGTGGTATGGCGAACATGTTCATGAACCCAATCTGGGCGTTGGCCAGGGATAGAATGTCTTTTTTCGGGGGGGACATCAAAGACGACTTGATCTCGAGTTCGTCCTCCATTGAGGCTTGTCTTGAAAACTCCTCCGAGAGCATATGCATCCATTTCAGTGCTGTTGATTGACGGCGTGCCTATGAAGGAGTCAGTAAGGCTCGATACATGGTTCTGAAGCCCATGATGAAAGATGAAAGCAAAGGGAAAGAGGAAAGGAGAGGGAGAGGATAGAATGTCAAAGATCGGACTCCTTTGGGTGGGCTTTTCCTCTTCCCCTTCCTTTCTCCATTTTGTTACAGTACATACCACGTTGCTAATGTCTGCGCACTTAATAAGGAGCGAACATGCGAGAACCTTGGCATCTTCAACTTGGCGCCCATTCCAGTTTGCAGGATTCTCCTTGAGCGTCGCCATCTTCTTCATGTAGTCAAAATGGAGACCCATGTCTGTGGCCAAAATGGAGCTAATCATCAGGCCGCGCATCTTCCTGTCTTCGAACACCGCGGGCCAATACCTGCGAAGGATCTGCGAAAAGGCGGCGCAATGGAACGACTCTAGGACAGATCGGTCATTGTACAGCTGCGCTAGCGGGGCGTTCAAGGTGGTGAGAAAGCCATTGTTGACTCCGGGGTGGCCCACGTCGTGGCCAATGGCTGTGACGAGAAGGGTCAATGCTTCGTAGGGGCTGACGAGCGAGGCGATTGGCGATCTCTGCACCTTGGATCTCGGTTGAGACCATGTCGGGTACGGAGGGAACGCGCCAATGTGGACGAGGAAATTGAACGTCGCTTGAAGGACGTCCACCACGTGACGAAAATTATGGTAGGGGACAAAGCTATTGTATGCAGCACGGCATGCGACAAGGAAGCTAATGAGCCGGTCTGAGATTATTGGTCAGGATCAATTCCAGCGGCTGAACGGATGCAGGCATTGTCAAGGAGGGGGGGATGTTGCTTATTGTCTTAGCACCGCCGGGGAAAGACGGGCTCACTTGCGCACACTCACCTGCTGGTATCCGCCACCTCTCGAGTTCCGGGGAGGTCAGGGCATGTTTAAACATCTGCATCGCAGCCACCAGCAGCTCGTCGTCGGAGAATTCGTGGGCATCGAAATGCCAGCGCCCGACGGCTTCGGCAATGATGGCTTGGCGCTCAGACGAAACGGCAATGTGGGCACCGGCGATGTTGTCGTCTTCAGGAGAGAGACGACAGATTCCTTTCATGAGGCCAGAGACCATTGCCTCTCGGAGGTAGGCAAAGGGCTTCTGGTCGTCGACGCCAACCCATGATCGCTTGCGGCCCTTTGTAATCTCCATCATTGCCTGCTGGTCCCTAGCGGCGTCCCTATGGGCCTTATAAGCGCATATTTCCAGCGTTGCGATACACTTAGGGCCCAGGGGGCTGATTATCACGTCGACGGCGCCAAGGTCCAAGCACCTCCTTATGAGCTTACGACTGACGGGTTGAGCCGGCAAGGGCTCGGTCGTGCCGTCGGTCATCTGTTCGCGAGTCTCTGGATAGCTGATGATGGGGATGGGGACGACGAGCTTGGAAATGCTTCGCAGGTGGGCCTCGGTGATGAGCCTCTGGAGGAGCGTCAGGCCGTAGAGGTTCTCGTCAGGTGTATGAATCTCGGCGTCGCGGTTGACAAAATTGGGGTCGGGAGAGGAAGAGTTTGGGTTGGAATAGGACTCGGGTATCCATTCATCATGGGGCGTGTCTAGAAGAACCATGGTTGGTGTCATGTCCATCATGGACCCGGCTTCGTGAAGCTGCATCAACTTGTCCATGCAGGCGGCGCCGGTGGCACAGACATGAACTATATGCGCGGTATCGTTGGTCAGCAAGGAGCGACGGATGGCCGAGGGAAAGAGAAGAAGAAGAGAAAAGACAAACCGTCACCAAATGTGTCGAGGAGAGGCTGGACAAGTTCTCGAACGCGATCGCGCCTCCAATCGGGGGTAGCGCCTGTCGGCGAGGCCGCGGAATCGTCAGGTATGGCGCGCAGCAGCCGGGCCTCTCCAACGCTGCGATTGACGTAAATGACATGGCATGCGAGACTATCCATGGTGGGCAACGGAAGGCTACCAGTCTCGCGACTGGAGCACGTTGACCACACGGGCAAGGATTACTGCGCGCAAGGCTATATGGGAGGCACAAGGCGACTGGACAATTCGAGCTGAGGGTGTCTCGGAGATTTCGACCTTTGTTCAGCCAGCGTCAAGGAGGAGCGTGGAGCGAGCAGCGAGTCAAAGGCCGCACACGGGAGAATTGGTAGAAGAAGAGGAGTGAAGCTAGAGCTTTGGTGCGTTTCGGGCGCGCGCGGGTTTCGAAAGGGAGAAAAATCAAAAGGAAAGGCGTTGTTGTGATGGGTGATGCGACAGGGCGGCCGAGGCGACGATGAAGGCGGGACACTTGCTCAGAGGAAGCGCCTAGAAAAATTGGCAAAGGAGGATAAGGAACGAGTCGAAGAAAGTCAATGGCGGCGGCGACGCGGAATGAGGAGCATCCGTCGAGTTGATTCCGGCGACGACAAGAGGGTTGGATTTAAAAGGGAAGAAAAGGGAAAAAATCGAGAACAAGAGAGGGTGCTCCCTGCAGGCACACACAACAGCAAAGTGTGTGTCCGGACAGGTTTTGGGACAAAGTCTTGAATGGTAGGATAAGTGACAGCAAAGGAAAATTAGACGGTAGTTGGTCCAAGGACGCAAGACGCAGCCGCAGCTCGCGGAACAAGCAGAGAAGAGTCGAAGGCGACTTCTGGAGTCGCACAAGAAGGGTGGCTCTTGAGTCTTAGACGCTTGGCGCACGCGGGCGGGTCCAGAGGGGGGTCGTATGGGTGCTTTAGGTGCCTCTGGGGCCTCTTTGGGGGGTCCTTGAGGGGGATGGCACTGAAGCTCCGGGGAGTCAGATGGTGCGCGGTGGCGGGATGTGGCTGCTGTGGTTGCTTGGCCCGGTGCGTGCGGGCTGCTGGAGCGCTGGGCCTAGCGGACGCAGCAGTGGAGAGCAGCGAGCGTCTAGCGGCGCTTCTAGTTCGTGTCTCGCCCTGCAAGGCCTGGTGGACGTCTTTGTCGCCGGAAAGATTCTGGGCACGACTGGGGGGGCGCAAGATGCAGGCTTGGGCTGCTAGTGTCGAAGTCTGGCGGAGGGGCAAGACGTCAGCCGTGCGAGAAGGATCGGCGCGAGGAGATGCAGCAGAGCGACAAAGGCACAATTGGCACAAGCGAAGACGGATCGAGTTTGCGACTGGCAGGCGAGCCAAGGGCGAAGCGAGTTGGCAATCAATTTGATGGGTTCAAGCGCCAACACGCGCGCTGCGACTGAGGGCGAGGGAGGGCGTTGGGTCTGTGTCTGCTTTTGGATTTGCTTTTGGAGCGAGGGGGTGGCAGCGTAAGACGAGACGGCGCAAAATAGAGTCAAGGATAGTAGGTTAGGTTAGGTAGGCAGGAGAGACAAGACAAAAATCGCAAGGTCCGTCGATGTAGGGCAAAGGCAGTCGAGGCAAGGAGGAGTGAAGCGAAGCGAGACGAAGCTGGGCTGCTGATCAAGGCAGGCGAGGATCATGGGCAAGGGAAGCTGCTCGACGACGCCATGGCTCGACAGCCGTTGGATGCTGGTGATGGCTGACGATGAGTTGAGGCAGGTAATCGGGGCAACGCCAATGGGGACGGGAGGGAACAGGAGGAAAAGGCATCGATATAAGGCCAGGTCGGGTGCCGAGCCCTATTCCGTGCAGCTTTGTTCCCAACCCAGTACTTTGCGGGCTGTACCCATATCTCCCGTCTCTGCTGTACATGTACGAGTACTCACACACTCACACTTGCACTCAACTCATACAGTGCTCCGTAATATTACGAGTACTCGAACTCCCTACATGTGCCTAATGTAATGCGCCTGCATCTGTCTGTCTGTGCCTGTTCTGTCCTGTCCGGTACTGTACACGTACATCAAATTGATGGATTATGCTGCTATCCCATGTCGATCCAATCAGTCCAACGGGCGACAAGTCACGTATGTACATGCATCCCGGATGCAGCGAGGTACCAAGACTGCCGTGCCGTACTCGCACTCACTCACATGTAAGGTTCAGGTTAGGTTCTGTTGGATGGAAACTCTCCATTCATCCAAGCTGTCAGTCGCGTCACTGCAAGTAAGCCGCCCGTGCTCGTTGGCCAGCAAATGTACATGTACTTGTCGTCCCGGCGAGCAGCCCTACATCTCAACAAGCAGCTACGAGTAATGGCACTTGGAAAGCCTTGGACAGCGCCAATTGCTTCGAGTGCGCACAAGTCGTCGTCGGATCCCCTCCCTGCCGGCGCAAGTACCAGTACTCGAACACGTAGGTCGGGCCAGGGTAGCTCCAGTGCCCAGGATGAGGCAGCTCTTAGCTGTTGCCAGTGATGCAAAGCGCACATCGGCGAGCGCTGAGTGGTCGAGTCGCGCTGCCAGTGCGGAGGTGCTGGTGCATGCATGCAGGTGCAGCGTGCCAGACGGACCACTAATGTACGAGCCCAGATTGACTCAAGCCATGGAAGTCTTCCATGAAGAAAAAAGAAGGCTGCAACGAATTTTCTGGCGAGGGGGGGCTTGGGGGGAGTCTAGCAATCTGGTCCTTGCACTGGGCTCTGCTCTGCTGCAGTCCCACCCGGTGAGCATGCAGCCAACCACAGCCCGCGGCAGCCGACAGGACTTGGAATTACGAGAGAGAGAATGCGGGAATATGGCCTGATTGGAGCAAAGTTTTTTGTTTTGTTGAGACATCAAGATGTATACGTGTTAGTTACTTTGTAACTACTAGGTAGACAATACTTTCAAAAAGAAGAAAAAGAAAAAGAAAAAAAATCAATAAATCAAGTCAAATCAAACCTAACGGCACGGCAAAAAGAGAAACACCCCCGGCCGGAAGGAATCCTGCGTGGTGCTTGCTGCACCACGCAGAGCAGAGCAACAGATTGCGCTCGCACTGTGCCGCCCCATGCGCCGCACAGCAAATAATATTCTCCGTATCGCTACCCTGCGCCCTTGGCCGCACTGATGCATTTTCCTTTTTTTCCCTTCCAGGGCGTTCTCTTTTATCCCTCTCTTCCCGGATAATATTGCGAGTAGGTTTTACCAGGTATGGCGCAAGGAGGATTTGCCTGTACTGTACCTCGCGGGTTTGCTTGCGGTCGCGGCAATCTATTCGCATCATCCCAAACAGGCACATTGCGCTAGACCATGCAAGCACGCAGCACCATGGCCGCTAGCAAGTGTCGTGATTGGTCGTTTTGTGGAGAGATAAAAGAGCCCGGTACGAGAGCATGTACCTGCTTGGAGGCGGCAAGGAAGAGGGGAGGGCAGACATCAAGGGACAAGAAGGAACATGAAGATGCTATGCTCGAGTCTTGATCAATACTCAGCCTCAGCCGTTCGCTCGACTTTGCCGCATTCCGTATTAGACGGATCTCGGCCGGCCCGATGATGGCAATATCCGTAGAAACGGAACGATGGAAAAAATCAGCCGCTGACAACATGCGTGTCCTGCACTACGAACTACGAGTACACCAACCAGAAAGTCGTCTCCTGCATTTGGGACTTCCAGGTCCAGGTACTCGTATACATACAGGTACTGTAAGGACAATCCCTGGAATGCCTGCCCAAGCTTCCTCACTCTTGTCCAGCTTGCAGCCCAGTTTTGCAGGGGCAGCGCAGCCCAGGGTGGAGATGATGGGATTTCGACTAGGCCGCGGTTATTATGGCAACAACCAGCCAGGGCACTGAGGTCTGTGGATCTGCAGTCTTTCAGCTCGCAGCAAACTGCAGGGGATCATGTTTGAGGAATAAGAGGGGGAGAGAAAATGGGCTCAGCAAGCACAAGGACGAAGCCAAACAGGGTACACAAGGGATCGCGCTTTGCCTCGAAAAGGAAAAAAGAAAGGAAACAAAAAGGGAACCTTGAACGAAAGAGTAAGAAAAATATAGGGTACGAATACGTCAAAGGCGCAGTTTCTGGCGGGTTGGTTGACTCGTGGGCTCCGAAAAGAGCCGGAGGGCCATCGAACGATGGATCGAGTCGACGGCTTGTCCGTTCGGTACGGAGGGCGGAGGCCCGTAGCACGGACAGCCAGCTTCACTCATGTTACCTATCTTTAGAGCCGAATCGTGGAGACGATGAAACGCGCAAGCCCTTTCAGCTAGGGCGCTCGGGGAGCTCGGTCTCGCTTCCATCTGCACTTTGATGCTAGAGTCCGAAGGCGTGAGGCCCGTGAGTACGGTACGTACGACCGTATAATACACGCTACAGGAATAGGAGCTTCGCGTCAGAAAGCCGTGCCCTCCGTGCTCGGGGATGAATGGCGAGACAGGGATTTCGCGAGTACAGTGTTACTGTATTTTGTTAGGACACATGAGAATGACATAGGAGAGCCAGCCCAACAAGCACGAGGGCTTCGGAGGCTGATCCTCCCCAGCGCGTGGTCATGTTCTGACTGTTTGCCCAAGGACCCGCGACCAGCTGAGCACGTTGTTTGCTGGGATGATGAAAGCTGACGGGCAGGAAACCAGAAGAAAAAGAGCAAGAAGCCAATCAGGCAAAGCAAAGAAAAAACACCCAACAATACCGACCAGAGCCCCTGTCAGGAATTATCGTGTACCTAGCTGTCGCACTGTCCAGCTCCAGCCACCCCCGATGTCTTGCAAGGGACAGACGGACAATTGTCCATGGGCCTTTGACCCTTTTTTTCTTTCTTGCTACGTCAGCAAGTCTGTCACCGTGACGCCACGGAAAACTCATGAGAAAGAAGGAAAGGAAGGGACAAGAGTGAGACACTGACACAGACAAAGACAGTGGATGAGCCGCATCTCCGAATCACGGCAGTGCTAACCGCCCAGCCCAGTGGCCCAGCCTCACCGTTGGGACGCAGATTCGCGGGAGACGAACAGCCCTACTAGTTCGATTTTAATATCCCGCGCCCTTATTTGTGATTTGCTTGTTTGCTCTTGGTTAGGCGCAGTTGCGGTCGCAGCGACACCCAACGGACTAGAAGGGCCAGCTCAGCCCATTCCAGGCAGCCCGGCGCGTGCCGAACAAATCAAGGGGAGAGGCGAGACTCTCTGCCGTACCACATAACATATCTATGCATCTGTCCATTCAATTAGTATTTGTACTACAGTAGATTCCTCTCTAGCCTCTGTGTCTACGACTGTTCCCTCTTTTCAATCTGTCCTGTTCTGTTGACCTCATCCCATCTTAGAGTCTTCTTCTTCCTGTCCTTCTTTCTTAGTGTGGCTGATGCCTGGAATGAGACAGACAATGACCCTCCTTGGGCTTCTAGCCTTCTAGCGCCATTCTAGAAGAGTTTTTCCTTCTTGATTGCGTGGTCCGAGCGCCGCACTTCATCTTAAACCCGACTGCGCGGCTCCACCGGCTTACCCTCTAGTCAAGGATCCCTCGGCTGGCTAGAATCCCATTCGATTCCCTTTTCTGTTCGGGACGCCTGCCATCCGAGCATTTTCGACGATTGCCATGCTGGTAGAGTTACTGTATTGGATTCTTTTCTTCCGTGTTTTATTTGTATTGTCGCTTTCATGTATTCTCTTTACTTGTGCTCTTCAACTCACAATCCCCCTTTTGTTTAAATTCACAAACTTACTCAGTAGCATTTGCCGTATTACCATTGTCTTGGGGATTTTTACTTGTCATCACTTTATATCTGCACTCTCTTCCACGCTTACCACCCTGATCCCGGGAGTTCGGGATTTTTCTTCCCCCTTCTTTCTATTCTAATTCATCTTCGCGTCTACTCCTTACGCGCTCCTCGATTAGTACCCGATTCCCATTACACGTCCCTATTATCAAACCCTCACTCAGCTCGTGCAGTGCGCACAGAGGGAGACACAGCCCTTGCCCTGATTCGCAATTCTGTCGCCGGACCACGGAGAAGCCCGTCCATCCAAAAATCGGGGAGGGGCCCCCATTTTCAAAGAAAAAAAAAGAGGTTCCATTGCAGTGTCCTTACTGTACTAAAACCAACTTTGCTGCATACTGTACTCCGCAATCTTTTCCCAACTTCCGTGGCCCTGCTTTCTGAGGCCCGGCTCCGGACTTTCCCTTGCATTCTTTTTGCCCCCCTTCCAAAATCTGATGGCGCCAGTTTCTATATCGTCATTCTGGGTTTTGTGCTCTGATGTGGCAAAGCTACTGTAGAGCGCTTTCCCTTGCATGTTCGCCCTGCATCGCGTGGCCGGTGTAGGCCAATCCTTGCGAGCCTATTCATCAGCGTATGATTGATTCCCTTGTAAAACGAGCGAGTGCTTGTACCGGTAGCACTACTACAGTACTCGTATGTAGCTAGCAGCGGTAGAATGTTCGTTTACATAGCTGCAGCCACTCACAGCGGTCCACGAAATGCATACCAGCTGCACGCTTTTTTGGCTACATGGACTCGGTGCGCTCAAGTCTCAGTCTGAGTCTGAATGCTGAGAAATCTGAAATCTGAAAGTTCGAAAAAACATCCCAGACTCAAAACGCATGGGCTGACACGTTACTCATACCCGGGCGTTGCTCTTATCGTGTTCGCGCCGGCGAAGCCATGAAGCCTGTATCACTTACTCCCTTGGCTTCACGCACAAGACAGGCGAAAACCACATGCTTTTTTTTGTGGCTTCTCCCCCCATTTTCACCAGGGATGCAAATTCCCCAAAGTGCTCGCTTATCACCAATTCAATCAATCTCCCTCGGCATTAACTTGCACCATCCCATCCCCCCCCCCCCCTTTCCCCTCTTTCTCCGTGTCCAAAATAGCCCGCTTCAAAAGTGCGACCCAAATGTCTAAACGAGCCGCGCTTGCTAAGGTCCCCTTCAAATCCCTCCAAAACTGGAAAATCCATCCAGGGCCCCGTACGGCGCCCGCAAATGAAGCCAGCGGTTCTCTTTTACTCTGTCTTTCTCTTTTGCTGATCCACCATCTACTAATCCATCTAAACTACTAGCTGGGCTTTTTGTTCTTTTTCTTCCAAATTGTTCTGGGCAAAAGCCCCAGTCGATCTTCCCCCCTCCTTCTCCAAACCCGATCCATCTCCGAAACGCGATAACCTATTTTTGCAGCCTTCTAATCCCAGACAAGCTTCTTGCTTGCAGTGAAACAAGGGGGGATAAGAAGAGTGCTTGAGTGCTTTGAAGCTCGCTTGTCTAGTTGAATATACAACCCCTCATAGATACTCTTAAGAGTACATGTATTACACGAACGTGTACATATGCTACAAAATTGATATCGCGTTCCCAAAAAGAATGAATGAGTGAACCCAAAGTAGAAGTGCACTGAATCATGCAATCATGCCACAAGGAGTCGTTTCTATCCGTCTTACCCTACATACACAATTCGCCCACCAAACGCCATTGATTTGAAATCATCCAAACTAGTAATGTTGGCTAAGCATCTCTATCATTTTACCCTTTTCGTTCACATTTATGTCTGTAAGTTCTCGTAGATCCACGCCGACTTGATCACTCACGCCATATTGATCGCCGTCCATAGTATTACGCGTTCGATATCAAAGCTTAGTATAGTACCTATGAACAGAAGCAAGAGTATAGGTAGTCCTCAGGTATTGTTTGGATAGAGCTTCTCCTGGCATCTTACAGGGCGTGTGATTAGTATTCAAACTTTGCAATACCATATAATCAACAACTCTCGGAGTAGTCCGAAGCTGAATTCTATTTCGGGATTTAGATCTGTTGATGAGGCTGAAGCCTGCCAAGTACATGTATCCCCCCCTTTCGGTCTTCCGACCTGTTCAGCTCCTTAGAAGCCTAGAACCCCGATTATCCCCCTCCCCCAATCGATTTTCCCATTGTCAGATGCCGCAAGCCAGATGCCGCAAGCTAGCGAAGCCCTACCTCCTTTTACTGCTGATTGTCGGGCTTCTCTTGTTCTGAATTCGGCATTAGCTGATGGATCTCCAATATGGAGGGCCTTAAATCAGACACAGCTCCATATATATGTCATGTAAGATATCGCGGCGGGGAATCAAAGACGAACCCGAGTCAGAGGACGTTGGTTTCTTATCGTGTTCTTCATTTTCAGTTTGCTGGACGGTGTCCTTATCCGCCTCTTCGACGTTCTTGGGGACGACTGCATGTAGGCCCATCACAAGGCTAGGATCGTATGGGATTGTAGACGGCATTTTTCTGTTGAGATTCGGAAACTGGGTAATAGAAATGCTTGCGGATATAGTGTCGTTAAATGCAGTATCAGGTTTGATTGACAATGCCACCTGTGTAGTATCTGGATTAAATTGGACGCTGAGCAACTATTAATACTTATATGTGTAGCTCTACGGCGTCCCTCTGAGTTAGGCAGCGTCTGGGTTGAATGCTGTTGGGCTTCGTTAGCTGCCTTCTTCGAGTTACAAACATCTGCTTCAACAGAGCTGAAATGCATATTAGTGGAGCGCAGATGAAAACCTGTAGTGGCCCTACGCTCAGGTGCATATCTGGCGTAAAGTATTCGGGGAACGATAACCCAGCAACACAGACATTCTTTGATCTGGCTTGTCATAAAGCCCAGACCCTTATATTCGGATACTACTGATATTCTCGCATGCTCGCTAATTCTTGCTTCATCCGCTTTTTCAATCCCTGCTACCTCTTCCCCAGATCGCCCACCAGAGCCCGCACAACATATCCTATCCACACAGCCAAGGCATATGATACATCATTTGTGACAACAGCTACAATGGGAGGGTAGAAAAAGTTCACGACGGGCTTAAAAAGTGGTGGATCCCTTCCCAGTTATCAAGTTACTGTAATATCAAGTACTTGTGTCTAAGTACAATGGCCACCACTATGTGCCAAAGTGGTAATGCAATGCATTGAGCATGCGATGACACCCTTTGCCCTCCATCCCCGGTTTAAAGCCATCGTAATGCATACTATGTACATATAATCGTCAATTCATGCGGCAAATGCCGTCCCGTCTTGTCCGGTCTCAAGAGGGATCATCGTCATCTAAGTTCTATCTGCACATCCAGCATGTGTGTGTGGTTGTGTGCGTGCATGTGTATACCATCCTCGCTCCCTTTCTTCTTCTTTTCATCCTGTTGACCATAGTCATCTCACATTTAGCCACGGTTCACACAAAGGGTCTACGTATGTACGCGCCATAGTCGTTTAAACCGTATTCATATCTCATGTGTTCATCCACCAACTCTTCGTTATGTCATCATTTCACTCAGTCTTGGCGGCGTTGTCGCCCTCCAGGTGAATTTCGGCAACTTCGTCTTCGTCGTCGCCGCTGGGAGGCCCCGTAGGCACCGTTAAGACATCCTCGTGGGCGTCCGCAGGGGATGCTGCTTCTCCGTCCACAATTCCATTGGCAGAATCGGCCGATGTCATATGAGCATCGGCTTCAAACAAGTCTCCCTTAGAGCCGCTCCGCTCATCGCCAGATGAGTCGAATTGTGCGTCATCGCTGGCATACTCGGCGGCTGTAGATCCCTCTGCTCCACTGTTATCGAGCCCGCTAAAACTCCAACTCTGTGTCATATCGAGAGATTTTGGGCCTGCTGCTTGGAAGTTGCTTGAAGCACCCAGACCTTCATCCTCGATGCTACGAATTGCCTCCTCATATGGTGGAAGAGTTCCATCTTGGCTATCGGAGAGAGACTTGATTGTGGTATGAGTAACGCCAACCTTCAAAGGCGAGCCTCGGCCAAGGCTGTCGTCGTCGGCCGATTCGCCTTCGTCGTCGGCGCTCGTATCCGTGTTGTACTTTTCAAAGATTTGAGCATATCGCGGACCACCTAGGTGGCCGCTGGTCCGGCGACGGTAGAAAAGCAGATATGCTGCGCTCGTCACCACCGACGAAGGGTCAGAAACTGCTGAAACGGAAGAATCTAGTATCAAAAATTAGCCCTTGTCCATCTTATTTTCACACTCCGAGAACCAAGACTTACCATTGTAATTATACCACCGCCCATCGACAAAGTTCTTGGCGTACGCGGTGTAGTGACCTCCGCCCAGTCCTCCGTAGTGGTCATCAACGCCAATCAGGTCGTATATCTCTTCCTTTCCGTCTTCTTTTTGAATGACTCTCGAGGAGAGATCGAGTCCCTCAATGGGGAAGTCAACTAGGACATCCAATTTGTCTCGTCGCCATCCGGAGCTACTGAAGCGCTTCAGGTGGCAAATCAAGTAGTCTGGCGTCTTCCAGAGATCGAATTTCTTGCTGGCTCTTCGGTGTTCTTTGCATCGCGGGCAATACCACATGTCTTGCTCCGACAAAACCTCGGCTCTTTCAAACTCGTCCAAACACTCATCTAGGGTGATGCCTCGGGACCTACGAGTTTGGCGCCGCCTCTGGCTGATCTTAAGGGCAGGGTCATTGACGGTTTCAAGATCGACAAAGGTCTTAGCTCCCTGACTTGCATCCTGCTTCTTTCCAGTGTAGCCAAATACCGTCTCCCAGCCCTCCTCAGTCCAATCCACTACAATGCCCTCTTGGAGTCGAATTAATGGACCACCGTCAGCAACTGCTGGGGGCGTCGGCTCGGAATCGACCACTGGTGAGCGCTGCGCGTGCTTACCAGCCCGCATTTGCTTGTCGCGACGCTTGTTACCCTTTTTACCATATGTTTTATGATTCTTAAACTTCTTTCGTCCACCGGCGATCTTCTGAGCGGGTGGTCGGTTCCCACGAGTTTGAGCCAATTGCTATATGCATCAACGCCAGTCAGCAAATCATCACTCAAGGGATTAATGAAAGGGGAATCCGATTGAAAGCTACGAAGATAAAGGTAGGAGAAAGAAACTTACCCGGGCGCCGTGAGGCAAATCTTCTTCATCAGACTCGTCTGCCATGCGTGTCTGTACAGACTCCTGCTGAGGGCTCTCATCATCGTTACTGCTTTCCTCGTTGCCAGAGGCGGTGCTGTTCCAGCTCTCGGGGCTTGCCTGGTCCTCATCCTCCTTAATGAGTGGTTCTGGCATGCGATCCGCGAGTTTTGGAAGAGTTCGGTTGTTATCGACGCTCGACCAACCGGTTGGAACAGGGCCATCTGCCGTGGCGGCAAAGTAGCTGAACTCAAAGAGGGTCTGGAGTTCCGGGTCAAGGGACTCGCCGGGTTGGACAAACTTGGGACGCTGAGTGTTGAACTGACGAAGAATCTGTGGCTGGTTAGGCAGAGGTAGCTCAGGAGGAGGCATGGCATTGGCGGTAGTCTGGGCGTCCTTCATGGTCACGTCGACCATGTCATCTTCTCCCTCGACAGATTTTGCAACAACCTTAGTGTCCGCAGAAGAGTCGGCGTCAGATGCAGTAGTGATAACCATGTCAGCCTCAGCTGCGTCTGAACCTTCAGTGCTTGGCTGCTGGTGGAACTTTGACCAGGTCGAGAAGGTTGCCACTCTCTCCAATACCTTGCGCTTGATAATTTCATAGTTTGACGCTTCTTCTCTTGTCAAGATGATGAAGTGCGGAGGAGAGGTGCCTTCAGTCACTTTGCTGGAGCTTTGTGGTCGTCGGTGGAGAACTGGCACCACCATTCTCTCATACCTGGGGTCATCCCATTCATCAGTGGTTTCAGGTGGAGTGTCGTCGAGATCCAACATTGAACGAGGCTTCTTTTGATAGCCCTTGGCGGGCCAATTGGTAGGCACAGCCTCCAACTCGTGGAAGGTTGCAACGTCGGAAGTGCCAATCTCCTCTGAGACGTCTCCGCTGTTCTCGTAGATTTTGAAGAACTTATCCTTAAACTCTTCGGCACCCATCAGACGATTCACCGGTACACCTGTGCGAATTGACAAGAAAGACTTGAGAGTCTCAATCGAGCTATGCTTGGACAACTCAATCTCGAACTTAACGGGAACGTCATTAAGAGGGAAAAATGTAACAGTCTTGGCCCACATGTTCTCAACGGGCAAAGGTAGCGTCAAGTTGTTGAAGGGATCGAATGTGATGCTAATTTTACTGCACACGGGACACTTGAGGGTCGACTTGTACATTCCAGTAAATAGGTCGAAAATAACGGAGTCGTCTCGTCTTTTGGTAATATCCCATACTTTGTCTGCCATCTCCTTGATTGCCGCTGGGTTGTTGATCATGTCATCCGTAGAATCTGGCTTCTCAATGTATGGCTTATTCTTGATGCGACTGAGGTCTTCCTGGAGCGCATCGAGAAGGAACCCGAGAAATTCCTGCGAGTCTTGCTGGCCCCAACCAGCAAAGGTGGATCGAACGCGACCAACAGTGCTCTTGAAATCTCTGGGGACTACAGAGCCCCTGCCCTCGTCATAGATATCTTTCAACAGCCCGTTGTAGGCCATAGCGACTCTTCCGTTATAGCCTAGTGGATTGGTCTTGTTGAGTTCGGTAGAGAAAGTCCCTGTCATAAAATATTTGGACAATTCTTCTATGGCACGGAGGCACTGCAGCGCCGAGTTCATGTAGCAAGTGTTGCCGAGATTCTGCAAGCCTACAGCGCCAAGGCTCCGACCGCTTTTCTTCTTCTGCATCCTGCCACGAGTGGCGGGCCCATCTGATGAGCTGGGGCTGCTCCGGTTGCTCAAACTCTTGGACAACGCGGTGTTGTTGGTCCGCGTGGGAATTGCCTTTTCGAGTGACCGACTCGTGCAGGTGCTCACCCAGAGGTTCTTATCAACCAATTCATCAACAACGAGGGTCTCATCGGTCACTAGATCGAAGAGCTGAATCGAGGCGGAGCCATTGTAGTTGGAGTTTACAGTTTGATCTTCAAGACCTGCTTGCCGTCTGGCATTCCGGACGCTCGCGAACGAGGGAACGTCAAGGAGTAAATGTGACCAGGAAGAATTTGCCGCGCCTTCCGCAGCTTGATCGCGACCGGGAGAATCGGGCGGCGTTGTTAGGGCAGCCGGAGGTTGGGCATTGCTCGCTCCGAGCTGCTCCGTGTTCACCACGAAAAGTCGAATCTTGCGGTCAATTGGAATGCCGGCAAGCCGTTTAATATCCTTAATAAATGTCTGGGCATGATATTTGCGGCTTCTGGCCAGAGCCAGAGGAGGGGGATTCTCGGCTTTGAGCGACTGTTCGATTGGCAGCGGGCTGAGCTCAGACCACAGGCGATGCACACGGAAAATAGGGGGGTGAAGCTCATAGACAATTTCGGTCGGAGATTGAGCATCGACTGCAGTATTGATAGCCGTTCGGACGATGGGTTTTTGCCCCTCTTCGATGCCATACCACTCCATGACCATACTCCAGGCATCTTCGGGGAAGAGTTCGAATGATTGTTGATCAAGACCAGGCTTGAGGCGAACGAAATCTTCACGGCCAGGCTCTTCAATGACTTGCTCGATGATATCCGAGTTGTCGACTGGGCCCAATGACACTTCGGACGTGTCCGCCTTGCCCGAGCGTAATGACAAGGCCTTGTCCACCCATGTACGCGATACGAGATAGGCTTTATCACCCTCCTTTGGCAGCTTTTCTGCTGAAGCCTTGAGTAGCATTTCAATAATCTTGACCTGCTCGATGAGTGGGGGAGGAGGGGCAGCTATAATGGGGGAAAAAAGGTAGGCGT